AGATATTTCATCACCCCTAAAAGAAACCCATGCCCAGTGGCCAGTCACTGCCCCCTCTGCATCCCTCCCCCTCCCCCTGGCAACAACTTACCTACTTTCCCTAGTGATTTGCTTATTCTGAACATCTCATGTAAAGTGACTCAGAAATATGTCACCTTTTATGACTTTTTTTTTACTTACCATATTTTCAAGGTTTACCCATGTAGCATGTGCGAGCCCTTCATTCTCTTTTACGGCTGAAGAAACACTCCATCGTATGAATATGTTACATTTTGCTTATCCATTCATCAGTGACAGACTCCGGGTTGTTCCTAAGTTTTGTTAATATGAATAATTTGTGCTATGAACATTTCTGTACATGTTTTTACATGGACATGTTTTCATTTCTCTTGAACACACACACACACACACACACACACACACCTAGGACTGGAATTACATGGTAATTCTGTTTAACCTTTTGAGGACCTGGGGATCTGTTTCCCAAGTAGCTGTACCATTGTACAATCTCACTGGCAACATGTAAGGATTCTTATTTTTCTATATCCTTGCTAACATTTGTTACTGCCTACTTTTTTTTTTTTTTTTTGAGACAAGGTCTAAGTTGCCCAGGTTGGCCTCGAACTTTTGATTCTCCTGCCTCATCCTTCTTAGTAGCTAGGATTACAGGCATGGCAGTACATGCCTGGCTCTGTTGTGTGCCTTTTTCATTTTTGCCGTCTTGGTGGGGCATGAAGCACTATTGCATTGTGGTTTGATTTGCATTTCCATGGTGACTAATGAAGTTGAGTATTTTTTTTACTTGCTCACTGGCTATCTGTATGTTTATCTGGAGAATGTCTATACTTGGCTTGCTTTGGGGTTTTTTTGGCAGTACTGAAGTTTGAACTTGGGGCTTCACCCTTGCAAGGCAGGCGTTCTACCACTTGAGCCACTACTCCAGACCCTTGGCTTGCTTTTTAACTGAGTTAGTTGTCTTTTGTTGTTAAGTTGTAAGCATTCTTTACATATGCTGGACGGCAGTCCCCCACCATATATACACGCCTGCTTTGCAAATATTTTCTCCCTCACAAGAATTGTCTTCATTTTCTTGATGGTGTTCTTTGAAGCACAGAAGTTGGTTTTCTGTTTGTTTTGGGGCTCTGTTTTGTTTTAAGACAGAATCCTGCTATGTAGTCCAGACTGACCTCGAACTTGCAATCCTCCTGCCTCTGTATTCTGAGTGCTGGGCCCTGGGGGCTGCCTGCAAATGTTTTTTATTTTGAAGCAATCTATTTTTTCTTTCATCATGTGTGCTTTTGTTATGATAGCTGAGGAACCACTGACTAACCCAAGTCACAAAGATGTATGCTATGTTTTCTTCTAATAGTGTTTTGGTTTTAGCTTTTGATGTCAAGTAAGATCCATTTTGAGTCAAAATTTACATATGGTGGGAGGTAGGAGTCAAAATTCATTCTTTTTCATGTGAAAATCCAGGTCTTCCAGCACCATTTGTTAAAAAGACTTTTTCCTCATTTAATTGTTCTGGGACCTTTGTCAAAAACCAAATGAACATAAATGTAAGAATTTAATTTTAAGCTCTCAGGCTGGTAGAGTGGCTCAAGTGGCAAGAGCATGTGCCTAGCAAGTATAAGACCCTGAGTTCAAAGCCCAGATCCATTAAAAAAAATTCTTAAAAATATATTTCTAAGCTCTCAAGTCCCTTCCATTGTTGGTTGTTGGTTTTTTGGCTTTTGGTTTTTGGTTCATTTTGGTTTTTTGGCTGACCCACACCCCAGCCCTTTTTGTTTGTTTGTTTTAGTCTACTTTTTCAGATACGCCCTTGGTTTTTTCCAGGGCCAGCCTCGGACCACAATTCTCTACCTTCATCTCCATCATAACCAGAATTATAGAAGTATACACTATGCCCAGATTATTGTTTGAGATAGTGTCTTGATAACTTTTTTTTTTTTTTTTTTTGGCCTGTGCTGGCCTTGAACCTCCATCCCCGTCTGTGCCCTCCAAGTACCTGGGATTACAGGTGTGCGCCACCATGCCTAGTCCTGTTGGTCATATTGTTAAAGGTTGTTTTTTTTCCTCAAACTGTGGTAAACTGGTAACTGGAAGAGAGAGGAGTAGATGGAGAACTCTGCCAAGCAGACCACATTCCCTCAGAAGGCTCTCTGGACTGGTCTTATCATAATTACATCTTCCAGCCAGGCACCGGTGCCTCACACCTATAATCCTAGCTACTTAGGAGGCAGAAATCAGGAGCATCGAGGTTTGAAGCCAGCCTAAGCAAATAGTTCGAGACATCCTATCTCAAAAATACCTAACACAAAAAGGGCTGGTGGAATGGCTCAAGGTGTTCAAACCCCAGAACTGCAAAAAAAGGAAAAAAAGAAATACATCTTCCAGCAAGATTTGGAACCTCTTCCATGGTTCCATGGTTGGGGAGGTAGCTGATTGAGTGAAGAGTCTTATATCTCTTTCTTATCTCTCAAGGTTATTGTAAATATCAAGTTATATCATTCACACATGATATTGTGTGTTTGTGTGTGTGTGTCTGTGGTATCGGGTTTGAACTCAGGGCTTCACGCTTGCTAGGCAGGCACTTTATTACTTGAGCCACTTGTAGCTAGGATTACAGGTGTGAGTCACTAGTGCCCAGCTCACACATGAGAATTGAGAAAGGTCTAAAGTGCTATGCAAATGTAAGGCATATTTTTCCTTATTATTTTCCCTCTCTCTAGTGAATAAGACCCTAAAAACAGAGAGAAGTTATTAACTTGCACTCAGGGTTGCAATGTTTGTATTACTGCAAATTCCAGCTTGGCGAGGTTAGGCTCATATATTATTCTCTCAGGAGGCAGTGAGCTTATTACCTGGATGTGAATTTGAATGTTGGTCATTCCTTCCTTCCACATTCCCGCTTCCTTGAGTGAGGGTCTCCTTTGTGCCCAGCATTGCGCCAAGCTCAGGGAAAACCACAGATAACAAGACAAACCTGGTCTCTGTCCTCCTAGAACATATGGCATGGTGATGAAGCCATTATAATAAAATGTGACCTTGAGGGATGTGCAGGTGATATCTGCACTGGTATCAGTTTGTTCCATGTAAGTGATCAGAATTAGATGATTTTGCAATACCCTGTAGACTTTGGTTTTATGATTTTTCAGTAAGGCAGTGGCTGTTCATTGCTGAACTCAGTCCCTAACCCAGGGATTATGGACATTGTCACGATGCCACACAGCTAGACCTGAGAATGAGCCAGCGGAATGCAATGCTTGCTACTCCATTCTCCTGATGCAGTGCTCAGGGCTCTTCAGAGGCAAGACTGGCCTCCTCCCTGCTTCCCTGTTTCTTTGCTGATGGTAGAAAAGGGCTCCAAGGTTCAGGCTAAAGCCCCTTGGGGTCCTTGTTCTGGCCTAACAGGGCACCACTCTCAAATCCCTCTCCTAAGCCTCCAACCAGTGGAGACTGCAACTCATTCATGGGAGGACACACATCACCCTCAAAGCCTGGACAGGGACAGATCTCACCAGAACTCAGGCTACCACCTCACATCCATGTGGCCCCTTGTCCTCCAGGGGGCTATTCTGATAACCACCATCCATCCACTTAGCCAGTCCTGAAGTGCACCCAAGCAGGGTAGGGTGGGGTGGGGAGAAAGTTGGGAAGAAAAACCCAGAGCAGGGGAGCCAGATAAAGCACAGGGCAGGGGAAGATGGGAAAGCCAGCCAGGCCCTGCCCAGGGCCCTCAGCTGTCTTCTCACACCACCCCCACCCCCTACTCAGACCTTTTCATGACAACTCCCTGCTTCTACCTCCTAGGAAACAGCCACCTTCCTCCTCTTGCCACCTCTACCTGTCCTCCTGCGCCCTCTCCTCTGGCACTATGTCATCTGGCAGCTCAGCAGGCTCTCACCCGAATACTCAGGATCACACAGCCTCCTGCACACACTCCATGCTACACAGTGACCTGGGGAGGTGGGAGTGCAGGGCCCTCCCACCTCTGGAGCCACCTGCCCTGGTGCTGAGGAGTTAGCCTCCTCAGCAGCCACCCTGTGCATCAACAGGACTCCACTCTCCTCCCTCCCCCGTGCCTGTCACTTTGAGGCACAGGAGAAAGAAAGGAAGAGACAGGAAAAGACAGGAAGTGTGGAGACCTGAGATGACTTGGAGCAAGCTACTCAATCTGTCTCGGTCGGAATTTCATCTATAAAAGGAGGGGGCTGTTCTCATCTCTAAGGCATTTTGTAGCTCTCAAAGCCTGCAACTGTGTGGTTCTATGACTCTGTTGGGATAACGCGTGATTGTTTCTGCCCAGCGACTGACAGCTTGTGTCCCCTGCGGGGAGGGGGCAGGTGTGCCAGCACTCCTGCGCCTCCATGGCTCCCCCTCCCAGAACCGAACAGCCCCTCCATTCCTTCTCCCTTCTACAGCAGCCTCTACCCCCCAGCCCCAGGTGATTCGGCCGCTAACATCTTCAGCACCTCTCCAGGCGCCTGCCAGGCCACCTAAGCTCTCCGCGCCCCTGCAAGACGACCCCCTTCCCTATGGCCTGAAGAAGCCGATCCGCCAACATTAACCCCATCCCTGCTGCACCAGCGGAATGCCCCTTCCCCTCTGTCACCCGGGAGCTGAGAAAGGCCTGGAGAGGTTAAGCCGGGAAGGCACAGTGGGCGACCACCGGACTCCCAAGGCTGCGTGGCGGCGAGCAGAGGGCATCGCGGGCAGGCTTCGCCGTTTCAGGAAACTGAGTGGGGTGGGGGTGGAGGATCCCCTTTCTAGCTTCCTCTGGGAGAGCCCGACCCAGCCCCATCCCCCCGGGGCTCCTCCCTGGCCGGCGCCCCTGCCCAGGGCGGGTCAGGAACCTCGCCCCCGCCCCGCTGTGCCCGCGCCGCCGGGGACTTTGGAGCCGAGGAGGAAGCGCGGCGGGGCGGGGAGGTGGGGGTGTGTCGGGAGGCGGCGGTGCCTGGGTTTTATAATCCGCAGGGCGGTCGCGGCGCGGGAGAAGGGGCAGCGCCGTGCACCGCGCACCGCGCTATGGGGGCCGCTTCCGGCCCGAGGGGACCGCGGCCGCCGCTGCTGCTGCTGTCACTGTTGCTGCTGCCGCTGCCACCCGCCCTGGCGCTGGACCCGGGACTGCAGCCCGGCAACTTTTCCGCAGACGAGGCCGGGGCGCAGCTCTTTGCGGACAGCTACAACTCGAGCGCCGAGCAGGTGCTGTTTCAGAGCACGGCCGCCAGCTGGGCGCATGACACCAACATCACCGACGAGAATGCTCGGCGCCAGGTGGGCGCAGGGGCCCGGGCGGGGGCGGGGGCGGGGCGGGGCCACAGTGGCCAATCACAGGCCCGCGTCCAGCGCAGGGGGCGGGCAGCAGGCTCCCGAAGCCCCCACTCCCCAGCGTTGCCGGACCCTACCCGCAAGCTGCCTTCCTCCTACCCGCTCTGCGCATCAGACAGGCCGTGGTGCCCTGGGAAGGGCTGGGCACGTGATCCGTGCCAACACAGGAACCGAATGGATGAAGCCGCCTCCTCCCAGGCCGAGTCCCCCCAGGTGGCAGCGCCCAGGGGTCACTGCTCCCGCAGCAGCAGTCTTCACGGAGGATGCTCCCTGCTGCTTGGGAGCCCTAGTCCTCCTGGCAACTGCCTACCCCCCTCGGCACGCTGTACCTGTCACAGCCCTTCACTGTCTAGTCACTGTCCTCTTGCCTCGCCTCTCTTCTGGCTCCAAGTTCGACTCCTCTGCTCTCCTGAGGCAGATTCCCCCAGGTCAGGGGGCTCAGGAGGAGGGGCACTGCTTCCGCAAGCTTCCAGTCTCCTGGTTAGGGATCTCCGCAGGGCTACAGGTCTGGAAGCTTTTGGTCTTCCTCCCCTCTTCCAACCTGTGAGCTGGGTCACCCTTTCTGTCTTCCTGGTACCCACAGGAGGAAGCAGCCCTGCTCAGCCAGGAGTTTACAGAGGCCTGGGGCCAGAAGGCCAAGGAGTTGTACGAGGCAATCTGGCAGAACTTCACCGACACAAAGCTGCAGAGGGTCATCGGAGCTGTGCGCACCCTGGGACCTGCCAACCTGCCTCTGGCCAAGCGGGAACAGGTGGGCCTGAGGGTGGGAGGCAGAACTGAAAAGGGTCTCAGGTGCCCGCATTGTGATGGCCCCGGGTAGCAGCCTAGTAGGAAGGGAAGGTCCCTAGGAAAAGAGGGACTCTAGGATGGATATGGTACCTGGCTGTGGGAGAACCAGAGGCTAGAGGGATGCTGGAAGCACTGGTTTTCCTCGAAAACGAGGGGTAGCAAGTTACTTTATTTTAAAGCAAATATTATGGATTAGGAAGCCAAATTCAAGGGTTGGGGGTTGTGGCTCAGTGGTAGAGCGCTTGCCTAGCAAGCGTGAGGCCGTGGGTTCCATCCTAAGCACTCCACTCACTCGTTAAGTAAACAGTAAGTTTTCCCTAGCCCATCTTGGTTTATGGGCTTCCCTAGAAAGGCTGCAGACTGAAAAGAAACCTAGGCAGAGGATGAGCAGAATTCGCCCTCACTGTGGGGTGATGCCAAGTTGGGACTTGAACCGAATGCTGGCTCTCAGGGTACTTGCTCCACCTGCACAGGCTGCTTTCACTGGAAGGGCATAATATACTAGCAATTGGAAGTGGTCCAAGTGCCACGCTCCTTTCTAAGCCAACTTTTCCTCCCAGCAAAGAGAAGGGGAGGCCAGATCAACTCTGGTTGCTGCTCAATGTTAATATTTTCTCTCCCCTAACTCCCCAGTACAACTCTCTGTTAAGCAACATGAGTAGGATCTACTCCACCGGCAAGGTCTGCTTCCCCAACAAGACTGCCACCTGCTGGTCCCTGGACCCAGGTACTTGCTTCTCTGTCACTGGAGTTTCCTAGTCCTTCCCTGCCACCCTTTACACCCAGGAGGGTGGCATATTTATCAGTAAATCCAAAGGCATTGACCTCTGCTTGTGGCTGGACTGTGCTGGTACCCCCACACTCCTGGCCTACACCCCTGCTTCTGGCAAACTGATTTCCAGAACTCCCAGCTCCTTCCCCTTCTCCATGTGTGCCTTGGCCTCTCCCACCACCACTAGGTCTTCCCCCTGGCTTTCCCTTTCATGGGACCTCCCACTTTCCCCAAGAACCCCCAGCCATGAACCCCTTGAAGCTTCGCCTTAAAGTCAACCACTCCATCCAGTGAGCCATGAGGCTGTCTAGGTTTTGGCCTCTGAATGTCCTTTTTATGTCAACCACCTTAGACATTGTTTTCCTCAGCACAAGGTCCTGTCTGTGTACTTGCTTTATTTAGCCCCTTGGCTGCCCTTGACTTTGGTGATGCTGAGGAAGCTAGTGGGAATGGTGAGGACCAGTGTGCACACTCTGGTGAATGCACACTTGGATACACGAGTCTGCTGACTGACCTTGCTCACCTTGTCTCAGAGCTCACCAACATCCTGGCCTCCTCACGAAGCTATGCCATGTTGCTGTTTGCCTGGGAGGGCTGGCACAATGCTGTGGGCATCCCATTGAAACCCCTATACGAAGACTTCACTGCCCTCAGCAACGAGGCCTACACGCAAGATGGTGAGCCGGCCTTGCAAGGCACTCTTGTCTGCTGTCCCCACTGAACCCCAGCCCCTGAGGCAGACAGATCAAATGGTACAATGATTTCAGAGCTGGCCCAAGGTCTCACAGCAAAGGAAGTAGCATGCCTGCCGCCAGCCAGTGTGCCTTCCTGTGCTGCTGTGCTGCCACTTTTAGCACCACTCCCAGGCCTAGCACTCTTCTGTGCCTCTTGGCTCTCCAGGATCTATTTAACTGGAATTTGGAGCAGCCCCTAGTTAGAAGCTAAAGAGCAGCAGATCTAAGCCACCTTTTTCAGCTAGCTGGTAGGTGCAGGGCCTCTAGCTGAACTGGGAATACGGTGAAGAGGAAGCTGGGAGGTGGAGTATCCAAGCTTTGGACCTGAGCTGCACCCTCCCCATTCCTCCCTGCTAGGCTTCTCTGACACAGGGGCTTACTGGCGCTCCTGGTATGACTCACCTACCTTTGAGGAGGACCTGGAGCACCTCTACCATCAATTAGAGCCCCTTTACCTGAACCTCCATGCCTATGTCCGCCGTGCACTGCATCGCCACTATGGAGACAGATACATCAACCTCAGGGGGCCCATCCCTGCTCATCTGCTGGGTAAAGACCTAGCCTTGCCTCTGCACTGGCCTGGGTCCTGGGGGATGCCCAGTGGGAGGAAAAGGGGACTGTCCTCGTGGTGCCTTTGGAGCAAGGTACTGTTTGCTTCTCCATGTGGGAGTCCATGTGTCTGCCTCAACACCACATCAGACTGGGATCCTTTCACCGACATTAGCATTTGTGGTTTACACATGGGGCCATGGGCTTAGGATGTGCCAGTGACTCAGTGGTCAGAAAGCTGGTACAGGGCAGAGCTAGGAGTCAAACCAGAGGCTTTGGGTCCAAGTCCAGGGGAGGGGCTTCTTAGTTCTAGTTCATGCCCAAGGATGGAAACCTTGTGGCTTTGCCTCAGGGTGGGAGACAGGGTCAGAAAGGACATCAGCAGCGTTGCCTAGGCTCACACTTGCCCAGCCAGTCCTCGGGAGGGCAGTGTACAGAGGAGAATGGGTGAGGCGGATGTGTGAGATGCCTGGCCCCAAGTCCAGCAAGCTGCCCAGAGGTCCTAGGTAGCAGGTACTGGTGTCCAGAGTGACATGCATCGGGGAGGGGCTGAGCAGGAGACCAAGCTTCCTTCCTCTTTCTAGGAAACATGTGGGCCCAGAGTTGGGACAATATCTATGACATGGTGGTGCCTTTCCCAGATAAGCCCAACCTCGATGTCACCAGTACTATGGTACAGAAGGTACGCTCTGGAGTCGGGCAATGAGAGGATGTCAGAATGGGGACGGATGGAAGGATTATGTGAGGGGATAGGGTTGGGTAGCCGGTAGGGCCCTCCTTTCCTGTGTCAGCCAACAGTGGGGTCTGCGTCCACAGTGGCAGGGTGTGAGTGGTAGTTCACTTCCACTAATCTGCTATGGTCTGTAGGACCCTGTCTCTGGGAAGGGAGGCCATGGAGCAAAGATGCCTTTCATGGGCAGGGAGCTGTCCTGGGTGAGGGACTCCATACCTGCACCCTCCGAAACCAAAACCAGAGCAAGCTATTGGCAACTAGCTCCTGCCTCGTCCCATCCACCCTTCCTAGGGCTGGAACGCTACACACATGTTCCGGGTGGCAGAGGAATTCTTCACCTCCCTGGGGCTCTCACCCATGCCTCCTGAGTTCTGGGCAGAATCGATGCTGGAAAAGCCATCTGACGGGCGGGAGGTCGTGTGCCATGCCTCAGCCTGGGACTTCTACAACAGGAAGGACTTCAGGTCTAGACGTGGGAAGAGGAGCATGCTGGGACTCTGAGAAGGGGGCTGCTGAGATACAGGCCTACATCTACCACACTGGCTGTTTCAGGGCTGTTGGGCACGAGTCCATTAAGCCATCTTGCTGGCAGCCTTGACAAACAGTCAGCTCTGTGCCTTGGAATGGAGGAAGAGGGTATGGGTGGTGCTAGGCCAGGTCAGGGTCAAGGGTTTGCTTGTCTCTAGCCACTTCTTGCCCTTCTTGTTCCTGTCTCTGGTGCCAGCTCTTCAGTACCCTTGCCCCTGCCCTGACCTTCACCCTCATCCTCTCCTGCCCCAGGATCAAGCAGTGCACACGAGTCACGATGGACCAGCTATCTACAGTGCACCACGAGATGGGCCACGTGCAGTACTACCTGCAGTACAAAGACCTGCCCGTCTCCCTGCGCAGAGGCGCCAACCCTGGCTTCCACGAGGCCATTGGGGATGTCCTGGCTCTCTCAGTCTCCACTCCTGCACATCTTTACAAAATAGGCTTGCTGGACCATGTCACCAATGACACAGGTACGAAAGGGGAGAGCACCCAGCCCAGCTCCATTCAAATCCCCTTCAGCCCCCACTCAGTTCTGCCCTTCTCATTTTTGCCTCATGGCCCCAGACACAGCCACCCTGAGCTCAGCTACCCTTTTCCAAGTCCTCTTCCAAGAGGACGCTAGGTCTCAGGACTCACCTTCTCTGTGTCCACCCAGCCTCCCCTCCTGCTGGCTGCCCCCCAGGTCCACCCTTCCCTAGCTGGACTCCCTTCTCCCCCTGACCTCTCTCTCCTTGTCCTATCTCCTAACAGAAAGTGACATCAATTACTTGCTAAAGATGGCACTAGAGAAAATTGCCTTCCTGCCCTTTGGCTACCTGGTGGACCAGTGGCGCTGGGGGGTCTTCAGTGGACGGACACCCACCTCCCGCTACAACTTTGACTGGTGGTATCTTCGGTGAGAAGAGAGATAGGAAGGGCCTAACCTCAGGGCCCTTGCTTCCGTCAGCCGCAGTCCTCTCTTCTCTAACAATGTCTCTGCCCTCTTACCCATCTCCTTCCTCCTTCCTGCCTAAAACTCCCTCCTCCAGGAAGCCTCCTCCCTTCCCAGGATACAGCCTGTGTGCAGCCCAAGCCTTAAGGCAGCTTAACCATCCTCTTCCAGAACCAAGTATCAGGGGATCTGTCCTCCAGTTGTCCGTAATGAAACCCACTTTGATGCCGGAGCCAAGTTTCACGTACCAAATGTGACACCATATATCAGGTATTAGGGCCCCTGCCCCTCCCCACTTCTAGCACTCCTTCATCCCCTCCCCTTCTCCTATGATCCTAGGGTAGGTTCCCCCTTAGCTTTCTGGATCCTCAAGGCTCAGAATTAGAATAGCCCTCTTTCCTGAGCTGGGTTCAGTTCTCCCCTCTCCTCTCAAACAGCCTCCACATTGGACAGTGCCTGGGCAAGGGACCCCCATTTCTGGTCCCCACATTCCCTCTAATGTCCATCCTGTACCTACAGGTATTTTGTAAGTTTTGTCCTGCAGTTCCAGTTCCACCAAGCCCTATGCAAGGAGGCAGGCCACCAGGGCCCACTGCACCAGTGTGACATCTACCAGTCTACCCAGGCGGGGGCCAAACTCCGGTATGTGAAGAGAAGGGAGAGCAAGAGGGAGGCAACAACCAGTCAGACAACAACCAGCTAGACAACCCAGAACCTAAGTGGGACCCCCTGGAGAGGGGCAGAGCCACAAGGGGGTAGGGAGGCACAGGGTACAACTGCAGGCAATTGGCTGATTGGGTTGAGACACCACACGGCCAGAAGGCTGTGGTGACTTTCTTGTCTCTCACCACATATTTATTGAGCCGGCCTGCTGGTGCCATGGGGTGAAGCAGATGTCCCTTGCCACCTTCAGAGATCCTAGGACCTGGGGTTTTATTATCCCTGCTCTTACAGCCAGAGGGAGGAAGTGAGCAGAGGAAGCTGCTATGGACTCAGCACGCCTCCTGTGCCCACAGTACTCACTCTGCCTGACAGGGAGGTGCTGCAGGCAGGCTGCTCCAGGCCCTGGCAGAAGGTGCTGAAGGATCTGGTGGGCTCAGATGCCTTGGATGCTCAAGCACTGCTTAACTACTTCCAGCCAGTCAGCCAGTGGCTGCAGGAGCAGAACCAGCGGAATGGCGAGGTCCTGGGCTGGCCAGAGTATCAGTGGCACCCACCATTGCCAGACAACTACCCAGAGGGCATCGGTAAAGGCCTGAGTGAGGGTGGCCTGGGACCAAGGAGAGTCCTTAACTCTGGGCTCTGGGCTCATGCTCCAGGTTCCTGACCACCTTCTCTCAACTGAGCCCTGGCCTCCTGTTCTGGAGTTCTGGACCACCCCAAGCTCATTAGCAGGGCCCTGTAGTGGGGATGGGCATGTCTTTTCAGCAGCATCCTAGAGAGAGTATTCCCTGGCCTGAAGGCCCCTGGGAGCAGTCTGGCCCAGGATACTGCTCTATGAGGTCACATTGCAGGCTCCACTCTTATTGGCCAGGGGTGGTGGCTGCAGGACTCTGCTCTCCTGTGGCCATGGCCCAAGGTTGGGCTGCTGCAGGACTGCCCGGTCTCCTCTTCCTGCTGTTCTGCTGTGGGCAGCCCCTGCTGGTCCCCAGCCACACAGCCACCCAACAGGTGACAATTAGCCAGGGGATAACCAACCAGGCAACAATCAGAAGTCAGACAACTCTCCAGGCAACAACCATCCAGACAACGACCAGCCAGACAACAACCAGCCAGACAACCCAGAGCCCAAGTGGGACCCTGAGAGAGGGGCAAGGCTGTAAGGGGGTGGGGAGGCATGGGGTGGCATTCAGGAGCTCTGGTAAAACCACATCCTGGAGAGAGGAAGGGGAGGCTTGTCTTTTTCCCTCCACTTTGTCCTGCAGACCTGATAACCGATGAAGCTGAGGCTAGCAAGTTCGTGGAAGAGTATGATCAGACATCCCAGGTGGTGTGGAATGAACACGCAGAGGCCAACTGGAACTACAACACCAACATCACCACGGAGAATAGCAAGATCCTGGTAAGAGCCACTGCCACCCCCTCCCAAACATGGGCATGTACACACAGACCCCCAGTGCTACACACACACACACAAACAGCACTGAACTGCCAGAATTCGTGAAAACCCCAAACAGCATATTTCAAACAATACTTAATTTCAGATTTAGTGGGCATGTAGTCAATGCCTGAGTAAAATTTCTTTCACTAAAAATCAGCCTCTCGTATCAGACTATAATCAGTTGAGCATAAGTAAGCAATGCCAAAGTCAGTTTTAAAAAAAGATTACAGCCTGTCTGCCACCATCCTAAGGACTCACTTCTTTCTGCCTTGTCCTTTTCTCTGTCCCTGGCAGAGAACAGATTACCACATGGAAGCCACCAGCCATGCTTCCTAACCACAGAGTGCTAATATTGCTTGCAGCCCCTCCGTGGGCTGCCTGCAGTTCCTGGGCACCTCACATTTGTTGCCTCACTCATTGCTAGTGCAAATCAGTGACATTCTTCCATTTCATAGATGCAACCCCAAGGCTCAGGGAGGCCACAGCTGCCTCCATTCTAATGGCTTTGAAGACATGCACTGGGCTCCCCTTCCCTACCCTGCCGGGACATGATGGGTAATGTGGTCTCTCTTTAACAGGATAGTGAATTTCCCTTCCCATCCATGCTACTTGCACTAGGTGGCCCTGTACAATTGTGAGGAGACTGGGGGAACGGTAGAGCACTTGCCTGGTGATACACACAAGGCCATGGATTCAATTACAGGGACTGCAACATCCATTGAGGGGCACATACTGCTCCCAGGACATTATCAGACAGCACAGTTCGAAGAGGGCCTTTATAGAAAAACTCAGCAGCTTAATCAAACTACCCCCTCACTATCACTCCGTCTTCTCACCACCCCTCCCCTGGCACCTTTTGCCCTGAGAGGCCTCTAAACTCCTGGGCCCCATGACACCACCCCCTGCCCCTGTGCACCCAGATGCAGAACAGCATGAAGGTAGCCAACCACACTCTGAAGTATGGCACCTGGGCCAAGCAGTTTGATGTGAGCAATTTCCAAAATGCCATCACCAAGCGGATCATAAAGAAGGTTCAAGACCTGGAAAGAGCAGCGCTGCCTGTCCACGAGCTAGAGGAGGTGTGTAGCCTTGGGGAGAAGGGAGTAGAGGCTGCTGGGGGAAGGAGACCAGCCCAAGGTCCAGCCCCTTGCTTCCTTGATGTATCAAGTCCTTACGTGGGCCACGCTCACAGGTGCTCCAGAATTCCTGAGAAGGCAGCGCCTTTGGAGATGCCTGGGGCCAGGGCCAGTAAGCGCCTCTCACTGCCCTCTTCTCCCCGCAGTACGACCAGATCCTTCTGGACATGGAGACCACTTACAGTGTGGCCACTGTGTGCCACACGAATGGCACTTGCCTACAGCTGGAGCCTGGTGAGAGCGCCTTGGGAGGAGGCGAGATAGGTGGGGCTGGGAGGTGAAGGGGGAGGTGGGATAACTCACTTCTCACTTCTAGCTAACTCACCTCTGCTTTCCACCAGTGGATCTGTTCTGCCCCCACTCAGGATCAACCCATACTTTAGCTTTACCTTAATTTGCAGCCTAATCTGGCTGCCCCCCTACTAGGGACTCCCCTAACACTCCTTTCCTCCGTACAGTCCACTGTCCACAGCAGTGGGGTCCTAAGTTTGCGTTTTATAAGCTCAGACTCCCAACAGGGAGAGCCATGGAGCCCCAGCTCCAAATTCCTCTCTTCATAATTCTATCTATGTAGTCCCCACCTTCTCTGGCTTTGTGGGGTCCTTCCCCCCAACACATGGCCAAAAAAGAAACTGAGGCTAGGCAGGACGAGTCACACAGAGTCAAATAGTTCCTTTAAGCACAACAAGAACTTGGCCTCCTAGTCAGTGCCCTTCCCACATTACCCCTCTCTTTACTGCCATTTCCTACTGGACAGGAGTGAACCAGCTTATAGCCCCCCTCTTTCTCTGTCACACTGCCTGGTCCTCCTTAGCCCAATCCCTCTGAAGGAGCTCACCCTGGACCCCCAGGTACCCACACAAACACCCCCCTGACCCACTTCTTCCAGGGTTGGGGAGCTAGAGGTATAAACATTCTCCATGAGGAATCTCCACCCAGAAATGTTTCTTCCTGGCCCCCAGCCCAGCTCCCATGATAGAACAATGACAAATAGAAGGGGAAATGGAAAATAAACAGGATTAAGAAACAGTTTTTCCAGGGCAGAGTTTGGCTTATAGGTAGTGAATGTGGGTATGCACGCAAAGTGGGGAGACGGGGCTATGTACGTGCCCGTGTGCATGTATATGGACGTATGCACACTTAGGCGTGTGCATGTTTCTGGAAAAGGGCATTAGAAGGGGTGTGGCATTATGGTCCCCCACCAATCAGCCCCTTGATCCAGGCTGAGCTGTCTGTCACATCACTGACACAGTAAAAATAAAAAGCCCATAAAAACCAAAGGCTCACATCACCGGCAAAGAGATGTGGAATTTTCAAATATGCCTTTTTCAAACAAAATTAATTGAATTTACTCAATCTGTGAAACAAAATGAATATCACAAAGTATGTTCCAGAATAGGGAAACTGAGTTCAAGACTAACAGTGAGGGTTTGAGGAACAGCAAATGCCTTCAGCCTCCTCTGTCAGGCCAGGGGTCAGGGCAGGAAGGGAAGTGGTCCATCTGTCTGTGAAGTTTTGAGACTTAAGCCACATAACCCCCACCGCAGCCTGTGAGACAGATATCAGCTCCATGTTATAACTGAGGAAGTCATACACAGTGCCTCGGACAGGACAGAAACCTGGGGTTTCCAGCTCTCTCGTGATGCTTACACTGTCCTTTGCATTTCCACGGTCTTCACAATCAGCCCAGTAACAATTTGTGAAGAATGCTCCAGACCCTCAGGGACACAGAGATGAGGACACACAGTCCCTGCTCAGGGATCACACTCTCCTGTTTGATTTCTAGTGCCTTGGGATGGCTGGTATTGTCCCCTTTTTGTAGATGGGGAAAGAGACTTGCCCAAAGTAATTTGGGGAGTCAGTAGGAGGGCTGGAACAAGAACTCAGGACTTTTGAGCCCTGAGGAGAATGAGTGGAGAGAAGCACCTCTGAGGTCTGGTGTCTTCCTGGCTGGGGTACCTGGGGCACATCACCAAGCTGCTCCTAGGGAAAGAGGGACAGGCTTATCCCTGAGTGTTGCTGAAACCTGCAAGTGTCTGAGACCATGTATGTTCAGTGTGTTGCCAGGCAAACACCCTGAGTTCCTGGCAGATACTGGTTCCCATTCTCTTTCACTGTCACGCGATCACTCCAGTTTTATTCCAGCTCTGAAATTCTATGGCCTAGATCTCCTTATAAGCAGATGGGAGATGAGCCAAGGGCTGGCGGCTCAAGCCATTCAACCCTGTCCCCCCAGATCTGGTAAATGTGATGGCCACATCCAGGAAGTATGAAGAACTGCAGTGGGTCTGGAAGAGCTGGAGAGACCAGGTGGGGAGAGCCATCCTCCCTTTTTTCCCGAAGTACGTGGAACTCAGCAACAAGGCCGCCCAGCTCAATGGTGAGTCCCTCCTGCCAGTACCACTGGCTCTCTGGTCCCTAGCCTCCTCAGGCTCCTCAAAGAGGTCTTCTGAGACCCTAAGCCTAGGGAAAGGTAGGTCCTGGAGGTGGCAGGGAGGAGCTAGGGGAATGATGAGGTATTGGGAGAGCCTGGCTATGTCCTCTGTTGCAGGCTACATGGATGCAGGGGACTCATGGAGATCTATGTATGAGACGCCATCCCTGGAGCAAGACCTGGAGCAGCTCTTCCAGGAGCTGCAGCCACTGTACCTGAACCTGCATGCCTATGTGCGCCGTGCCCTGCATCACCACTATGGGCCCCAGCACATCAACTTGGAGGGCCCCATTCCTGCCCACCTTCTGGGTAAGGGCAGACATCCAGCCTTGAGGAGGGAGGGAGACAGGCAACAATAGGACTGGGGCACAGCTGGCCAGAGTTCTAAGAGCAGGCCAGGAGAGTAACAAGACTCAAGCCCTGGAGGGAACATGGCCAAGGATGGAGTGAGGTGGGGCTGAAGGGAACCCCCTGCTTGCATTTGGTACCACATTGTCTTTTATGGTGCTGGAAATTGAACTCGGGGCCTTGTGCATGTCAGGCAAGTGCTCCACCCTTCCCCCGCCCCTTCTTAATTGTTGCAGAGCCACCTAGTACAAATAGTACGGATGGGGAGGGAAGTTCACAGTCTTGTTAGGGAGACACCACATCACCCATCATGCCTCAAAACAGCAAGATGCAGGGGAAAGGACTGGGGAGAGTCCACGTGAGTAGAGCATTGAAAAATGAGAGGTTTCTATAAATGGAAAATGGTAGTGGGGAGAGAGGACAGGCCCATGCCTGGGCCAATGGAACGAGAGCAAAGAAGAATTCTGAGAATATACGTCCACTTTAACTTCTGAAGCCTCAGCTTTCCTTGAGTGTGTGAAGGAAGCCGTGGACGACAATAAGGAATGGACAAAAGTCAAGACTTCCAGTTTTCTGTCCCAGTTTGGCCATCAGGAACACTTTCCTGGGGACTATGTTATTATGAGCAGAGGCCAAGCAGGGTCACTGACCACTTAGAAGTCACAAGTGAGACCCCAGAAGGTGGTCCACTTGTGGATCTAGTTCTCTTGATTCCTCTCTGGGGGGTCTAAAGGACATCCAAGTGGACATCAGCTCAGTTAATGAGAAACACACCCCAAGAGGGGTCAGTATGCCCAGGATGGCCTGGGAGCCAGGCAGAGCTGGGGCTTAGAACTCAGCTTCCAGCCATCAGCAAAGGAGGGGCCAGCAGGCACCCGAGCACTCACACAGTCTTTCTCACCCCTCCCTCTGACTCTCTCACTGGTTTACTTTAGACTTCTCCTGATGGTCAGCTTGAGTGCACTCTGCCTTGGCTGTGAAGGATTCCTAACTCTGCATCGATGTTTGAACCTTCCCCTTGTTCTGAATACCTTCCTTTTCTCTAGTGCTGGAGAACTGGGTTCTTTCATTCTCCTAAACTCACAAGGATTCTTGCCAGAGTTACTGTCAGGTGATCTGCGTAGACTGTGGAGGCTGCCAGCCTTTCAGCCAGTCTCATCACTTAGGGGCTGCAGGCCTCTGGGCGGGCTGCTTGATTCTCTGGTTCTAGTCTCCTCCGGTACATAGTGGGAATCATAACAGGACCTGGGTGCAGACAGGATTACAATGTAATGCACAGGAAGTGGTACTCATAAGTGTTTCAGGGACTTTAGCTTCCTCATGTGTAGGATTCTTTCATTGTGCATGGACAGGAAGACTGCCTCGATTCCCTAATGACCAGAAAAACCCTCACCTGTAACCAGTGCAGTAATGACTGGTGTGCAGGTGGAAAATGATGTATGTCAAATACCCAGTGCTTCCGGGCATGATGGTACACACCCATAATCTCAGCACTTAAGAAGCTGAGGCAGGAGGACTGTGAGATCCAGGCTAGCCTGGGCTAAATGCAAGACCCTGTCTCAAAAAAAAAAAAAATGCTCAACACAGTTTGCAAACAGTAGGTGCTCAAGACAGATACCACTATGATTGGCAGGACTGGGATCTGGCTCCATGTCCAGCAGAAGGGCACTAAGCCAAAAAAGTTACATCTGTATCCTTTCTGCCACCTCTTCCCCACCTGTCTCCAGGCAACATGTGGGCACAGACCTGGTCCAATATCTATGACTTGGTGGTACCCTTCCCTTCAGCCCTCAAGATGGATGCCACGGAGGCCATGATAAAGCAGGTCTGTACAGCCAGGGCTCACCACCTCCATGGGCCACCCAGGGGCTCCACAGGGGAGGCCCTACTGGGAGGGGGGAATCTCTCTGATTCTGGAATTTCCTCAACCTGGCTGTCTCTCCACCATCACCCCAGTTTGGGTAGAACTCTCTCTGCTTGCAGGGCTGGACACCCAAAAGAATGTTTGAGGAAGCTGACAATTTCTTTACCTCCCTTGGGCTGCTGCCTGTGCCCCCTGAGTTCTGGAACAAGTCAATGCTGGAGAAGCCGACTGATGGGCGGGAGGTGGTGTGCCACGCCTCAGCCTGGGACTTCTACAATGGCAAGGACTTCAGGTCTGAAATGCAGCTAGGGAGCTAAGGAGCCCTATCCTGAACTCAGGGGCAAGGAAATAAAGTCAAGGCTCCATGGCTCTTCCCTCAGCTGGAGCAAGAAAGAAAGATGGGGCAGTTTGGGACCAAGTCTGAGACTGAGGTTCAAGGGGGTTGGTTTCAGCTATGAGCTTCTGGCAGGGAAACTCCGTCCACCAAATGAGGGTATTCTCATGTGCTGGCCAGCTCTGTCAATGTGGTCTGTCAGGGATGCTCAAGGACCCAGTCACAAGTCCCAGTGAACACCATGTGAGCTGTTCAGTCTTTCTACATACAGCTGGCCCTTTCCTTGGGTGCAGTGCTGGGACGTGGGGAGGACAGGAGGACATGGGGGCATCACATAGACCCACTCTCACCACTGGCAGACCAGAAGCTGCCTTTATCTGGGTGGAGTCTGTATAACAAACCACCCTGGAATGTATTGATGTAAAATAGCCATTTGCCCAGGTGTGGTGGTATACAACTGTAATCCCAGCACTTGGAAGTCTGAGGCAGGAGAATTGCAAGTTTGAGGCCATGCTGGCCTACATAGTGAAACCCATCTCAAAAATGAGAAGAAACCAAAGCCAAGAACCCCAAGCCATTTGATTATGGTCATGATTTTCTAGGCCAGAAATTCAAGCAATGCATAATGGAAATGGGTTATTCCGTACTCCACAGTGATGGAGACCTCACTTGGGTTTTATTATTGGTGATGTTGTTTTGATTTCTTTTTGGTTTTTTGTTTTGTTTTGTTAGTGCAAGGCAAGTGCTTTACCGCTGAGCTACATCTCCAGTTCCACATGGGGTAATTTTAATGGCTGGAATGACTCATCTGGGGCCATCTTCCCAGAGCTTGGGTTCTGGCTACTGGCTGAGTTCCTTGGTGTTTCCCCTTTGGCATGTCTAGGGTGGAATGTTCAAGACGGCCTCTCTGCTCACACATCAGTTGCCTGGTTGGGACTAGCTGGGGGCTGGTCAGGCATCCCTCTCTCCCCTAACTGGCTGAGTTCCCTCACAGTGTGGCAGTGTCACACAGGCAGATTTGTTACCCGGCAGCTGACATCCCCCAGAGCAAAAGTAGAAGCAGCCAAGACTCTCAAAAGCAAAGCCCAAAACTGGCACAGAGTCATGTCTGCCATGTTTAACTTGCTGAAGTAAGACCCAAGGACAACCTAGATTCAAGAGAAGGGGGAAAAGACCCTATTTCTTGGGAGAAGTGGCAAAGATGATCTGCCATAACCGATGAAATGTCCCTTATGAGAAGGACCACAAAGCCTGGAAGCAACTAAGACAGGGCTTCCTGGCCTCCTGGCCTTGGACCCTTCAAAGGCATGAGGACTGAAGCTGTAAAGCTGAGGTAGACAGGCTCAAGGCAGGTGAGTGCTCTTGTGGAGCCTCTTCCCTTTTATGGGGAGTCAGACCTAACCTCATTGTGACAAGGATTCTGGGTAAGCTCCTCCCCATCCCAATGAGAATGATGAGATGGAGCTGTAAGGCTCAGGTTAGATCCAAGGGAGAAGTTTCTGCATTGGAATTGACTCCCCAAAGACAACAAGGAAGATCAATAGGAGGTGGTAGAACTTGACTTGGACAGCTCTGCAGTGTCAGTCAGTCTTTGCCTTAAGAATCCTTTGAATGAATAAACTTGCTGGTGTTGGGTTGCACGCAATGCAGAATAGCCAGACTTCCTCAGGAAGCCCCGGTCTTGGGAGATAAACATAGGTACATGGGAAAACCCTGGACACACACTCTAGAAAGTTTCAGAACTAAGTGGCTCAGTGCTTCCAGAGCAAGTCAGAAAGCAATAGGCAGTGTGGGCTGCAGTTATTCAGGAACGTTGGAGACAGAAGAATGGCTGGAATGACCTTACTTTAGGGGCTTCTGGCCTCCACATTCCTTGCTCAGGCTCACATGATTTCTCCTTTTCACCTTCTTTCCTACATATGCTCCATGAATATAGCAGTTGGTGGGTGTGCTCCATGTTCAAGCAAGCACCATAGTCCCTTTGCCTCTTAGTCCCTCTTCTGACACCATCTCTCTCCACTCCTGTTTCCAGGATCAAGCAGTGCACCACGGTGAACATGGAGGAGCTGGTGGTGGTCCACCATGAAATGGGGCACATCCAGTATTTCATGCAGTACAAGGACTTGCCTGTGGCCTTTCGGGAGGGCGCCAACCCTGGCTTTCACGAAGCCATTGGGGATGTGCTGGCCCTCTCAGTGTCTACCCCCAAGCACCTACACAGCCTCAACCTCCTGAGTAGTGAGGGTGGTGACTATGGTGAGAGAGGGACAAGAGATCCTAGAGGGCTGAGGGCCCAGAAGGAGCAGAGAGCTTGGGAGGTGGGAAAGGGACACTTAGTGGCTCCTGGGCAAAGGTTTGGGACAGAGCAATGGGGAAAAAGGGAGCCTCAGCAAGGTGGGTCTGGGAGGACAGAGCACCATCCCAAGGGGCAGGTCTCAGAGCCCTGCTTGCCTCCACCCATCAGGGCTGAGCTGTTAGGCCCTGGCACAGACCTGAGACTGGGCTCCCTTCCCCTGACAGAGTATGACATCAACTTTCTGATGAAGATGGCCCTCGACAAGATTGCCTTTATCCCCTTCAGCTACCTCCTCGACCAGTGGCGCTGGAGGGTCTTTGATGGAAGCATCACCAAGGAGAACTACAACCTAGAGTGGTGGAACCTCAGGTTCTAGGACCCTGGAGTGGGGCGTGGGTTGGTGCAAATGTCTGAGGGTATCTGCATGTGCTGTGTGTCTGCAGATCAACCAGTGGGGTGTGTGTGTGTGCGTGTGTGTAAATGATGGGGTCTTGGGGTGGTTGTGCACAGAGGCAGAGCATGCAGGAGTACAGGATGCTCGGTGTGGCCCAGGGCTACAAATCAAAATGCCAACTCTCCTCCAGCTTGGTTCTCCCAAACACTCCCTCCAACATATCTCCCCTTGACAGGCTAAAGTACCAAGGTCTCTGCCCCCCAGTACCCAGATCTCAAGGTGACTTTGACCCAGGGGCCAAGTTCCATGTTCCTTCAAGTGTGCCTTATATCAGGTAACGGGATGGGGAGGAATGTGTGCTATGAGGGACCATGCCCACAGCTCTGTATTTAAACCACACTCACTGTGCACCTCATCCCAGAGTTGTAGGAGCTGGTGCATGATGCATGACACCGGGGCCCATTCACCTGCTGCCAAGGCTGACAGCTGTTTCTTTAAACACTCTTGGGATGAGATGAGAGCCTCTACCATCCAAACAGTTGAAAATAGAAACTTAACCTAATAAATTAACTACCTTGGCAGGGTAGTTCATTTAACCATGACACATGCCTGGATGGTGATCTGAGGACTCTCAGTTGTTTTTTTTTAATTGAACAGACTGCCTGTGGTAAACTTTGTACTGCACCTGAAGGACCCAGCTCAGCTGGGAGGCAGGTTATAGGGGCATGTTAAGAGTTGTAATCTCAAGATAGAAGCTTGTGTCCAGGAGCGGCATTTTCTGTCTGTGAGCATCCCATCTCATAGGGTGGTCCCAGGGCTAACTTCTTGGCTTGTTGTCTACACAGAGCTTGCTGGGGAGTGGGTGGCCATGGTCCACCATTGTTAAATCCTCTCCTAAGTGGAGTGTGTCAGCACACTGGCCTGTGAGCCATGTGACCATAGTGTGGAGGTGCCCAGTGCAGCCCCTTTCCTTCCATGTACTCCAGCAGGGCACTTGCCTAGGGGAAGGATGGGTGTGGGATCTGCAGCCACCCAGGAATCAAGGCATAGAAGGCAGGGAGAGTCTCCCAAGAGGGCTCTAGCCATCTCTAGCCCTTACCTCTGGGGTAAGGTTTCTGCAAGCCTAGTAAGGCAGTCCCACTGCCCACCTTTCTATCCTGGCACCTGGAATGGAACAATGCCGGCAACATGGTGGGATGGGAGAAGTCTGCCCCCAGAGCTTAGGAAAGGAGAGAGTGCCTCACCTGCTCAGAAAGGCCAGAGGGTGGTAAGGGGCTGAGGAGCCAAGGAGACTCATCACTGTGACACATCAAAGAGATCCAACTTAGATGGTGCCCCAGCGATGACCCTTAGGGAGGGACCTCCACCCACCTGCTGGAACCGTTTCTGGGGTTTCAGGCCAGCACTCACACACTCTTACACTGAGGTCAGCCATGTGATGCTTGGCGTCACATCTTAGCACAAACAATTAAAAGGCAGGGGTGAGCAAAGGAAACTTGGCAGCTCTAGAAAAACACATCCGTTTGCTTGCCAGCAGCCTGAGCAAAAAGCATTTTGAGGAAATGCCAGGGGAACGAATGGCACATGGCTTGCGCCCAGCATTCAAAAGGATAGGTCTGTGTTGCTGATTGGGACATTTAAAATCTCTCCAGACATGGATGAGGTTGCTCCAGCATTGGTCATCAGATTTCTACCAGGGAATTCCTTCTGTTTGGGATAAGGCCATTCCTGCTGCCTTCCCTGCCTGGACAGCCATGCCAGATCCATGTGCTCCACTTGGCATTCCCTACCCTCTACTTGCACACACCCCAGGGATGAGGACCTCACTGCCTCAAAGCACCCTGCCAAGCCTTTGAAGGGCTCTGCCCTCCTTCCATAGGCTGTTCCTTGAGCCCCTCGGAGTATGCACACCCCAGAAGTGGAGGCAGTCTTGTGGGTGGGAGATACCCACACAGGCACAGCTTGGAGGGGGCTCAGACAACTCCAAAGGCCACGGTGGGCTCACCCTGACATCCTGACTACGGCTTGCTTCACTGGGTCCCCTGCAACTGTTGCAGGCAGCAGGAGCTGGGTCTCATTGGCACAAACCCCTCCACCCACCCCAGGCCATGCCTTCCCTCCACTCTAGATACTTCGTCAGCTTCATCATCCAGTTCCAGTTCCATGAGGCTTTGTGCCAGGCTGCTGGCCACCAGGGTGCCCTGCACAAGTGTGACATCTACCAGTCCAAGGAGGCAGGGAAGCTCCTGGCGTGAGTGTCTTCCAGCCCACCTTTGACTCTTTCTATACTCTGGCCTGCTCCCCGCAACCCTGAGGAGCCCACTGGAGTTTATCTGAAAGATGTGTCACTTTGGCTGTTGAGCTGGGAATTCCCAGCTGGCGCTTGTGCTATGCTTGACCCCCTGGGTCCAGGCCTGCCCTTCTGGCCCCTGCCATCAGATCCCCCCCAGACCCTCCCAATCCTAAAGGGAATGCCAGGCTGGAGAAAAGGTAGCAGGCTGGGGCAAGAGAGAGTAGGTTGCTCTGACTCAGTTTCCTTTTCTTTGGTGCCTTTCTCAGGGACACCATGAAGCTGGGCTTCAGTAAGCCTTGGCCAGAAGCCATGAAACTGATCACAGGCCAGCCTAACATGTCAGCCTCGGCCATGATGAACTACTTCAAGCCACTGATGGACTGGCTCATCACTGAGAACGAGCGGCACGGAGAGAAGCTGGGCTGGCCACAATATGACTGGACGCCAAACTCCGGTACCACCACCCACCCCAACTCCAGCCCCAGGCCCAGCCCCCAGAGCTCACACAGGCTGAGCCCTTTCCCCAGTCCAGGCAGGCTCAAGTCTGACCTCAGAGAAAGGACAGGGATGCCAGAACACATGGCCCCAGCCAACCCATCGCTCTGCCTACTGCCTTGTCTCCTTGCTTCCTCGCCCAGCTCGCTTGGAAGGCTCCTCCCCAGACTCCGGCCTCGTCAACTTCCTGGGCATGAACCTGGAGCCACAGCAGGCCCGCGTGGGCCAGTGGGTGCTGCTGTTCTTGGGTGTTGCCCTGCTGGTAGCCACCTTGGGCCTCACCCAACGACTCTGCAGCATCCGCCGTCACAGCCTCCACCAGTCCCACCGTGGCCCCCAGTTCGGCTCTGAGGTGGAGCTCAGACACTCCTGAGATGATGGGGCTGACTGGGCTAGCCGAAGTGTGTCCCACGAGACACTAGAATGGGAACATGGTGCACAGGCAGAATGTACCCCAGCCAGCCTTCCTCCTCCTCCATCCTGTCCCCCTCCCCACTGTGTTCTCTCCAGCCCACCAGCCATCTCTGGCCAGCCTCCATTCTCTGGCACCCGGCCACCCAACATAGAGCTTCACATCCTCAGTCTCTCTGTGAATACAATTAAAGGTCCTGCCCCCCATCTGAGTCTGTGTCCCTCATGGGGAAGCCAGGGACAGGGACAAGCTTGCTCTCCTGTCTCCTGGCAGTTCAGTGGGTCTACTTCCAGGTTGCTTCCTTCATCCTCTTTCAAGAAGGGCCTTGGAGAATCCCCCAAGCTCTGGCTCCACCCATTCCCCACCCCCCTCACTACTCCCACTCCCCCCAGACCCATGCCTACCTTCCTGCTAACCCCTGCCCACCCAGACACTCACCCAGTAGGACTCTGGGGGAGCAGGAGGAAGGCAGACCCTCTATGCTGCCAACCTCACATGCAATACACCTCCCTGCCCTGGTGGTTCCCATACATGGGAGGGAGGCTTCTGGCTGCCCTTGGCTGTTTCAGGGTAAGTACCCTGGAAGGGCCCTGATGCAAAGCAGACTAGTGGTCACCTTATGCACCTGTCTACACCAGCTCTGTATCTACTTGGATGACAGGTGGACAGCCTTGATTTGCAGACAAAGCCACTCGGATATTGCCCAGAACGGGATGGAGTGGTGCCAAGGGTTAACTGCCACAAGTACCTGCTTACTCCTTTCAGCACACACACCTCTCAGCCTGAGCTGTCCCTTGGAAGGCCTGCTTGGATTTTAGGGAGTGTCATTCTGAGGGACCTTTTCTTTTTTTTTTTTTTTTTTAATAACTTCTAGCTACATGTTTCTGTAGAAATTTTGGAAAACTATAAATAAAAGCCCTTTCTATCAACATCAAGAGATGAGCACTGTCAACATGGCATATTTCGTTCCAGGTTTTTTTTCTCCACACATTTTAAATTGAATCACAATCACACTGTATTTACACGTAGGTATTCTTTTTCAGTTAACATAATTAGATCTACTTTTTGAATATTTAAACACCAACCCTAGAACTTGACCAAATAGAAGTTGATCATTTTCCTGGGGACAAAGTCTTTACTACCCACCTAGCCCCTCTGTTAGGACCCTGGGCCTGAGTCTCGTCTGGGTCACCTTGCTGGTTCACCCTGGAATTCCTGTACCCCAATAACCTTAGTCCACAGTTTTTATTGTTGTTTGATGATACTGGGTTTGAAACTCAGAGCCTTGCAATTTCTAGGTAAGCACTGTGCCACCTGAGCCATTTTTGCTTTAGGTTATTTTTTAGATAGGGTCTCATTTTTTGCCTAGGGTCAGCCTAGACTGCAATCCTACCTATGGCCTCCCACTTATCTGGGACCACAGGCAAGTCCAGCTTATTTAGTGAGTTGTGGGGGGGTCATATTTTTTTTGTCAAGGCTGGCCTCAAACCTCTATCCTCTTTATCTCTGCCCCCCAGTAGCTAGGATTATAGATGTTAGCCCCTGTGCCTAGCCTAGTACACAGGGTTTTTTTTGTTTGTTTGTTTTTGTTTTTCTGTGGTATTGGGTCAAACTCAGGGCTTTGTGATAGGGTCTCACTTTTTGTCCTGGTTGGCCTGGACCACAATCCTATTTTACTATCCCCACCGCCACTGGAATGACAGGTGTGCACCCAGCTTTTTTTCTGTTGACATGGGATTTCATGAACTTTTTTTGCCCAAGCTGATCCAGAACTGCAATCCTCCCAATCTCAGCCTCTGACATAGCTTGGGATGACAGACAGACACCAACACACCCAGCTATTGGTTAAGATGGGGTCTTGCTAACTTTTTGCCCTGGCTGGCCTCAAGCCACAATCCTTCTGATCTCAGCCTCCCAAGTAGCTAGGAATAAATCAGCGGTGCCTGGGTAGTCCACAGTACTTGCTAGGGCGTGTCTGTGTGCAGATGTCTTCCATGGGGCAGGATGTGGAGTTGAATTCTGGATTTGCAAGGAGGTGGAAGTTTACAATTCAGTAGGACAATGAACCTTATAAACATACTCTTGATCCAAGCCTTCTGCTTCCACAGACTGTTTTAGTTCCAGCCCCTCTTTCCAGCCTATGTTTTGCAAAGCTGTCTGCCACACAAAGGACATCTTTAAACTGCCTTTCCTATTTTTATGGACAAGCTCTGCCTGTCAGAGCTTGTGAGCAACATGAGGTCACCAGCCTTCCACACCCAAAGGACTGAGCTACAGACTGAGGGCAAAGAATCTTAACATTGTGGCTGGCCTGACCAGTCTTATACACTCAATTTTTTTAAACTTCAATTGTTAAAACTCCTGTTTGTGCCTCCTTGGGTGAGTGGAGAGAAACCGGGTCCCCCTAGGAGGTGGTAGAAGACAAGGTAGTGACAGCAGAAAGAAGGCAACACCAGCACTTACTTCCAGTGGCCCTAAAGTCTGAGCCCTTCCTCATGGCTCACCTGCCAAGGTGACCTACCTGCTCTCACCTACACTGACCAAAGGTGGTTTGGAGGCTAGATAGTTCTTTGACCTCCCAACTTCTCACCCTTCCTCTAGCTGCCTACACTGGTTCTGACTTTCACATCAGTGAATCAAGTGGCTTTGGAGTAGGCCTGAGACCAAGCCCACCTTGGCACTTACTACCTAGGTGACTTTGAGTTGCCTGGGTGTTTTTTGGGGGGGGGGAGTACTGGAATTTGAACTCAGGGCCTCATGCTTTCGAGGTAGGTGCTCTACCACTTGAGACACTCCACCAGCCTTTTTTTCATAATGGGTTTTTTCCAGAGGGTCTTGTGCACTATTTGCCAGGGGCTGGCTTTGAACCACAAAGCCCCTAGCTACCTCCTAAGTAGCTAGGATTACAGGCATGAGCCACCAGCATCCAGCTGAGCCTGTGTTTTTCGTACCTGTGGAATGGTTCTTGCAAATCCTACATGATTGCTGTAATCATGCAGAAAGTCCGAGCGCGTGGCTCCCTCTGTAATGAATGGTCAGCCCCTGGTCAAGATGTTTCATATCTGCCCCACACTGCATTCCCAAGTCCCTGACCAGAGAGCTGCAGTCAGACTGAGACCAGCTCCTGCCTTGAGAGAGAGGGAAAGGAACAGAGCAATTGGGTGACAACACTGGAGGGAAAACTTGAGTCATCTGTCGGTGTTCCTGCCCCCCCCTCCCCCACCACTTCTAGTAACTTTAGCACACAACTTCCTGCACGAGGGACTGGTTTCTTCCCAGGAGCACAGCTTGCTTGGTTAGTTCCAGCACATTCAGCCACCATCTTTCCCTTTCACTCACGCTGTCCAGCCTCTTCGTGGACTCTGGTTAGACCCTGCTTGGAGTTTGTCTTGTCCTCTGTCCCCCAATTCATGATCACGTTTCTCACATGTGTGTCCAGATAGGTCCCCAGCTGTGTCTTCTCAGGCCCAATTCTGTTTTTCAGTCCACTGCTTAAGCTGTTCACTGAGGGCTTTGTTGTTTCAATTTAATAGCCATGTTTTTCCTTTTTTTTTTTTAGAATGTTTTTATTTTGTTAAATGTACCCTTTTAATTTTCAAACTAAATTGGCTGCCATGTTTTTCATTTAACATTGCTGTTTCTTTTAAACCTCCTGCATTTTTACAAAAGCTTTTTTTTTCTTTTTTTTTGCAGTACTGGGGTTTGAACTCAGGACCTATACACTGATCCCCTTCACCAGCCCTTTCTGGGGATTTTTTTCAAGATAGGGTCTCTTGAACCATTTGCCCTGACTGACTTCAAACTGGGATCCTCCTGATCTCTGCCTCCAGAGTAGCCAGGATTATAGGTGCGAGCCACCCGCACCTGATACCTATTTTTGCTTCACCGATTCTGTTCCTTACTGTAAAGATCTGTGTTGTTTTGGTTTTGGTTTTTAATTGAGACAGGGTCTTACTAAGTTGCCCAAGCTGGCCTCAGACTTGTAATCCTCCTTCCTCAGCCTCCCAGGTAGCTGGGATTACAAGTATGATCCATGGAACCTGGCTCTGTGTTTTGTTTTGTTTTTTAATTGTGGTAAAGCAGATATAACATTTACCATTCTAACTACTTCTAAAAATATGCTTTTAGCCAGCACCAGTGGCTTACATCTATAATCCTAGCTACTTGGGAGGCTGAGTTTGGAGGATTGAGGTTTGAGGCCAGCCTGGGGAAATAGTTCATGAGACATCATCTCTAAAAACAACCAGAGCAAAAATGGACTAGAGATGTGGCTCAAGAGGTAGAGTGCCTGCTTTGCAAGTACAAAGCCCTGAGTTCAAACCCGAGTCCCACATAAAGAAAATTTTATATATGTATATATATTTGTTTGTTTGTTTTAGGTGATACAGAATATCACCTAAACTTTTTATGTTTTCTATGTTTTGTTTTTTTGGTGCAGGAGATTGAACCCAGGGTCTTTCAAATGCTAAGTATGAGCTCTACCACTGAGCCCCATCTTAGCCTTTTTTTTTTGGTGGGACTGGGGCTTGGTGCTTGCTTGCAAAGCAGGCCCTCTACCACTTGAGTCACATCTCCAGCCCATTTTGCTCTGGTTATTTTGAAGATGGGGTTTCATGAACTGTTTGTCCAGGCTGACTTTGAACCTCGATCTTCCCCATCTCAGCCTCCTAAGCAGCTAGGATTACAGGTGTGAGGCTCTGGTGCCTGGTTCATTTTTTTTTAATGAACGTAATTCAGCAGCTTTAGGCACATTCTCGTTGCTGTGTAACCACCACCATCACCCAGCTCTAGAACTTTTTCATTTTTCCAAACTGAAACTCTGCACTCATTCAACAGTAACTCCCCATTTCCTCTCCCTCAGTCCCGGGTAACCACTGTTCCACTCTGTCTCTAGGATTTCACCACTCTAGGGACCTCATATAAATAGAATCATACGATATTTGCCCTCTTGTGTCTGGCTTACTTCTCTTAGCATAATGTTTTCAAGGCTCATCCATGGTATGACATGTACTAGAATTTCCTTCCTTTTTAAGACTGAGTAATATTGCATTGTATGTGTATATCACGTTTATTTATCCATTCATCTATCAAGGAACATTTGAACTTCCAAAGGCTATCAAGAATAGTGCTGCCATACACAAGTATCTATTATTTGTGTCTGTAGCCTGAAGCAGGACTGCTGGATCAGATGGTAATTCTATGTTTAATTTGTTTTGAGGAACTTCCATACTGTTTTCCACAGTTGCTACACCATTTTACATTCCCACTAACAATGCCCAAGGGTTTCAATTTCTCTACATCCTTGCTGAAACTTTTGGTTTTTTGATTATTAGCCAGCTAATGGGTGTGAAGTGGTGTCTTGTGGTTTTTATTTGCATTTCCCTAATGATTAGTGTTATTGAGTATCTTTTTTTTTTTTTATGGTGCTGGGGTTGGAACACAGGACCTTGTGCTTGCCAGGCAGGCTCTCTACCCTTGAGCCACTCCGCCAGCCCTATGGAACATCTTTCCATGTGCTGTGAGCCCCTCACTATCTTCTTCCTCCTCCTCCACTTCTCCCTCCTCCTCCTCCTCCTCCTCCTCCTCCTCCTTCTTCTGGTACTTGGGCTTTTTGGAACTCAGGGCTTCATGATTTGTCTCTTGAGTCACACCTCCAGTCCATTTTGCTTTGATTATTTTTCAAGATGAGTCTCCCAAACTATTTGCTCAGGCTGGCCCCAAACCTCCTGATCTCAGCCTCCAAGTAGAATTACAGGCATGAGCCACCAGAACCTGGCTCCCTCACTGTCTTCTTTTTTTTTTGTTCTTTTATTACTCATATGTGCATACAAAGCTTGGGTCATTTCACCCCCTTGCCCCCACCCCCTCCCTTACCACCCACTCCGCCCCCTCCCTCTCCCCCCCACCCCCTCAATACCCAGCAGAAACTATTTTGCCCTTATTTCTAATTTTGTTGTTGAGAGAGTATAAGCAATAATAGGAAGGGACAAGGGTTTTTGCTGGTTGAGATAAGGATAGCTATACAGGGCATTGACTCACATTGATTTCCTGTGCGTGGGTGTTACCTTCTAGTTTAATTCTTTTTGATCTAACCTTTTCTCTAGTTCCTGGTCCCCTTTTCCTATTGGCCTCAGTTGCTTTTAAGGTATCTGCTTTAGTTTCTCTGCGTTGAGGGCAACAAATGCTAGCTAATTTTTTAGGTGTCTTACCTATCCTCACCCCTCCCTTGTGTGCTCTCGCTTTTATCATGTGCTCAAAGTCCAATCCCCTTGTTGTGTTTGCCCTTGATCTAATGTCCACATCTGAGAGAGAACATACGATTTTTGGTCTTTTGGGCCAGGCTAACCTCACTCAGAATGATGTTCTCCAATTCCATCCATTTACCAGCAAATGATAACATTTCGTTCTTCATGGCTGCATAAAATTCCATTGTGTATAGATACATTTTCTTAATCCATTCGTCAGTGCTGGGACATCTTGGCTGTTTCCATAACTTGGCTATTGTGAATAGTGCCGCAATAAACATGGGTGTGCAGGTGCCTCTGGAGTAACAGTCTTTTGGGTATATCCCCAAGAGTGGTATTGCTGGATCAAATGGTAGATCAATGTCTAGCTTTTTAAGTAGCCTCCAAATTTTTTTTCCAGAGTGGTTGTACTAGTTTACATTCCCACCAACAGTGTAAGAGGGTTCCTTTTTCCCCGCATCCTCGCCAACACCTGTTGGTGGTGGTGTTGCTAATGATGGCTATTCTAACAGGGGTGAGGTGGAATCTTAGTGTGGTTTTAATTTGCATTTCCTTTATTGCTAGAGATGGTGAGCATTTTTTCATGTGTTTTTGGCCATTTGAATTTCTTCTTTTGAGAAAGTTCTGTTTAGTTCACTTGCGCATTTCTTTATTGGTTCATTAGTTTTGGGAGAATTTAGTTTTTTAAGTTCCCTATATATTCTGGTTATCAGTCCTTGTCTGATGTATAGTTGGCAAATATTTTCTCCCACTCTGTGGGTGTTCTCTTCAGTTTAGAGACCATTTCTTTTGATGAACAGAAGCTTTTTAGCTTTATGTGGTCCCATTTATCCATGCTATCTCTTAGTTGCTGTGCTGCTGGGGTTTCATTGAGAAAGTTCTTACCTATACCTACTAACTCCAGAGTATTTCCTACTCTTTCTTGTATCAACTTTAGAGTTTGGAGTCTGATATTAAGATCCTTGATCCATTTTGAGTTAATTTTGGTATAGGCCTCACTGTCTTCTTGAGAGAACTATCTCTACTTAAGTCCTTCCTCTTCTTTGGATTTTGAGTTAGAGTTCTTTCTATACCCTGGATATTAATTCCTTATCAGATGTGATTTGCAAATATTTTCTCCCATCGTATGAGTTGCCTTTGTGCTGTTGATGGATGCACTAAAGTTTTTTTTTTTTTTTTCAGTAATGAGGATCAAACCCAGCACCTTGTGCATGCTAGGCAAGCACTGAGACACAGCCCCAGCGCTCAGAAATTTTTAATTTTAGGGCTGGAGGCATGGCTCAAGCTATAGAGCACCTGCCTAGTAAGCATAAAGCCCTGAGTTCAAACCTCAGTACACCATAGATTTTTTTAAATTTTAATTTCAGGGCTGGCAGAGTGGCTCAAGTGGTAGAGAGCCTGCCTAGCAAGCTTGAGGCCCTGAGTTCAAACCCCAGCACTACCAAAAAAAAAAAAAAGTCAATCAAATTTTAATTTCAAAGAAGTTGAGTTTGTCAATTTTTGTTGTTGTTGCCTTGTTTTTGGTGTCATATTCAAGAAATTATTGCCAAACTTAATGTCATTAACCTTTTCCCCTATGCTTTCTTCTAAAAAATTTTTTTATAGATTTTGCTCTTTTCTTTGGTCTTTGATCCTGTTTGAGTTCATTTCTTTTTTTGAATTGTTGTACTGAGTGGGGCTACATTGTGGCATTTATAAATTGAGTTAATTTGTGTATTTAGTTAAGTTCTGAGTTTTAAGTATCTTTTGTGCTGATGAGACCTTCCTCAGTGTCGTCCGCTTCACTCATGTGTCTTTAGCTCATCACAGATCTTGGAGCCAGGCCACTGGATTTCAGACCCACTGCCACTATTTGGTAGCTGTGTCTATAAACAAGTTCCTCATGTGAAAAATGGAATATTGATCGAAGTACCTACCTGATGGGTTTGTGATGAGGATTTTGATACTGAAAGCCCCTAATGGTAGCTAGCACCTGGAAAGGGGATTTGATGGGGGTTGGTTATTGTTATAATCACTCCTGAAAAAAATCACTAAATAGCCCAGGATGGATTTCAACTCACCATCCTCCTGCCCAGCCTCCTGAGGGCTGGATACAAGCATGTACCACCAGCCTGGCACTAGAAATCCTAGGTTTCATCAAACACGTCTATATGAGCTGGTGGATCACGCCTGTAATCCTAGCTACTCAGGAGGTAGAGATCAGGAAGATCCCAGTTTGAAGCCAGCCCAGGCAAATAGTTCAGGAGACCCTATCTCAAAAAACCCTTCACAGAAAAAAAAAAAAAGGGCTGGTGGAGTGGTTCAAAGTGAAGGACCTGAGTTCAAGCTCTAGTACCACAAAAAAAAAAAGTCTACATGTTTGGAGCAGAAGGGCTACCCTGTAAACTCAACTTATTAATTCCTGTGAGCCCATATGTGTCACTGATTTTTCTTTCTTTCCTTGTGTTTTTAAATACATTTTGATCACATAGATCATACCTTGGGGGTTATTTGGTCTATTTTCTGCATGGTGAAGTAGTGGGTGACTCTGGGCTTTAGGCAACTGAAGAGTAGAAGTCTGTGAGTAGAGGAAAGTGAGTCTGAGGACAGAATCTCAAGGTGGAGCAGATGGGGCTGGGCTCTCCAAGCAATATAGGTCATTGTCCTGGGGTGTCACCACAGGCCAGCAGGGAGCTGAGTTCCATAGTTGAAGCTGAAACCAGGCTCAGGAACTCATGGCCCTGCCCCTGAATGGTGGGGTTAGCCATACCTCTGCATACCCCATGCAGCCCTCAGCCCTGTGTGTCTTCCTCAACTGACTACTTCCTGCACAAGCAGGTGTGAGAGTGAAGGAAAGGGAGGAAGGGCCCTGTACAGCCAATGGCGATAATCACATATCCCACGAGAGAGGAAAATACCAAAAATGTGAACCTAAGAGGTCAACTTAAAAGAGCCTGAGGAGACAACTGGGCTTCCAAAGTCTGAAGTCCCAGAAATGTCACTTTCATGCATACATCCATCCATCTGTCCATCCCTCCCTTGCTCCCTCTATCCACTCATCCATCCATCCATCCATCTCTCACCCATTTGTCCATCCACCCACTCATCCGTCATCCCACCCACATGCTTAGAGGTGACTCCAACCTGTGGAGACCTAAGGGGTCTCATCAATCCCTGGCTAATGTGCAAGGGTGGCTCCAACCCCCAGGAGAAGGGACCAAGTAAAGTAGAACAAATTCTGGCCTAAAAGTCCAGAGCCCTGGGTTCTCTTCTTAGCTCTCCCATTAGCTAGCCATGTGAATCAGGTTATATGATTTGACTGTCCAAGACCTCAGAATTTTCCTCACCTGTAAAATGGAGACAGTTGCACCAAAAGGTGTGTGTGTGGGGGGGGTGCTTTCCAGTACTAACATTCCGTGGCCAATCCTTTGGTCCCTGATGTCACAATAGGGAGCTGGTTCATAATTGGCCCATAGCCTCCTCCAGCTCTGCTATTCTCTTGATCATGGGAACAAGATGGACTCACCCTGGACCTTCCCTTCTTGTGCTTCTCTGTTATGGGCAGCTCTTGCTATTGCTCAAGACTGTGGGTGATCTGGGTTTAAGTACGACAGGGATCCAAAGGGGCCTGGGATGAGATAAGGGGATGGGGCAGGGGCAGGACTCCCCCAGACCACAGAATCCCTTTCCCTGCAGATGAATTGTACAATGAAACTGAGGCAAAGCTGTTTCTGCAGTTTTATGAGCAAACAGCCCAGGTTGTGTTGAACCAGTTCATGGAGACCACTTGGAACTATGTCACCAACATCACCAAGCCAAATCAGGAGAAAATGGTGTGGTACCACCTTCCCCCTCAGTCCCTCTTCCCCTTGCTCTTCTTAGTGGTCATGGGGGTTGGGGATCCAACCTCCTGCCCCCGTCCAGAGCTAGAGGAAAGAGGGAAGTCACAAAACACATCAAAATAGGCTGCAAGCTCCAGGCCTCTTGGTGGCCTCAAAAAACTTTCTCTGCATAAGAATCTCTTGCTTCTTTTTCCTTGTAAATCTTACCTCCTTGCTTCTCAGGCTTCCTGTTTCTCCCTCTTAGCAAATCTGCGATGATTCTGGACCCTTAAAGTGGCCTTCAGGAGTGAGTGGGAAAGGGAAGGGCTGTGGCCCTGGAGTTCAATATGGGACCTACTCACTGTAACAAATTTGGCAACTCTCTTTCTAGCTGCAGAAGGAGGTGGAGAGGACCCAGTTCATGACATACTTTGGCACCCGGGCCCGCCTGTTTAAGATCACCCAATTCCAGGACCCGGCTGTGAAGCGCATGCTGAGTAAGCTGCAGGACATAGACAAGGCGGCCTTGCCCAAGGACGAACTCCAGGAGGTGATAGACAGAGCCCCAGGCCTCCAGGCACACGCTCCCCTGCCCCAGGGGTGGGTGGGTGGGTCGGTCAGGCCTGGTGGGGGGGGAACCAGAGTGTCTGGAGCAGGAGGGGGATGGGTGGGGAAAGGGGGGACTTCAGCCAGGCGCACCCCTCCTGGCTGTTGGGACTAGTGTTGGGGGTGGGCCCAAGGGCACAGGCCTGCCCTGGGTGACACCTACTCCTCCAGTACAACAAGCTTCTGGCCTACATGGAGACGACGTACAGTATGGGCCAGGTGTGTCTGGATGAAGGGCCTTGCATGACCCTGGAGCCTGGTGAGCCCCCAAGCCCTGCCCCTTATATGAGCCTCCTGACCCCAACTGCACGCCCTAGTTGAGGGAGGGGCATCCAGGGAGGGTGAGGGCAGAGGCACGTGGGCATGGGGTCCCATGTGGTTCCTATTCTGGGCACAGACCTTGAAGAGATCATGGCCACCTCCAGGGACCGGAAGGAGCTGCTGTGGGCCTGGCAGGGCTGGCGAGATGCTGTAGGTCGCCAGCTGCGCCCCATTTTCGGGCGCTATGTGCAGCTCAGCAACAAGGCTGCGCGGCTCAATGGTGAGCAGTCTAGACGTGACATGTCGTGGGTAAATGCCCAGGAAGGGCCAAAGCTGAGACTGCAGAGGACCCAAGCAGAGGCAGAACTCTTTTTCCCTTTGTGGGGAACCACAAACCCCACAGCTGGGCCCCGCAAATTTTGACAGAGCATCTAGTATGCGCTGTGTGCTGGAGAAGTGGAAGGACAGACATGTCTGCCCTCATGGATTTGCAATCCTGTGTGGGAGGTGACCACAGTCAAGTACACACTAATCTCTAATGCCACTGAGAGGATGCCACAGAGGAAGGGGTTGCTGAGGGAGGAATGAGGAGAGACCCCTTCAGACAAGTGGTCAGAGAAGACTTTGCTGGATTTACCCAGGCCTGGAAGATGGGCAAGAGCCAGGCAAGCAGGGAGCAAAGGCTCATCCTGGGCAGCAACTCCGCACTAGGAGGGAGTTGGGGTTTTGGTGGATCCAAAAGAAGCCCGTATGTTCACAGGACTATGGATGAGGTAGGGCTTGGGGTGGGCGAAAAAGAGGACAGGGCCTTGCAAACATGGACAGGAGCTGGCACTGATTTGTCGCAGCATGGACAGTGGCTTTGGAACCTAGTTGTCCCATTTTGCAGGTGAAGACCCCAAAGATCAGGGAAGTTAAGCAACTTCCCTAAGAAGGTGTCTGGGTCTCCTCCCTGCAAGGCCAGGGCAGAAGGGTGTGGCATGGAGGGCGCCTTTTGAGGCCTTTCTCCTGTCCTAGGCTACAAAGACATGGGGGCTTTGTGGCGCTCCAAGTATGAGTCTGACACCTTGGAGCAAGACTTGGAGCAGCTCTACCAGGAGCTACAACCACTCTACCTGAACCTGCATGCCTATGTGCGCCGTGCCTTGTACCGCTACTATGGGTCAGAGGTCATCAACACACGGGGACCCATCCCTGCCCACCTCCTGGGTAAGAGCCAGGCTGGCGGCAGAGGTGGGCACTCACTCAGGGGAGAGGTTGCTCTCGCCTCCTCTTAGCCCTTCTGCTTCCTTCCAGGAAACATGTGGGCTCAGTCCTGGGTCAACATCCTAGACCTGGTCCTGCCCTATCCTCAGACGCCTCCAGAGGATGTCACGAAGATCATGAAAGGCCAGGTCGGTGCTTGGCTTCAGGGTGTCCCACCCCTCAGTACCCCTGGGCACACAGGACAGCCCCCATGCACCTCTTCTTTCTCCACAGCACTGGAAGCCTGAGAAAATGTTTGCAGAAGCAGACATGTTCTTTACCTCCTTGGGGCTGCTAGCTGCCCCACCTGATTTCTGGAAAAAATCTATGCTGGAGAGGCCAACTGATGGGCGGGAAGTGGAATGCCATGCCTCTGCCTGGGACTTCTACAAGGGCAATGATTTCAGGTGCCCACTTTCACATGGCCTGCAGCCGGAATGATACTCTGCCCTTTTCTGTCTGTTCCCCGCTGTCTGCCCGTTTTAGGTCATGTAGGCAAGGAGTGGGCAATGGGAGTGGGAGAGCAGGGTCAGAGGATGGGCAGTGAGAGCCAGGAGCAAGAAGTGGGGGAGGTGGGTGTGTGAAAGCAATGGGGCATGGTCACTGGTTGGATATGGGACCTGGAGTGAGAAAGGACAACAGCTAAGGCCTTTCTGGTCTCCAGCTTGTCCACCCCGGATCCTTTAAAGGAATCTGAATGGGGACGCTTTCATTCTCCCCAGGGAGTCCCCATGCTCCTTAACCCCTGCCCTTTAACTGTAGGATAAAGAAGTGCACCGAGGTGACCATAGAAGACCTGCTCTCCATCTTCCACCAGATGGGCCATATCCAGTACTTCCTGCAGTACCAGAACCTCTCTATACTCTTCCGCACAGGCGCCAACCCAGCCTTTGAAGAGGCCGTGGGGTCGATGATCACCCTCTCGGCCTCCTCCCATAAGCACCTGCTCAACAGAGGCCTGCTCAGCCTCCAGCACCAGAATTCAGGTGATGGGGACCAAGAGGAAAACAGTAAGACTACCTGAGCCTGGAGCTAAAGCCAGGGCTGTGGGGGTGTGGGGGTGACTAGAGCTTTCCAGGTAAGGCTAAAGGAAAGGAGAATCCAGAAGTTGCCTCCTGATTGCCCTGACCCCATCCCCAGAGGAGGAGGTCAACTTCCTGATGGGCATTGCCCTGGAGAAGATTGCCCTCATCCCCTTCAGCTACCTGGTGGACTTATATCGCTGGAAGGTCTTCGATGGCACCATCCAGAAGAACATCTACAACCAGGAGTGGTGGAAGCTCAGGTGGGGAAGGCAATGGCCCTGGGCTCTTGGCCCTGTCCCCTCTCCTGATGTGGGCAGAGCTTGACAGTGAGCGTGCAATGTTGGTGAGCTGAGGGCCTGAGGAAGCCCTTGGCAATGCGAACTGTTTGCTGTCACCCAGACAAAATCTTCCATGCTGTAGTGCACAGAGCCAACATGGGCCAACCATGAGGCTGAATCTGGCACTAGCGCTGATTGGTCTCTTAACTTCTCTAGGCTTCCATCCCATCTGTGGAAAAAGGGACTCTGGTGGTGGCTCCACTGCTCCCTGGATGGGTAGGAAGCTCCCACCATGATTGCAATTGGGCTTCTCCAAGAACAGAAACACTAACCTTCAGGCAGTCCCCTGCTGCCTCCTCCCACAGTGAGGTCAAAAAGTTTACAGGGGCCTGAGAACTTTCCCTTCTAGGAGTTCCCATGGGAGAGAGAGACAGGCCCACCATCCCAGCACACACACACATACACACACACACACACACACACACACACACACACGCACATGCACACATGCACACACACACACGCACATGCACATCTGCCAGAGGCTCAGCATCCCAAGCTGTCATCAAGCAGGTCTTTTGATTGCATAATAAATACCAGTAATAAGGACTTCTCCATATCCACCAGGCTGGCTCAAGGCTGCTAGACACAGGGTGCAATGGGTCACTGAGCATGGCCTACAGTTTTTCTGCACCAGGCCCTTGTGTTCATTTGAACCATCACAACCATGCCGTGTGGTGCTTGTTCAAGGTGCTCACCTCACAGAAGCAGCAATCAGTGCTCACAGAGCTTGCCAAAGTCATGTCCACCCCAGCAGGTGGCTTAGCTCCTCCTTTTGTCCTCCCACCTTCACCAGTAGCCTGCCTCATTGGTGGGGTCAGTAGATCTTGACTTTGTGTCCTTCAAGGACACCAGCCCTTGAGACACCCACCACAGGGTGCCAGCAGTGCCCACCACCAGCTGATGGAACCCAGTGGCAGAGTAAGAGCTGGTGACAACTTGGGCCTTGATCAAGAACAGGAGGAGAGGTAACTCCAAAAGGATGGGAGCCGGTGAACCAACAAGACAACAATAAGCCTTCCCACAGACTGTCTTGTCCCAAGGATGGGTAACTTGATCCCCACTTTATAGACACTTAAGACAAGGCTCAGTGACAACCAGTCTCATGTTTGTACAGCTGAGAGGGACAAAACAAGAACTTTAGGTTATTAGGATCTGCCAATGACTAGTTTTGGGTTCTGCGGCCAGTTTCCTGATTGCTAAACCTTGGTTTTCCTGTCTGTAAAAATGAGAACAATAGTAATGCTGCACCTCAGAAGTGTTTCTCTGTTTTCTTCTTAGCATTACTTATTAGTTCATCCTCCATCATTTGGATGGATGCAAACAGGGCCTGGCCCCCTCAGAGGTCAGGCATGTGTGTTGAGTGAGTGCAGGAATTCACACAGAAAGCTCAGCTCAGAGCACAGGGAAGTGCTTGGTGTGGACTGCTGTTATTATCTCATTCTGGTTCCCCATCCTGCATGTGTTCACTTGTCTCATCAATGCAAATGGATCGAGTGTGTGTTGCATGCCAGGTCCAAGTTTGGGGTTTTTCCATTGTTGTTGTCGTTTACTTTTTTGAGACAAGATCCCAGGCTCATCTCAAACTTGAAATCTTCCTGTTTCAGTTGCCTGAATGCTAGGATTACAGGTGTGTACCACCATGCCTGCCTGGTCAGGTCCAGACACATAAAAGTGGTTCAAAAAAGAAAAGGCTCTGAACTTCAAGGATCCATATTCAAGCCTCTGTTTCTCTCCCATCAGGTTGACGTACCAGGGCCTGTGCCCCCCCACTCCACGGTCAGAAGAAGACTTTGACCCAGGTTCCAAGTTCCATGTTTCTGCCAGTGTGCCCTACATACGGTAAAGGTTTGGCTCTGTTGACAGAGCCAGCTCTGAGAGTTGGAACTTGGGGAACACAGGACTGAGGACTTCTAAGATGGCCCTATACCCAAACATCACCTGCACCTCTATCCCTCCCTCATCAGCTTTGAGCTTTGCCATTAGGGCCTGTGAAGAGGGTAGAGTGGTTGGGAACATTCTAAACCATCCCTGTTGCCTCCTGGAGGAGGGTAGGAGAAGGGGAGGCACGGGCTGGGTTACTGTTGGTTCAGAAGGCTAGAGAAGGATTCTTGGGACAACCCAAGGCAGAGGTTGCCCAAGGAGCCTTCGTGCAGGCTGTGGCTACTGGTGTGGGCCCAAAGGCCAGTGCATGTCAGAGCTTCTTGGTTCCATGTGGCTCTAGGCTTCCCACCCCTGGCCTCTATTCCCCAGTCTGCCCTCATGCTCCTCTACCCAGGTACTTCATCAGCCTAGTGCTCCAGTTCCAGTTCCACGAAGCGCTGTGCAAGGCCTCAGGCCATGTGGGCCCCCTGCACCGGTGTAACATCTATAACTCCAAGATGGCTGGGAAGATCCTGGGGTGAGTGTCCTCCTCCCTCCTTTGTTCTTAGTTCCTGACATCAACCTTGCCGGGAGTCCTGCTCTGTGAACTCTTTCCTCACCTGATCACCCTGGGTTTCCTGAGCAGAGCTTCACTGATCGCTAGAGGAGACTGCTGTTCCTCCTACATCAATACAAGCCCATTTCTTCTGGTGTAGCCCATTTGGCCCCTGCTGCTAACACACATGTGCACAAACACACATATAGTCTTGCATATGCAGTACATCAAACTGCTCTAGATGGGAAACCAGAGATGGAGTCCTGCCCCAGCCTTCTGCTTTCCATCTGAATCCCCTCGCTCTTTCCTTGTGGGGGGCTTGGCTGTCCCTCAGCTGCATTTGAGCCACTCTTCTATGCACTCTGCTTTTCCTGTCATCTTGAAGGTGTTCAATCCAATTCCCAGGCTGATCCAAGTGGTCCACTTTGACCTTCTAGTCTTTTCTCCTGTATTTGATATCTAGCCCATCCTTTCCAGACCTGCTGATGTATCTCTTAACTTTACAAAGTGGATACCATCCATCATTTGCAAATGATGAAACTGAAGGTCAGAGAGGTCACTTGATTGTCATTGATTTACTAAGAAGCAAACATTCTGACTTCGCTGAGTGTAAAACAGATTATCTTTCATACTGTTGTGTCCAAACTGTTGAGATTAGATCCAGTTCTACTGGTTCCAACCATTGAGCTGTGTAGTTCACCCACTAACTGGGCCTTCCGCCATCCTTGATTACGACTAATTTCAGTATGTCCATTTCCCTAGTTGGTCAAGGTCACCATTTTATTTATATCTCCCAGAGAATTAACGATGCCACATGATATAGTATCCTTTGCATGTTTTGTCTTGTTTTTGAGACAGGGTCTCATTATATAGGCCAGGCAGGCCTCAAACTCAAGGTCCTCCTGCCTCTGTCTCCCAAGAGCTGGGATTATAAGCATGTGCTACCATGCACCCAGTCTCCTTTGCATACCCAATGAGCATAGTTTTGATTTCTACAGGCAGTTTGTCTGTAACTACCAGGCAAGATGAAGTTGGAGGACTGGTCCCCTGGACTTTGCTCCCAGGGAGGACTATACCTTGCATGACAATCATCTCTCTTATTTGTTCTTCCACTCTTTCATACCACAGGAGTTTATTCTAACTAACTGCTTAGCTTTGAGACTTTTCTGAATGTGTCGAACACAAGGGCTCCTGTTTGCTCTCTTCATTCATGTCTCTGGCTGCCTGTCTTGTATTCATTCAGGAAACATTTACTGCCAGGCACCAGTGGCTCACACCTGTAATCCTAGCTACTCAGGAGACAGAGATCAGGAGGATCACAGTTCGAAGCCAGCCCGGGCAAATAGTTTATGAGACCCTATCTCAAAAAAAAAAAAAAAACCATCACCAAAAAGGGCTGGTGGAGTGGCTCAAGATGTAGGCCCTGAGTTCACGCCCCAGTACCACAAAAAAAAAAAAAAAAAAAAAAGGGAAACATTTACTTATGACAGTGCTGACCAGTCACTCTGTGTCCAGCAGGGGGCACTGGACCATGCAATAAATAAATTACATATTACCAGAAAGGAGCTAAGAGCAATAGGAAAGGACTTTGGTGAATATGCAAAAAGGGTTAGGTGGTCCAGTGAAGGCTGGGGGTTGGAGGGAAGAAGAGGAACACAACACCAAAGAGGAATCTCTATCCCCAGATGCAGGAATGCAAGAGATAGAAGAGTCTGTTTTCTTCACATCATCCCACCTGGGATGTTTGACCTGTCATCCTCACCACTTCTCTCCTCCATCCCATCCAGGGTGCACACAGTTCCCAGGGACTGACTTGGTCCCAAACCGTGTGACCAGTCATCTTTTGTCATTGCTCATCAGTCCTTCTGTATCACTGTCCACACCCTTGGTCTGAGAAGACCCTGAATCTCTTGTTCAGGGCCTTCAACCTCATTTTCTGGGTTGTGAGTAGAGGACGGGCTCTAAGAAAGAGGGTGTCATGAGCTTTGGGGAGAATGAAATGGCTGCAGAGTGGGAATGGGTTGTGCAGGAGAGGGGAGGCAAGGGCCTTTGTGGATGAGGGTGGAGCAGGGGTTACCAGGCCTATTTTGCTTGCTTCATTATATGCCAATCACTGAAATGATGCATTTTGCAATAGAGAAGGAGTTTATTCATAAGACAGCCAAATACGAGGAGACAGGAGACCCAAGTCTCAAGTCTACCTCCTTGAAGATGGAGATTGGCAATGTTTACTCACCGATGCAAATACCCTGGACCAGGCTATGAGCTGATTCTGCTAGGAATGAAGGGTCAAAGTAGACCCCATGTAATTTCTCAAAGTCCTCTTGCTCCCCTAGTTAGCTGGCCTGTCCTTGTCCAGGATGGTGGTGTGAGAGTTGAGGCTAGTGCCCAATGTCCAGCTCTGCAGCCTTCTGCTTTCCTGTCCTTCCCAGATGGTCTGCTGCTGAGTTTGGATTACAAAGCTTGCCCCCACAGCTGCGGGGCTGGGTTGTCTTTTTGTTTTACTGTTTTTCAGTGCTGGGGTTTGAACTCAGGGTTTTATAGGCAGGCACTCTACCACTTAAGCCATGCCCCCACCCCTTTCTGCTTTAGTTATTTTTTGCCCAGAGTTAACCTCCATCCTCCCAGTCTCCGATCCCAGTTTACCTGGGATTATATAGATATGAGCAACCACACTTAGTTGCAGGCTGTTCTAAGGAAGAAGACTCTCAATAGTCAAAGCTGTTCTCCCAGGTTGGGGATTACATGGTGGGCCCACACCTGAAATTCCAGCATTCAGAAGGCTGAAGCAGAAGGATTGTGAGTTCAAAGCCAGCCTGATCTACATAGGAAGACCCTGTCTCAAAACAAACAAGCCATTTACCCCACTAGGTTCTTCTTAACCATCTTACCAAGGGTTCATTATGGTTTTTGTTTTCTTTTCTTTCTTCCTTTTATTTATTTTTTATTATTTTTTGTGGTACTGGAGATTGAACCTAGGGTCTTGTGCTTGCTAGGCCAGGCTCTACACCACTGAGCTACATCCAAAGCCTTTTCTTTCGATCTTGGTGACTCTTTGCCTTCATTTCTGTAGGATCTAAACTACATTGTTGCCTAGTGGTGCCTGCCAAGGACTCACTGACCTTTAGTTTCCCCATCTCATTCCTTCTTGATTTTGTTTGTTTTGTTTTTGTTTTAAGACAGCGCTCAGGATAAGTAGCTAGGATTATAGACATGTACCACAATGACCAACTCATTGTTTATCAAGCGCTGTGTAAAGACTTTGAAGCTACAAAGTTTCTCCTTCATAATTACGTGATTTAATCCTCACAGTGATGAAGGGTAGAAATTCATAGAGCCTGTTTTATTGGTAAGGAAACTGAGGCTGAGAGAGGTTATGTGCCTGAGGTTCTGTGGCCCATATGTAGCATTGCTGGGTTTTGAGCCTGGGTTCTGTTAGTCCAGACCACACACAGTGACCTCTGGGCTTCTAATTCCCATTTATTTCCTGGTCAGATCAGGGAAAAAGCAAATTGAGAAGGATGAACATCTGCTCAGTGCTGCTGTGCCAGGGTGACAAGCCTGGAGCCCTGGCTTTGACACACCCTGTACCCCCACCATGAGTGCAGTGGGCCAAGCTGATGGCTCTACCATCTGCCACCAAACACTGGGTGTGCCTGGAGACAGAGCTGACATTTATGTAGCACTGCAGGTGGGACACAGAGCACCTCCCACGCTCCTGAGCGCTCCCCATGAGGTCAGGAAGGGCCAACAGGCTGCCTTTACCTAACAACACCAAGCACCTCACTGGAAACTGGCACAGGCGGGGTGCTTATTTGAGTCCAGGAAGATAATAATGACCTCAGTAGTTCTAATAATGAGCAGCAGTTAGCATTTGTCACCTCCCAGCATTGTGACAACTCTATGAGGTAGGTATTGTTAATATCTCCATTCTTACGGAGATGGAAACTGAGGCTCAGACAGGTTATTTGCCCAAGGTACCAGAGCTACTAAGGGAGAGAGCTGAGATTCAAACTCAGATGAGTCTTATTTCAAAGGTGATGACTGTATCTACTATGCTGAGCTCTATGGGACAGTTCTGGCCAGCAAAGCCTTGGGGCCAGGGCTGAGCGTACTAAGGGGTCCCAGCAGCACCTGCTGATGTCCCCACACAGCCTTACAGCTGTTCCCTCTCCCTCAGGGATGTCCTGAAGGTAGGCTCCAGCAGGCCCTGGCCAGAGGTCCTAAAGGAGCTGACTGGGAAGTCCAAGGTGTCTTCAGAGGCCTTCATGAACTACTTCAAGCCACTGTTGAACTGGCTGGTGACTGAGAACGTGCAGCATGGGGAAATCCTGGGCTGGCCAGACTACAGCTGTTCTTTTGAAGGTTGGATAATCTGACCCTGATCCCAGCTCTGGTGCAGACCCAAGCCCTACCCTGTCCTGCCCTGCCTTAGGTTAGCCTTAACCCCTAACCCATTCATGGCCTGCCTTGAGCCAGCATAGCAGTACAGCTGGGTGACTTAGCCAATAGCACAACCCATGCCCAACGCTGGCTTAGTTGCTTCCTTGCACATCATTTGGCTATACTTCCAGGCTGCACCTGAGCAGAGGGGGCATCTTGCCCCTACTTGGACCCCATGGGGTATGTGCATCTTCTCCTCTTCCTTTTGTACTTCCTTCTCACCTTTGTTCCAAGGCAATGCCCTTGCCTATGGCATGAGGCTAAGAAAGATGGCCAGTAATAGTGAGATCCTTCCTGACAGCCACAGAAGACCCCATGGCCCCTACCCAGGCCTGCCTGCTTTGAAAACTCTTCTGTCTTCCACAGGAAGAGGTGCAAACAAAGTGGTCTTCCTGGGTATGGAAGTGGACCTTAAGGGGTTCAAGCCTGCACTATGGATACTGCTGGTCCTGGGCCTTTTATTGCTTCTGATAGTACTGTTGCTAGCCTGCAGGCTGTACTACCTGGAAAAACAGTCAGTGGCAGTCAAAAAGGTGCCCAAAACCACCCAGGCTACCCGAAGACAGTGGTTTCTGGTGGGTCTGTGTTTCATCATGATGCCATGTGTCATCAGTCTGATCATTTGGAGCCTCATACAGCACAAGAAGTCTTCACGGCTCAGAGATGAATGGTGGAGCTGGGACTAGCCATCACTGAGATTGGTGAGAATGGGGGGCAGGAGGAGGGCAGCTAAGCCAGAAAGGATAGGGGACAAGGGCAGAGATAGTCTTCAGGCATAGGACCCAGCTGTGATTGGGCTCAGCTGTGGCAGATCTGGTATGTGTGACATTGTGACTGTGTGTTTACAAACCTGTGTGTGAGGCACAGGTGCCCAACTCTGTGTGATTCCTTGTGTGATCTGGGTTCCAACCAGCCTCCTTCCCCTGTTCCCGGGGTGGTGGGGTGGGAGGGGGGAGGGGGCAGAAACCATGGTTTTAGTGACTCAATGGGTGTTTTCCTTTGAACCAGCGCCCACCCCAACTCATGTCCAGAACTAATTCTCTACATAGCCTTTGTTTGTCTAGGAACTCAGCTATGGGGCTTGGCTGGGACTGCAGGACCCAAGGAGCCTCTGCTCTGATTAAAAAAAGGACCCTGCTTCAGTTCCCTTATAAAATGTCCTCAAGTAGAACTAGGCATTCTTTTACAAATTGGTAAATTTGTTCAGGAGCACCGTGCTCTGTACATGGACCAGCATCTCTCTGCTGATCCTCTGGTCTGCCCTGTGTCAAGCTGCACAATCCAGTCCCCCAAATCTCTTTCTTGGCCACCTAAAATGCAAGTAGCTTCACAAGCTGCCCTGTGGCTCTCCCTATCCTAGCCCAGGCCTTCCCAAATGGAGACGGTGGGTAGCTGGGCACTGAGCCAGGCATGATTAATGATCTGACTTCTTTAATATTTAAACAAAGCTCATCTCCAGCCACTCAGCTCTGGAGATGGCCTTGTTCAACACACACACACCTGCTGCCTGGCCCGTTGCCCTGGGAAGCAAGGACAGGGCAAACAGCACCTTTCCAGGCTCAGTGGGGGAGGGGAGGACAGGGAGGAGATTGCTGTGAGGGATAGTCAGGATATTAGTGCTCTAAGGATAGACTTGGGAAAGGGGGGAGGGCCTCTGCCCCTCCCCCTCCCAGCCTTCTGGCCACATGGATGCCACACCCAATATTTTTAGATTCACCAAGTCTAGAAGCTCCAAGGCTTCCTGGGGAGTCTAGGAGTCAATACCTTTTAGAGATTGGGGGGCTTTTGGATGGAAGTGGCATAACAGCTGAAAGCCACAGAGAAGAGGCACCAGAGCTATAGTTAAGTTGGTAGAAGGGTGGACAAAAACAGCACTTCCCAGATTCAGAATCTGGGCATAAAAGTCAAGAGCTCAAGGGACAGAGATACCAGGCTGAGATCTCTATGGTTCCTAACTCTGCCCGGATTTCTAAAACAACTTTTCCTGTTATGTGGGTAGTCCCACGCACTTCTTACTCCAGCACTCTTGTTTGATGTTTCTGTCACTTCTCTTCTTTTTCTGTGCTGTAATATCTCAGTCAGCGCAGGCCTTGGCACACCATGGGGACTTGGAAAATGTTTGAATGACTAGGTGAATGAATGAGTGGTGTTGTACTACCTAGTTCCATCCTCAGAGCTCAGCATCCCATATACTGAGCTCGTGAGAAAAACAGTTCCAATTTTCCTCCACAGCCAGCCTGCCGGGGCAAGCCAGGACACCTCTATCCCCCAGGAGGCCACACTTGCAACCCTCTCATTCCCCAGCCACAGTGGCCAACGAAGCCCCCACAAGGCATTGTGGCTCCATGTGGCAAAGGCACACCCAGCCCAGGACTCTAAGCCTCTCACCTGGACTCCAGCAAAAGCTTCACTGAGCCTCTGTGGCTATCCTCCCTTCCCCACCCATCACTGTAGAGTTTATTTTGCTAGAATTATTTCCTCCAAATGTCTTCAAACTCTCTTCTAAATGTCCAACTGCTTAAGAACTTGGTTGTTCATTGATTAAATCTAGCTATTCAAAAGCGCATTGAGGGTCTTTGTCAATTACCCTTTTTTCAACATTTTTACCTTTCCCACCATCCAGCTCAATCCCTCTGCACTGACATTACCCTTGACCTTTGCCTGAAGTGCACACTCCATTTTGAATGCTTGATCTCCAAGGCTTGGTTCATGAGACCCTCTGAAAAGCTCTAAGCCCACCAAGATGCCTAATGAACAGTGGTCTCCTTCTCCCTCCTCTCCAAGAAGCCTCTTTCAATAAACTCAACTTTTGTTTCTTCTAGGGTGTTCATTTTCAATCAGTACTCAGACACTTGTATCAGTAGTCACTTGCTAATAGGTGGTGGTTTTAAATCTGTTCCCCTTTCAAGTTGTGCCTGTACCCTAAGAGCACTGAGGCCTCCGAAGAAGGCACCTTATTGCATATTTCTTGTACCTTCAAGTGCATCTTTATCCCATCCTTCCAGTAAAGTCCCTGTCTGGGCTTGCCACCAGGAGCTCTGCATTGGGGTGGGGGGTGGGGGGAACTACTGGAGGTCACTTGTCAAGGATGGGCAAGAAGGCTAAAGGTTCCATTGTCAGGGTCAAGCCAGTCAGACCCGGGAAAGAGCATTCAGTAAAAGATTACTTGAAGACCCTAATAACTTCTCCCCTCCCCCTCTCCTGCCTGGGACACTTCCCTGTACTGGGAAAGAAAAACTGCCCTTCAGTACCAGAAGGGGTTCCAGAAATGCTAAGGCCACCGGACATTGGAACATGAGCAGAAGCACCTCGGAGCAGCCTGCCCCATCCCGGGCCCCCGCCCCGCTCCCTAGGACTCAATGTCCCCCCAACCTCCAGCTAAGGACCCCGCCCCATCGCCGTCGCGAGGCCTGGTTCAGCACCGCGGCGGGGACAGCTCCCGGGCGGGAGCGGAGGGGAGGAGGCACCGCGCGCTGCGGGCGGGGGAGGGGAGGGCAGACGCCGGCGGGCGGGCGGGGCGCGGAGCCCGGCGGCCTCCTCGGGGGCGACGCCCACCTGGAGCCGGACGCCACGGAGAACCGCGGACAGGCGGAGACGCAGGGAGCCGGGAGGGGGGGGGGCGCAGAAGCTGAAAGATGCCTGTCCGCCGGGGCCACGTCGCGCCCCAAAACACTTACCTGGACACCATCATCCGCAAGTTCGAGGGCCAGAGTGAGTGTGCATGTTGGGGTGGGAGAGACCATCTGGAGTCCGGGTTCGGTGGCAGGCGGGGCCAGACCCTTGTACTAACTTCTGATGGGGCAAGGGCAGGAGGTACGCAGATTCTGGACGTCTTCCTTCTCTGTGCCATCCTCTCTTCTGGAAAACCGGGGGCAGAATGCAGCTGCTGGCCCTTTCCGCAGCCCAGACCTGCCCTTCTAGTCACTGCCCCGCTTCCTCCACCTGACCATTTCCCTCCCTGACTCTAGAGGTTTCTTTGACTCCCTTTTTACCTGGTGAGCCCCGCCACCCTTCTTTTTTCCTGATCCCGACCCCACACTGGTCACATCCCACCCTGAGCCTTCCTCCCGACCCCTTTCACTGTTTCCAGGAAGACTTTGGCCTTCCACCTCGCTGACCCTAGTGGCCCTGTCTTCCCACAATCCCCAGGCCTGACTCCTGTTCCCCCACCACCACCTCTGCTCACCATCTTGCTTCCCCCTCGTCCACTCCTCCTTTCACTTCCAGGAAGAATGACCTTCCCCCCATGACTCTTGGCCCTTCCATTACCCTCTCCCAACCCGACCTCCTCCTCCCTCATCTGGTCCCTGCCCTGCTGCCGGCAGCTAAATCCTCCTCCCTGCTGCCATCGGTTCCTAGGATCTTTCTCTCCCCTACCCCTGTGGTTGACCACCAGCGTCTTCCTACCTCTCGCCTCCCAACCCAGGTCGTAAGTTCCTGATCGCCAATGCTCAGATGGAGAACTGCGCCATCATTTACTGCAACGATGGCTTCTGTGAACTCTTCGGCTACTCCCGAGTGGAGGTGATGCAGCGACCATGCACCTGCGACTTTCTCACAGGTCCCAATACCCCAAGCAGTGCTGTGTCCCGCCTGGCGCAGGCCCTGCTGGGGGCAGAGGAGTGCAAAGTGGATATCCTTTACTACCGCAAAGATGGTGAGGCACAGTCTGGCAGGGGCTCTGTGGGGCAGCCTTGGCCCTCTCTCTTGTCCAGCCAAGGTGGCCTTGGGGAGGGCACTGATCTAGGGACCAAAGGGCCTGTAAAAATTCCATCACTCCTCTGAGCCTCAGTTTCTCATTAGTAGGGGGAAGCAATGAGTGTTGGATAGTCTGGTTTCTGAGGGGCTTGGAACCAGGCTGATCCAACAACTGGTCATAGGCTAGGGCAGAGCCTCCTGCTCCACTATCCCTTCTCCTTGTCCCTGGTCTCTTGGCTATCCGGTCTGCCACTGTCAGCCCCAGCTGTCAGGCAGCTGGGACGGAAATTAACCTTCCCTCATCTCTGTCTGCTCTGGGGATTAAGGGAAGAGTCACCCTGTCAAGGCCTCTGTGGCCAGGCAAGGAGTGGAGACTACTGACTAGAAAAGAAGAGTGGGCCTGGCTCATCCAGCCCCAGCTCTTTGGGAAGATAGGATCTGGAGTTTACTCATCCAGATGGACTTTGGGTTGTTACTGCCACCCAAATCCACAGCAAGCAGAATAGAAGCATAGCTCGTCAGCTCTTGAGATCCTCCCTCCAGAACCTGAGGTGGAACTAGGATCAGAGCCTGAAAGTCACTTGGAAATCACCAGGATTGACCTCCCCTCCCCCAGTCTGGTTCTGCATTAGAAATACCTGGGGCATGTTTTCCAAAACACACCTTCCCTAGAGAGGCTAACTCAGATGGTACAAGATGAGGCCAAACAGGTGTATTAGGAAAAATATCCCCAGCAGTTCTGATTTTTCTGCCAAGAAAAGCACTGCATTAACTATATCTCTTCATTTCATAGATGTGAAAGGCACCGTCCCAGGATTCCTCTGCTAGGGTCCAACCTAGGGCTGGAACCTAAGTCTCTGAATTGCTCCTTCAGAGATGCTTCATATAAATAATCCCAAAAGGGGAGAAAGGACCTCATCTCCCTCTCTTTGAGGCAGGACTTTTGGGGAAGGAAGTCCCCAGAAGAGAAGCCCCCGCCCCACAAAAAAAAAAGACAGCACGAGGGCTACAGAGTATAGAAAAAGGGCAGGTAACTTTGGGTTATGACTGCGTGGTGCCAACAGTCCAAGTTCCAGGGACCTGGCTTGTGTGTGAAACATGAGTGTGAGTGTGAACAAAAGCATGTGAGTGTGAATGCATGTATGTGTGTGTTTACGGGCCTCCAGGGCTTTCTTGTGCAGGTCCTGGCTATTTGCCTGGCTGTCCCCTGTTGCCACGACCCCAGTGAGTAGCAGGTGGGAAGTGCAGAAATTAGGAAACTGGGAAGAATCTGGCTTACTTTGGCAGTACTGACAGGGTTAACAAAGTCAGAATATTTTTAAAAGCTGTAACCTCACCTCTTCACATCATTGCAAGAAGGAAGTGACAGTCAGAGGAGTGAGAAGGGTCCTGGAGGAACAGAATGGGACAGCAGGAAATGGGGCAGGAGGTGGCAGCATTTCCTTTCTATTCCTCTTCTTGACCCTGGAGCTCTCCCTGTACCCCAGAAGGTAAGGGTTGATCCTGGACTCCTAGGGAGGTCAGTCCAGGGCTTTCAGAGTCCCCTCAGCACCCTGTAGCTGTCTGGGCAAGAGGTAGAAATCAAGCCCAGGCCTTGGACCCTGAGATCAGGATTCAGGTTTTCAAAACCCTGCCAAGGTCCACCAGCTCTCAGAAGGCACCCTGGAACCTAGTCTTGGAGGCTGGCTCTGGATGAAAATGGGAAATTACCATATGTCTAATGCTGTCTGAGTTCCAGTCTAACCTACCCCGCCCTCAGTCCTTTCTCACCCTGTTGTCCAAGACTTTGGTCACCTGTTTGGTCCTGAAAATGGACTGAAGCTCAGAACATGGAGCTTTCTGGAGGCATTATCCTAAGGGAGGGTTGTGGTGCTCAGATGACTTATGTTCACCTTATGGTCCACTTCAACCACGTGATCCTTTTTAAAAAAAAAACCAAATTCACACAAATCATACAGTTATGCTGAGAGGCATTAACCTCTCTCAGGTTAATAACTTCCTCTTCACCCTACCCACCCCCCCGACTTCAGGGAGGTTGGAAGGGGTCCTGAACACATCTCTAGCCAATGTGCATAAAGAGATTGTGGCAGGACTGGGATGTGCTTGTCTAGCATGCGTGAGGCCATGTAGAGGAGAGCCTGAGAGTCAGAGTGGGGAGAGGGTATGAGCAATGAGAAACTGCAGGAAGGAGTACAGTTCAAGAGGAAGGGAAGAGCAGAGAGAAGTGGAGTGTCCAGGGGCCAATCAAACCTTCAGCCTTTGTTCAGTGAAGTTCTGAGGAGCCTAGAAGGAAGAAACATGCAGGGGCTGGCTCCTTCTCCAGGGACAGGGCAAAGACACTAGAACACTGCCACTCCTGGGCACAACCTAGGGCAATACACTCACCCACTTCCACTTTCCAGACAGTTACTTGTGGGCTCTGAGTCATGGGTGAGCAAGGACAGGCAGCTTGGTGTGTAGGGAGAGAGGATGTTCTTCCAAATTCTCGTAGTCTCTTGTGTGCTTACCCCACAGGCAGTTAGCATGGGGTGGGACATGGGGTGCCATGCACCAGCCTCTACCACTGTTCCGTAGCCCTTACTGATGTGATGAATGGACCTTTGGTTCATTCCTAGCCTCAACTTTCCAACGATAGCAGCAATGGATAGCTGCAGCCACTTGAAGACTGGGCCTTGGCAGCTCCCAGCAGCATAGAAAGCCTGGGGGCCCTGCCCCTCTGCCCAGCTCAACCCCTTCCCTGTCACCTACCAGACTGGGTCTTCCCAGTGCCAGAGAGACTAAGAACAAAGTCTGACCTTAGGGGCCAGAGTCTCACAGTGCCCCAGACTGACAAGAGTCACGGTAGCACTGTGAGCCTTGAGTGGCTCAGGCCAGGCAGGCAGCCTCTTCTTGGTGTGGATGTCTCCCCTGGGCCCAGGCAGCAGCTGGCAGATGACTGCCTGGTGCCTGGGAGTCCAAGAATCTGATCCGGGAGATTCCTGTTCCCTGGAGGAAAGTGGGAGGGAGGATGGGGGAGATGCAGCTGCAGCCCAGCTCTGAGGAGCTCAGAAAGCAAACACTAAATAGGGAGTCTGGGGAAGAATGACTCTTGTGGTCCTCTAAGTTGCAGTACTCCTACCAGCTGGCCTCTGTCCCCTGTCCCCTCATATTTACATGTACATGCTTTTTCACTCAATCAACAAGCAACACCTGGGGCAGGTGAGGCAGACCAAATGCTGCCCTCTGAGTGCAGCTCTGCTTTCTGATTGCATGGTCCCCTGAGGCCACTTCCTGAAGATCCTGAAGGCCCTTTGGGCCTGGCACCTGCCAGTAGTTTGAATTAAGGGACATCTGACCTCCAGAAGGTGCCTGCCCAGAGGCTGGACTCTGAGGGCATGCAGCACTTTTCCTGGAATTGTTCTGCGCACCAATGGGGCCTAGTGTTAAGATCCCAGAGCAAAGAGCGACCATAAGCACAGGGCGGGAGGAGAGGGACAACAGCTGGATGTGGGCTGCAGAGGAAGATGGAGAAAGTGGCACTATGAGCCTATCTTGTTTCCACTTGGGCTCCTCCCTCCTTCTTTATCTCCTAGGCCACTGCCCTAACTGTTTCCGGGGCTCAGCCTCTGCCTTGGGACCCACCCCCAAGAGCCCTCCTCCCAGACAAGGCCCTTCCCTTTTTCCTAGGTACTGTGTGCTAAGACCCTAAGGGTCCTCACTCTCTGTTCCCTTCCAGCCCCAGCGAATCAGTTTCTCAGAACTCCTAGCTCTCATCTGCAGAAAAGGGGTCTATGCCTGCCTCCCCCCAGGACCTTCTGAGGTCTGATGTGCCAGCTGGCTCTGCGCCCAGCACTTAGCGTGCTCCCAACAAGTTCCTTCCAGCATTGGGGAAGCAGGCATCTTTATGGAATGGCAATATGGAAGCTGGGAGCTGAGCCCAGGGCCAGCCAGAGCTATGGGAGTGGAATGCCCCACCTTGCCTCCCCATATAATCCACCCCATCTGCTCAACTTTAATTACAGCAGAAGTAAACCTCGGTGCTAAACTCTGAGCTGAGAGCTAAGCGTGGACTTGGACCTGATGTTACATTATTTCCTAGTGAGCAGCTTAGCTGCTCTCCCCACCTCTGCCCTGTGGGCAGGGCATCTGCTGCGTAGACTCACCCACCCTCTGCCCAGTAGTTCTGATCACTGTCCATGCCTCTTCTCTCCAGTAGATGCCCTTAACTTGACCTTCACTCAGCCCCTCCCTAGCTAGGTCACTTCCAGAGGGGATCCCTTCAGTGACCACCCTGCTAATGGTGTTTGCAGCCTCCAGCTTCCGCTGCGTGGTGGATGTGGTGCCTGTGAAGAATGAGGACGGAGCTGTAATCATGTTCATCCTCAACTTTGAGGACCTGGCCCAGCTCTTGGCCAAGAGCAGCAGCCGCAGCCTGACCCAGCGCCTGCTGTCCCACAGCTTCCTGGGTTCCGGTGAGTGAGGCGGGCTGTGGGTGGCGGCAGCAGGGACAAGTTGGGGACACCTGTTGGAGCCTTGGCCCTGGCTGCTCTGACCCTGGCCCTGGTTTCAGAGGGCTCTCATGGCAGGCCAGGCGGACAGGGGCCTGGCCCTGGCAGGGGTAAGTACAGGACCGTCAGCCAGATTCCGCAATTCACGCTCAACTTCGTGGAGTTCAACCTGGAGAAGCATCGCTCTGGCTCCACCACAGAAATCGAGATCATTGCTCCTCATAAAGTGGTAGAGCGGACGCAGAACGTCACTGAGAAGGTCACCCAGGTGCGAGCTTTCAGGGCAGGGAGGGTGGGGCTGTGCCAGGCCTCCAGGGTTCCCTCCTAGTCCTGGGCCTCATCTCTTCTGGGGCTTTGGCTATCAGAGTGATACTGGCTTATCCAACCCCCTAGAGGCTGAGGCCCAGACCCCATGAGTCTCATTCTTTAGACTTGAAGGCCTTGCCCTGAGGCCCAGATCCTGAGAGCTGGACAATGGGAGAGAGGGACAGGCAGGCCACCACCTGCCTAAGGATCTGCCAGTCACGGGGAAGGAAAGGAACAGAGGGGATGAGTCAGGACCATGCAGAGAGGAGAAGAAGGAGGGATGGTGAGAGTTCCCCAGCCCTGCTCCTACACTTTGCCTTTCAGGTGACAGTCACTCCCCACTCAACAAGCACATAGTAGCATCCTGCATGCCAGGCAGAGGTGGGGGCAGGGTTGCTACAGTACTGGGATTTGAACTCAGGTAGTACACCTTGAGCATCTCCATAGCCCTTTTCTGTGATGAGTTTTTTCAAGATAGGTCTCACGGAACTATTTGCCAGGCTGGCTTCAAACCACGATCCTCCTAATCTCTGCCTCCTGAGTAAATAGGATTACAGGTGTGAGCCACCAGTGCCCAGCTCCCTGCTTCTTTTTATGTGAAGCACAGTCAGTTCTGGAACCAGGGTGGAGGACATAAGTAACTCAGCCACTCACTGAGCACAAGGGCCTTGGGGAAGCAGGGAGCCCAGGCTGCAGTGATGGGCCCTCTGAGGTCAGGCAGGCTTGTCCCTGAGAAAAGTCACTTGAGGCCTCTTAGGTTAGTGCTTCCAGTGTTGGCTGCCATGATGGGGGCTTGTAGATTGGAGAGTTGTCTGTGAAGACTGACAGACCCGGCTGAGCCGAGGGCAAAGGGGAAAGGCTCTGCTGAGTATAATGATTTGTGTGTGAAGTAGCTAGGGATCCCTGGTACCCGGGACCAGTCAAGGATCCATATGGGCTAATCCCACCCTAAATTTAGTTCTTTCTGTGGGAAGCTTGGCCCTCAGTGATGAAGAGTCTGTTCTGGGAGTAACCTGCTCCTATGAGGAACCCCAAACTTGGAGGCCTCCCAAGCCCACCAGAGAGGAATGGGCCACCAAGCTACCTTCTTAATCCAGGCTCTTCTCCAGAACATACCCATAGATGAATCTGGGCTTGCTCTCCCTCCAGGATAGCCTGTTTCTAAGCTTCAAACCTAAGGTCATCATGGGACAGAGCTGCATCCGTTTTCTCATGTAGCAACTCCTCTGTCTGTACTTCCTCCTCACCTATCTGTCCCATTAGGAACTTGCTTCTTTATATGCTTTTCCTTTGTCCCCTCTGCCTGTCATGGCCTTTGTCACCCACCCCTTCTCATGGCTCCATTCCTCGGCCTTCATCCCAAGACCTGTCTCACCAGCAGTGGCTGTCCCCACTGACTGCCCATGGCTCCCACCCCAGGTCCTGTCCCTGGGTGCAGACGTGCTGCCAGAGTACAAGCTGCAGGCACCTCGCATCCACCGGGGGACCATCCTGCACTACAGCCCCTTCAAGGCTGTGTGGGACTGGCTCATCCTACTGCTGGTCATCTACACAGCCGTCTTCACACCCTACTCAGCTGCCTTCCTGCTCAGTGACCAGGACGAGTCGCAGCGTGGTGCCTGCGGCTATACCTGCAGTCCACTCACTGTAGTGGACCTCATTGTGGACATCATGTTTGTTGTGGACATTGTCATCAACTTCCGCACCACTTATGTCAACACCAACGACGAGGTGGTCAGCCACCCCCGCCGCATTGCCATTCACTACTTCAAGGGCTGGTTCCTCATTGACATGGTGGCTGCTATCCCCTTCGACCTCCTTATCTTCCGTACTGGCTCTGATGAGGTGAGCAAACCCCATCCGTGCCAGAAACATGGCTGTCCCTACACCCCAGCCCCAAGGCCTCCCTGCCTTGCATCCCTGGTACAAAGAGTTCTCAACACTGGGAACCTTTGCCAAAGCAGATGGAAATAGAAAGGGGCCCTCAGACATCTGTCATCTCCAAGCCCTGGGGAAAGACCAGCTGAGACTGTGTCCCCAGGCCTAGGGACCATTCCCTTTCCCCATTTCTCTGAGCAGGCCCCCAGAGAGAGGATCAATTCTGACCCCTGGGATAGACATTCCTTAAGTTCCCCACTCCTTACAAGTTGTACCCTTGGGCCTTCTAAACTACTCTCACCCTGGAATTGGAAAGGAGACCCACAGGCTGCACCCCTAATTCAGCCTCACCCCATTCTTGCCCCAAGCCTTCCTCCATGGCTGCTCTGCTTCCTGGGGTGATGTGAGGGCGTTCTCATGGTCTTCTCATAGCTCTTATTCCCACTGTGTCTTCTTGCCATATCTCAACATCAACCCTCCCCACACCCCTTCTTCCGGCTGCGGTACAGTTGCCTCTTTCACCCCAACCTGTCCAGCAGTATCCTACTCCACCCCCAGCAAATCATCCCCAAGTCCTCTCCCCTTCTCTCACCCTGCCTCTGCCTACAGCGAGTGCCCTTCTTCCCGACCTCTGTTTCAGCCTCTGTCCCTCCACACAGCAGCCAGAGGTGTTTCAGATCCCTTACCTGACCCTGTCACTTTCCCTCTCAAAACCTTCCAAGGCACTCAAAGCCTTTGGGATAAAAGCCAAGTTCTTTATGGACCCTGAGCCCCACAGGAGCAGCCCTGTCCACCTTCTCAGGCATTTCTCATTGCTGAGCCATCGCTCACTCTGTGCACTTCAGGCTGCAGCACCACACTTGGCTTCCCACGTGAGCCCTGCCACTTGACACCTCTGTGCCTCTGCCCATGCTGCCTTGTGCCAGGAGTGCCCTTTCCCTCTCCCTCCTATCTGCCTGGTAACCTAGCCTCATCCTCCTCAATCATGCGTTACCTCCTCTATGATGCCTCCCCTGATGTGCTCCTGCAGACTTGATCTCCTCTTTCTCCTGGCTCCCTCTGGCCTTCTCTCCTAACAATCAGCTGAAAGCTCCTGAAGATCCCACACTACAATTCACTGCCAAGTTCCTGGCACTTCCCTCAGCATTTGTAGAATGATGTCCAAATGAACAAATGTAACCCGAGTTTCCTGGACTTTCCCTGCCTCCTAGACCACCACCCTGATTGGATTACTTAAGACAGCACGCCTGCTGCGGCTGGTGCGTGTGGCACGGAAGCTGGACCGCTACTCTGAGTATGGGGCAGCGGTGCTCTTCCTGCTTATGTGCACCTTTGCACTCATCGCGCACTGGCTGGCCTGTATCTGGTACGCCATCGGCAATGTGGAGCGACCCTACCTGGAGCCCAAGATTGGCTGGCTGGACAGCCTGGGTGCACAACTTGGCAAGCACTATAACGGCAGTGACCCAGCCTCGGGCCCTTCAGTGCAGGACAAGTATGTCACAGCTCTGTACTTCACCTTCAGCAGCCTCACCAGCGTGGGCTTCGGCAATGTGTCACCCAACACCAACTCTGAGAAGGTCTTCTCCATCTGTGTCATGCTTATCGGCTGTGAGTGCAACTTGGTGCTAGGGGGTCTTAGCCAGGGAATTCTGGTTTTACTTTGAAAAATTACCATAACATATCATACAATGCATGCTAAGCGTGTAGCATGTGAATTTGTGCATATGTGTATACCAATTATACACAGAAGTTAATGCCCATTCAGTCTTGCTCCTGGCCAAGTGCCAGGATTGTCATTTTAATGCCCAGTGCAAATTGGAAATATAGAACCCTTGTTAAAAATTTTTAAGAATTTTGAGCTGATGATAGCAGAGAATTAAAGCCAGGTTTTTAGCAGAGGCTTCATGCCCATCCATGAAGCCGGCCCTGCCAGCACAGCTCTAAGCCATTTCCTTCTCTTAGGAACCCACTTCCAGAGCAAAAAAGCCAGCCCAGTGGCTAGCTCCAAGGCCGTGTTGTTCTCAGTCCCTGCATGGAGCTGCCTGCCTCCCAAGATACCTGTTTAGGAACTTGAGAGACAGTGTGGAATTTCACGCATAGGTTAAGTTGTAATTTTTAGAGTATTAAAAGATGTGAAAGCCCAGAAAAAACAAAAACAAGAAAAAAAATAGGTGAAAACAGATACCAAAAGTTTCCCCTTTATTACATTTTTACAGCTTGAAAGCGATAACAAATCTGAACTCTAAAAAAAAAAAAAAAAAAAGAAAAGAAAAAAGAAAAGTCCATTGCCCTAGATCTTTCCTCGAAGGAGTTTGGCCTCTGGGCCTGGAAAGATGACAAGAGGTACAAGACAGAGGAGCACTGTCCTGGGCACTTCTGACTTCTCCCAGGACAGACGGGTCCCTCTTCAGGGGAATTCCAGGGAGAGGGAGGCCTGGAGTAGTGTGGCCTGATGATGGTGCTACCAAGGCGCAACTCACTCCCCTCACCGCCCCCCCCCCACCCCGCGCCCCTAGCCCTCATGTACGCCAGCATCTTCGGCAATGTGTCCGCCATCATCCAGCGTCTGTACTCGGGTACTGCGCGCTACCACACGCAGATGCTGCGCGTGAAGGAGTTCATCCGCTTCCACCAGGTGCCCAACCCGCTGCGGCAGCGCCTGGAAGAGTACTTCCAGCACGCCTGGTCCTACACCAACGGCATCGACATGAACGCGGTGAGGCGGGCAACCAGCTCCGGCTGATACCCTGGGGGCGGTCAAGGCCCTGCGGGTCGGGGCGCCACCAGCCCCACCCCGCCCGCGTCCTCCTCCTCCCCGCAGGTGCTGAAGGGCTTTCCGGAGTGCCTGCAGGCGGACATCTGCCTGCACCTGCACCGTGCGCTGTTGCAGAACTGTCCCGCCTTCCACGGCGCCAGTGATGGCTGCCTGCGTGCGCTGGCAGTCAAGTTCAAGACCACGCACGCGCCGCCCGGGGACACATTGGTGCATCTGGGCGACGTGCTCTCCACACTCTACTTTATCTCCCGCGGCTCCATAGAGATCTTACGCGATGATGTGGTTGTGGCCATTCTAGGTGGGTAAAGTGGGTTGAACCAGGCTGGTGATGGAAGATTGAGGCTTGGAGATACACCACCTGGACCACCTTCTCCCTAATGAGAATGGTGGCACCTTTTACTGACCAGTCGTGCTGAGATAGAAGCAGGTTTGTTTTGGAGACTTTATACCCAGCTCACAGAATCCTTAAAACAACCCTTTGCCAAGAAGTTGAGGCTTAGAGGAGTCATGCTAGTCAATGGCCAAACAAGGATTCCAGGGCTGCTTATCTGGCTCAGAAACCCAAGCACATGCTTTCCTATCTTTTTCTGCTGTTGGGAAGTTCAGGGTGGTAAGCCAAGGGCCTCTCTTGGGTAGAGCCTCATTCAGTGCAGCTGCAGGAATTCCTGGATACTCTGGAGTAAGGCAGTGAGCACTAGGCAGAGGAACGCACCTGGGTCTCAAGCATCCTCTGCCAGTTACCTGCTGTCACTTTACCTCTCTGAGTATCACAGGATCCACTCCTGGATTCTCATCTTTCTTGCCTTCCCTGTGACTTCCTGAGTCACAACTCCACCTTCAGCCATGTTTTCCCCTGATCTCATGACAACCTCTCTGCCCACTTCTGTCCCCCTAGCCTGCTACCAGTTGGTTTTACCGGGTGCTGGTGCTCTGCTCTCTTCTCACCTTACACCCTCACCTGGGTCAGCTCCTTGCTCCCATACTTCACCTTCTGCCAGTAGTGAGATACACGTCTGTACATACTGCTTTTCTGCTCACTCCTTCATTGATTCCCCATGGCTAGTAGAGCAAATGTAAACCCCTGCATGTGGCATGCACAGTTCTACCCAACTTGGTCACCTTGAGTCTTGCCACCTTCCCCCTAGTATTTCATCTTCCAGCCACACAACTACTTCTCATTCTCTAAATCTGTCATCTCTGTTACACACACACACACACACACACACACACACACAGAGGCTTTTACACATGCTTCCACTCTGCTTCCAGTGCCCACCCTGCACCTGTCTGGCAGACCCCAGACATTCTTCAAGGTTAGGATCAAGGATCTCATAGGCTTCTCTGTGAGACTTTCCCCCACTCCCAGCCTTACAAATGCCACCCACATGGGAGAGATGATTATTCTTAATAATTAAGAAGCTAATTCAATTTAAGTTTCAGTTAGAGACATGAAACCCTCTCATCTTATCCTGAGTAGAAATAAATATTAGATTACTGTCCTTCATCTACGAGAAAATCAGTGAATTGTCACATTGCCCAGACATCAAGCTTCAAGACTTCACGTGTGACTCTGACAAGTCCCTTCTCTAGTTCTCAGTCCCCTCCTCTGTCAATCCTATTCTCTTGGTGGGACATGTCCAGCCTCTGCCCATCCTCTGACTGTGCTAAACCAATAGTGACTCTTCTGTTGTGTTCCCAGGCTGGGGTAGAGGGGGTGGGATGGACTTTCTTGGGGAAGAGGAGGAGTCAAAACAATCATGGTCTGTGGCACCCCTGGGCTGGCCTCTCTGCCCACTGTCCCTGACTGTGCAGTGCTGGGCACATGCTTCCTCTGTAAGCCCCCTCCTTCCAGCCCCAACCACTCCTCCTCCTCCATGGCCCCTCAGCTCTTGGTTCCCTTCTGTTCTAAGGCTTTACAGTTTATTCTGTAAACTTGTTGGCTACTTATCTGCCTGTCTTGTGGAGCTGGCAAATTTGAGCCTCCTTGTCAGAGGTATTCATATTTATATCCTGTGACCAGCACAACATCTAGCACAGAGAGGTCCCAGTTACCCTTGCCACCTACCCTGAATGTCCACCCTGTGGCCTCTGTCTCTCCTAATGTAGTGTGCTGACCTAGTCTAGTGTCTCTTGCTTTAGGAAGCTTGCTCTCTCTCTCTCTCTCTCTCTCTCTCTTTCTACTCTCTCTTCCCCACCCCATGTTCCTCTTTCCCTCCTCCTCTCTTCCCCACTCTCCCCTCTTTCTCTCCATACTGAGTATTGAGCCCAGGGTCTCCATACTTTCTTGAGCATTACTTCATCTGCTTCTCTGAACGCCCAGTGGAGTAAGCAAGAGAGATACGGTTAAACCCACTTTAGAAATGAAGACACTAGGGGCCAGAGAGGAGGAGTGACTTCCCCTGCCAGGGCCACAATGAAGAGTGGGAAGACAAAGAAACAGAAATCCCAGGCCAACCTGGAGGAGCTGGGAATTCCTGGTCCTGGGTTCCTTGTACATGCTCTGCAGCACTAACAGGTTGAGGAGAGCAGGAGGAGTTTGGGAAGGGAGCCTTTAGTGTCTCTTACTGCCTGCTGTTCCCTGGCAGGAGTAGGGGCAGTTCTGAAGAGCATGGACAGAAGGAAGGGAGATTCTTATGGAGGGTGGTTCTGAGGGGCCTGGAGACAGAAGAGAACACACACACTAAGGGCAGGAGCAGCTCTGAGGAGGTTTCTATGGAGCTAAGCAGACAGGAGAAAGGCACCCCTTCACTGGACAGCTAGCACATCTAGCTCTGTCCCCATATTTTGATCCTAAGCACCAGTCCCCAGCTCAGCAAGATCTATGAAGTGGGGGGAAGGTCATGATCAAGGGACCCTCGGGGAGGCTCCTCAGAAGGGATTCTGGAGCCAGACTCTGGAGGAACTACCACCCCTCTTGGCTGGCAGGGAAGAATGACATCTTTGGGGAGCCTGTCAGCCTCCATGCACGGCCAGGCAAGTCCAGTGCAGATGTGCGGGCCCTGACCTACTGCGACCTGCACAAGATTCAACGAGCAGACCTGCTGGAGGTGTTGGACATGTATCCTTCCTTTGCGGGCAGCTTCTGGAGTAAGCTGGAGGTCACCTTCAACCTACGGGACGTGAGTCTGGGTTTGTGGGCCAGGGTTGGGGGCAATTCTCAGACTGACTGGTAACACCGAGGCAGCTGGCTAAGGGCTTGACCTGCCTGACCTAAAGGACTCACCTGACTACTATTCTTCCTTTCAACCCATCCTGCATCCTTTGCCAGGATTTCTGAGCCTACCATGGCCAATGTAATACTGACTACAATGATGGCTGTCATTTGATGAGCAGTGCTCATCACTACACTATCTTATTTAGTCCTGTCCTTGCATGTTGGCCTTATCCCCATTTTTCAGATGAGGAAACTGAGGATCAGAGAGGATAAATAAATTGGTCAAAGCCATACATCTTTGGCACATCCAAAATATGAATGCACATTCATCCAACTCCAAAACCCAGGCTTTCCCACCACAGTGCACCAAACTGAAAATGAGGGTGTCTGGCGTCCAGAAGGCTCATGGTGCCAGGCATAAGGGTGTAAAGAAGTGATAAAGTTCTCCCTCTTTCAAGTTTATCATTCAATGCAGAAGATTATAGTAACTCAGGAGAAATAAAGAGCCACTGAAGTCATAAGGACGTTATGAGAGACCCAATTTCTGGGGTGCTCCTGCTTACCAAGGAGTAGAGCAGGTGCTACAGGTTCTGGGGGTGTCCTGAGGGACTGTTTGAGGTCTGTAATCAGCTAGTGGTGAGAAGGAGGATTGCCTACCGGGGGTGTAGTGGCTAATGCAGGGTTCTGAGCCTTAGCACCTCCCTGCCCTGTCCCCCCTCCCCCGCCCCTCAGTCTCCTAAAGTCTCTGATGGCCCAGAATGGTACCCAGCTTCTAGAAGATGGTACTGAGGTGGATTTTCTTGTTGTAGATGGCCCTCCCCATGCTGTTCCCTCTGCTGCTCTCCCCTCCCCACCTGATCTGCACAGGAGACATTCAGTAAGAAACCTGACTTCATGACTTAGCCACCAGTGGCACAAATGCCCAATTGCTGGGCACCAGGGCAGGAAGGTTGTGGTTTCCATGGCCTGGGTCAACTGCAACCCAAGATGCCTCCAAATCTTAAGATGGAGGGAATGTATGTGGCCAAGGATGCAGCTGATGGCACCTCTGGATTGGATTGGGGGTTCCAGACCATCTCCCTAGAGGAGACTCCCCACTGGTCCACACTGATAGTGGGAGCACTAGAGAATTCAAGAAAGGGGGTGCTGGAGGAGTAGCTCCTCTGCCTTCACCTCCCAAGTCTTACTGCTCATGGCAGCCTCTCCCAAGACCTTGGTGGGGGCCTCCACATAAGTAACGCAGTGTAAGATTGTTGTTTCCAAGCCTCTGTTCACCTGCCTATAGGAAGCTGTCCAGAGCCTCACTGGTGTAGCCAGTCAGTACTTTCTCACCTGATTGTTACAAGGGCCACAGAGGAGAAGTGGGGATAGGGAGGAATAAAGACACCCTGTCCTAGCTTTGGTCCCTGTTACTGCTCTTGTTCCCTACAAGGCAGATGGGGGTCTTCAGTCATCACCCCGACAGGCCCCAGGCAGCGAAAATCACCAAGGCTTCTTCCTCAGTGACAGCCAGTCAGGTGAGCACAGCCAGACCCTGCTCCTCTCAAGTTCTCTCCATGCTGCCTACCCTTGGGAGAGGCCTTCCCAGCATCTCCCTCCCTGGCCTCAAGGATAGAGGCCATTGTCCTCCTTCCTCCCAGTCTCCCAGTCCTGATGGCCTGTGTTCTCTGACTCAGAAAGGGAGGGCTCCCTGGCTGCTGGGTGCTATTCCCAGTGGGGATTGTCAGGCTCCTGGGGTTCCACACCAAAGCACTAGGGGGCCCCTAAGCTGCTGGGCAATGAGACTGGGGCTAGAAATCCCCACTCTGGAAGCCCTCTTTTAAGCTGGTGCTCCAGCTCCCCTTCCAGGGTCACAGCCTCCTGGGTCCTGGAAGCCAGACCTCCACAGGGCAGGACCTCGTGCTCCAGGGCAACCAGGTAAGGAGAGCCACTCCCCACACTGTGTTCCTATGGCATGTAGGGGGAGAGCACTGACTCTGACAGGGCTGTGGAACCAGAGCAGAGATGACCCTTTCCCTCTGCAGGTGCAGCCCCTTCCCTGAGCATTTCAGATGCATCTGGCCTCTGGCCTGAGTTGCTGCAGCAGATACCCCCAAACCCCCAAAACCTGCGGCGAGACCCAGATTGCTGGCCCAGGGATCTAAGCTGTAGATTAGAGCAGCTCCAGGCCCAGATGAACAGGTGAGTATCCCGCTGGCAAGACTGGGCAGCTGCAAAGGGCCAGCCCAGCAACGGGCTGGGTGTGGGCACCCCCTCCTGGTGAATTAGGGGTATCGCTGGGTGCTGAGTGGGTTTTAGGACAGGCCTATTTAGTGCAAGTTTCCCCATCTGTATGTTACTAAGCACAATTCTTTAGATGGCTTCCCCGAGCAAACCCTGGAATGTTCCAAAGAAGATTCTTGGGGAAGGGACACATCTGTGTGCAGAAACAAATTTCATGGGGCATTGGAAAGGGGTATGACCTGTGGATGACAGGACTACAATGGTAGAGTGAGGGCTTAGGGGCAGGACAGCCCTGGAATCAAATTATGGCTATGTAACTTACCAGCTAGAGTAAGGGCTACTTAACAGCTCTGAGCCTCGGTTTGCTGTTTCACAAAATGGGCACCATTAGAATAGCCTCATTAAGACTGAATGCTGTGTGCTTCACGCCTGGTCACCAGCGTTATCAGAGACGGGGAGAATCAGCTTCAGGTAGGTAGGCCCAGGCTGTCATTTCACTCAACATGAATACCATTTGGTTACAAAACTGAGAACTGCCCTTAGGACCTGACCTGGTCTCAGAACCCTGACCCTGACCATAGGGCTCTGTCTGGCAGGCTGGAGTCCCGCATGTCCTCAGACCTCAGCCGAATCCTGCAACTGCTTCAGCAGCCTATGCTGAAGGGCCACACCAGCTACATTCTAGAAGCCCCTGCCTCTGGTGACCTGGCCTTGTTTCCTTCGGTCTCTGAAACTCGGAGTTCAGGGCCCAGACTGCTCCCGAGCCATCTTCCCCCTGCCCAGGTGAGAGGTGAGGGGATCCCTAGGGCCTTCCCTGATGGCTGTTGCTTTTCTTCCCCAACCCAAACTTGGTCTCAATATGGCATCAGGCCCAGATCCTCTGTGGCCCTGTAACAGCTGTGGCTTCTACTGTCCTCTTTATGATTTGAGTCACCCTGACAGGGCAATCTGATTGTGATCACAGACCCCACAGCTGGGACAAAGGCACAAGACCCTGAGGTGTGGGAAGAGCAGGTAGAGCTCTTGCCAGTTCCCATCACTGAGGTGGGGGTAGACAACTCCTACTGTGGCTGGGGTGGAGGTGAGGTGGGGGGGCAGGGAGCTCGCACATGGGTCACTACCTTCTTCTTGCCTCTCCCAGACTGGAAACTATGGTGGCTTGGATAAGTGTGTACCGAAGCACAGGAATTCCTCCCCTAGGATGCCTCACCTGGCTATGGCAATGGACAAAAGTCTGACTCCATCCTCAGAACAGGAGCAGCCTGAGAGGCTCCTGTCACCCCTAGCCTCATCTCTCTGTCCCCTGGAGGTACAAGGACTCTTCTTTGGTCCCCGCTTCTCCTCCCTCCCTGAACACCTTGGCTCTGTTCCCAAGCACCTGGAGTTCCAGAGACATGGCTCAGATCCTGGCTTCACAAGGAGTTAGGACCACTGGAGTCCCACATAAAAGCCACCACAAGAGGGTTGAAGTTGAAGGTGGGTGGGGTGAGAGCTAAAGATCTTGGGGGAAGCATACAGCCTCCCAAGATGGGCTTTTGAAAATCATTGTGGAGTAACTAAAACTGCTATCCCAGGTGACCCAGGATGGCCCCACTGAGGAGGCTCAGGATCTAGTAGACAGTAAGCCTGGCAGAAAGTGGAGGAGCTCAGGAAGGAGGGGTGAGTGAAGGAGAAACTGCTGATCTTCCTTGTGAAAGTCATGCTTGGGGCTCTGTGTGATCGCTTCAGCTCAGAACCATCTGCTGCCTCAATGCCCAGCACTAAGGCCCAGTGTTGATCAGACCTCCCATCACCAGCCTCCAACATGGCTGGAAGTGGAGTGTCTTCTATGGTAGACATGCCCTCAGCCCATCCACCTCTGGTAGTTCCCTGACAACTTGGTACCTTGAGAGCAGGGAGTGGCACACAGCTAATAAAGTCTGGATATTTCATGTTGGGCTGGGTATGTAACTTTGATGGTGATGAGGTACATACTGTGCTGTACCTTCTCCAAGGGCTTCTCCAAGCCCTTCTTGAAAGGAACTGGGTATGGGCTCCCCCTCTACCATATCCAGCCTATTGCAGGCCTGAGATTGCTCAGCGGGGCCCAGGAGCCCCTAGAGCCTAGGCTGTATGAGGGGAAGCAGAGGTGTTGGCTTGATGACTGTGGGGAGCTGTGACAACACTTAGTACTTGCACAGCACACATGCTGCGAGGTACCGTCCTGACTGCTCTGTACATATTAGTTCATCTAATCCTCAAAAGAACCCCAAGGGGTCAGCATTATTATTCCAATATTAGAGATACTGGATCAGTAGTAGAGTGACTAAGAAATTTACCAGAGCAGTGTGTTTAGGTTGTGTAAACAAGTGCACTTCCAAAAGTCATGCCCAACGCAATGGGAAATGGAAAACATAATTTTAACCCAGACTGTCTAGCTTAAGAACATGTCTAGTCAACCAGTCAGCTAAAAAAGGCTATTGGCCCCAATGTGTCTGATCACTGGTCTTCTGTCACAATCTTTTTTGCTCTAAAACTCCCTAAAGGAATTTTGAAAATGTACATTCCCCTTCCACATTTTTAAGTTGACATTTGAAATATTTCATGGATAAATTTAAATAGTTGAAAAGGCCCAGCTACTCAGCAGGTGGAAATGGAGAGGATCATGATTTGAGAACAACTGAGATAAAAAGTTATCGGGACTCCATCTCAATCTATAAGCTGGGCATGGTGCTTGTGATCCCAACTAGGCTGGAAGCCATAGGAGGAAGAATCATGGTCCAAGACTTGCTCCAGGCAAAAACATGAGACCATATCTGAAAAATAACTAAAGCAAAAAGTGCTGGGGTCTGGTTTGAGTAGTAAAGCACCCGCACAGGAAGCACATAAATAAATAAATAAATAAATGAAGTTGTAAAGGGTGTATTGATACATTGCAATATGTGTATTGATACATTGCAATATTTGAGAACAACCATCTTCTATTTTTAAAAATACAAGAACAAACTACTCTTTAACAGCTTTCCAAACTCTTCTCATAATTCCAATGTATTTCCCCTCCCAGTTTTATCCTACATGTAATTTCTTTTTATGCTTCAAAGTCCATTATTAATTCCCTCCCAGTATATGTTTGTAACAAATATGTACATAAATTGAGATGTAAAAATTTTTGTAACTTTAATGAGACTATAAGGGCTACACTTACTATTTGTACAGTTGTTCAAAATAACATACATTCAAATTTTTATAAAAACTAAAATTTTATTTGAACTACATCTCTTAAAGGGGGATTTTCCCCCAAATTAATTGCTATGTTTGTGGTGGAATATCACCTTTTTTTTTCATTGTAATGATAAGATTTAGTAACAGTTTCATACCTGTTTTTCTTTCCATTTTGAAAAACAAATGCAGAGGAAACTTGTTCACTAGGTAAACAAGTAAGATAGGGTTTATATACATAAACCCTCTTTTGGTTCTTTTCTGAATTGTCTGTTAAAAACACATTTATCATTAAAAATTTTATTCAATAATATCTGACAATTCAATATAAACCTTCAATTTTGTTGAAAGCAAAGAATTGGAAAGTATTTGAATTTATAACGATGTTATCTAGATTCAGACCTTTCTGTATTTCAAACTCATGTCACAGAGACAATTAGGGTTGGATTAGCAATTGCCATGGGATCCACATCGGTGGGAAAGGAACAGGTTGGGACACAAAAAGCCAGCCTGGTGTGTCACTGCCCACCGAAGACCAGTCCTAGCACCTGGAGCGTTTCTAGAGTCTGAAGGACATTGCAGAAAGGCCTGAATCAAGCTAGCCTGGCCCTGAGCACATCTGTATGTCTGAAGCCTGTCCTTTGGGGCCCTAGGAGAACGGATCTTTAGAGCTGGGAGTGGCCTTGAGAGGGAAGGGAGGTGGTTCCCGTAGTGGATCCTCCATTAAGGCACATTTTTTTCCCATATAAATATATGTATTTATATATATATACATATATACTATAAATATATATATAAACATTACTGATTGAGGCAGGGTCTCGCTAAGTACAGGCAGGCCTGGAACTAGCTATCAAGGCAGAATTTTAAAATTCTACTCGACAGCGTGAAGAGGCTTCTCAGATCACGCAAGAGGCTTGACTCTTAGAAACTTGGCCTAGAACTTGGAGGCCCGCTGTGGGGCATGCTCACCTGTACGCCACCCACGCCCCCATTCACCCCCGCTGCGCCGTTATCTATCTCACTGACATTTTACCTAGCCAATGACCTTTGGACTTCGAAAGTGCCTGCCTCCCGAAGTTAGGCGGGACGAGGGGGGTTGGAATGACAAACGTTTAGGCCAATAGCGAGGAGATCGCGAACGTTGCGGCCACAATAACCAGTCAGAAGAAGGAACAGTTTCAAAAGGACGTATCAAGCAGCCAACGGCCGTCATCGCTGCGGGGGTCTCGTAGCTTCCGTTCTGAGGGGGCGGGGCGGCATTCCAAACGGAAGGTGGTTGTTGTCGGTGCCCAAGCTGGTCTGAAATTGGGGGTCGGGCCCCTCGGTCGTTGTTTGTTGCCGAGGCCCCGCCTGCGGGCCAGGCAGTTCCTGCCCGACCCCGACCCCGCCTTCCTTCGGACCCCTTGGTCCCAGGCTTGGCTTCCCGCCTGACTCGCGCCCGGCCCGCCGTAGCCCGCTGCCGCTCCGGCCGGCTCTGCGGCCCAGCCGCCACCATGTCCCTGCACGGCAAACGGAAGGAGATTTACAAGTATGAAGCGCCCTGGACCGTCTACGCCATGAACTGGAGCGTGCGGCCCGATAAACGCTTTCGCCTGGCGCTGGGCAGCTTCGTGGAGGAATACAACAACAAGGTGGGCCGGGCAGGGACTCAGAACCGAGCCGGCGGGGAGGGGGCCCCGGGAGCGCCCTCTCCGGGCCTGAGCCCAGACCCCAGAACCCGCGATTTGTCTGTGTCAAACCCTGGGCTGAGAGTTTCGCACTCGTTGCTTCGTTTAATCCTGACAGCATTATTGGGAGGTGGGGAAACTGAGACGCGGTGTTGTGAGGCACAACACTGTGCCCGACGCTGGCAGGTATTTCGTAGTGGTAACGGGTCTCAAAGCAGAGTTTACACCTCAAAGCTGTACGGTCTGTCCCTCCCATTTTCCCCGCCCCCCAATAGTGCCGCATTGCTTCAGTTGAGCATGGAGGGCGGAGGTGGTGAAAATGTTGGCACTTCCATTGGTGGGATTGGTGGTCGTGCGCTCCTGGCCACTAGAGATTTCCGTTAGACCACTTACTGCACGGGCTTCCCCTGCCCAATCCTCCTCCCCTTCCTCCCCTCAGGTGGATCCTGATGTCCATCCTCTCTAAAGCAGTCTCTTCTTGGAAGGCTTGGCCTGTGGCATGATCCCGCCATTATTTCTGGATGACAGATGACATTGAGCCTAATCTTTTCTTGGCTCCTTTCAGGCTGATTTGTAATCTTTAGTAAGTCTTGCTGGACATCCATCAATTTGAGAATCCTTCATCGAAGCAGTGGCAGAGGGGGAGCTTTTAAGTGTGCAGGATAATGTTATTTCGAAAGTTGTTGGGAAGAGGTTCCCCCCCGCCATAATTTTTTCCTTTTGCCCTAATAGAGGAAAAGTTGTGAATGATAGTGGTCAGCAGCTGAAAGCTTTGGCTTAGTGGTGTTTCAAGCGAGTGTTTTGCTTGCTGCCAAAACATCAGAATAAAATTCGACAGTAACAAGCCTGGGGGCGTGGGGGGGGGGGTGCCAGGTGATGGAGAGTTTGGTCCACTGAGAAGCTGTGAGATGTTGCACAAGTCAAGTTTTATTTCTGACCCACAGTGTGCTATAAGGAAAGGGGTTCTCTTTTACATGTGAAGGCCCTGCAAAAACATTTGAACATTTTAAATTTGTTTATAGTTTTTTCAGGAGCACACCTGTTTCTCTGGAGTAGGTCCTAACTTCTTTGGAGTCAGTCCTGTTGAGAATTACATGAAAGAGATGCACTCTTACTGTCTTGACATTACACATACACAGTTCACAAACAAATCCCAGAGTGTATGCACTGATTCACCCTTCCCCAAGCAAGACCTAGCTTTTTTACCCTCTCTATGATACTTATTTCTTCTACATCAGAACTGAGAATGGAATTCAAGGTCCTGATGTGGACACTGTCTTAGTAAAATTAAGACCACAAGAATTATCAATTAAGGATACATGTGAAAAATAAAGTAAAATATGTCTTTGAAAGAGCTGAAGTCTTTTCACATAAGTTGATATTAAGTTCTTCCATAGTCATTGGGTTGGCAATAGTAGTCCCATTTCTAAGCGAGGACAAACAGTCACAGTTAGGCTGCTTGTGGAATCAATGGAGTAATCAGTGTCAAACCACATTTAACAGAAAGTCTTTCCCAAAGCTTGCCCTTTCACTTAGCAGCTGTATGGAGTTCCTTCTTTATGCCAGGCACACAGGTAGTATGGCTTAGTAGGGAAGTGCAAATCAGTAATCCCAGTATTACCAGAATAAGCAGTTAACTATGTCTGAACTCACTCACTTGATATAAACAATGTTTTCTTGCCTCCACTTACCTGTAAGCCAGTGTTACCTTCTGTGTGTTCATGCCATGGTGGACACCTTCAGAAAGCTGATGGCTATAGACTCCTCATAATTACATTTTCAAATGCATAAAATACATAGTATTCCAAAAGAAACCAATTATACTGAACTACAGATATCAAAAACATTTTTTTAAAAGTGGTAATGTAATAATATTTAGTTTTAATGCATTAAATCTACATATTACCAGCCAGTGTAATAACCATACTTTTTAAGTAGTGCTGGGGGTAAACAGCATTTCAAAATGTTTAACAGTGTTTTCATATGTGATATGAAAAAAATCAGATTCTCTGTAACAAAATTATAATCATACTGTATGTAGCTGCCTCCATTTGCAATTAAGGAAGCTGTATTTCACTTGGAGGTTAGTGAAAATATGAATGTAATTTGCCATTTCTAAGAAAATTAGTTGTGCATGCCTGTAGTCCCAGCAGTTGGGAAGCTCAGTCAGGAGGATCACAAGTTTGAGGCCATCCTGGGCTTCAAACAAAAACCAAACCAATCAATGAATGAATGAAAAAATCCTGCTTCACAGCCTTTCCTCTTTGGGGACTTTGTTTCACATGTTGGGGAAAGTGTTGTGGAACAGTGCTTGCAGAAGGGCACTGGAGATAGGAGATCGAAGAAGTTTAAGCAGGAGGACAGGAAAGATTATGGAGAGAAAGACCAAAATGTCAACAATAAAATGATGAAGTCAGATTTAATTATTCCTTATGCTACCACAATATGTAAAGAAGGGCAACAGATAATCACGCTAGGGAAGAGACCGAGAAACAGTATCTGTGACTTGAGTTATCCGACTCAGAAGAGCAACAGTTACTCAAAAATTATATATATATGTATTTTTTTTTTTTTGCAAGTACTGGGGTTTGAACTCAGGGCCTCACAATTACTAGGCAGGCACTGTACCACTAGCCCTCAAAAATCTTATTTTCATGGGTAAAATCCTTTGAGACAGTGAGAAGAGGGTGCACAGGCTGGCAGCAAGGGTAAGAAGAGAGCTAAACTGTACAAGAAGACACATGGACATGCCACCTCTTCTAGACAATGAGGCTGATGGCAGAGAGATTGAACTATAAGCAGCATTGGTACCACCTCACTTCTTGAGTAAGGAGATGCAAAGACTTCACATGTTTTGCTAACTTAGACCATGGCTCCAGCCTCTCTCCCATAGGAACCTCCTCTAAATCATCTAGGAAGAACCTGTCTCATTCAGAATGACCCAGCACTAGCTAGCTATAAAAAGGTACTATAAGAGAAGAGGAGAGAAATGGAAACAAACAGCCAAGTAGAGTACCCACCTTAGAAAAGTGTATTTACCATAGTTGAAAAATGGCTACTCTTCTGCCACTGTGAATCCAGAGAACTTAGGAAAATGCAGAACTCCAGGCAGAGATATAGGAGAACAGTGCCTTTACCTTGTCTGCACTATGGCAAGAGAAAACAGAACCAGCAGAGCTCAGGAAAGTAGTGGAAAAGAAAACTAAAATTATCATAGAATTAAAAGCCAAGTTAAAACAGAATAAAGACAAATACAAACTGTTGAAAACACAGAAAAGGGTAAGGAAGGAGGACAAACTGAAAAAAATTAAATAGAAGTTAACAATGAGAGAGAATATAATAGATAAAGAAAAGTAGACCTTACTTAAGCATAATTGGTGTCCCTGAGAAGAGAACCAAAAAAAAAAAAAAAAAAGAAAAGAAACTAAAATAGTCAAATCTATAATTAAAGAATTTAGAAGTAAAGATTTGATGTAATGAGTTCAAACTGTATCTCAAGAAAAGTTGGCACAAAACAATTGGCATTGAAGCATTTCCTAGAACAAATTCTGTACCTTAAGGATGAAGAAAGAATCCTTTAGACATTCAGGCAAAATGATCAAATCCTCTTTAAGAGGGTAAAATAGACTAGCTACATTTGATGGCAGAAGGCAGTGAAGTAATGTTTACAAATCTACAACCTGTGTAGATTGTGTCATAAGTACTTGGACGAGTACTTAAATATCTGCAAGGTTTATATGGAAAAAATAATGTTGAAGAACCCAAGACAAGGATTGACAGTTGGAGGCCAGCATGTACAATATAGCAAGACTCTGCCTTAAAAACAAATAAAAGTATACCCAAAAAAATGAGTATTTTGTCTTAATAAGTATGTAGAACTTCATGTCCAACAGAAAATGCAGTTTTTAAAAAGATAACCCAATTTAAAATAAAGGGAAGTCAATTAACTGGAAAAAAAATACTACATATTAAAGCATATGGGAAGATGAAGTCAGTTATAGTCACTCACAGTCACATAAAGGGTAAAAGAAGGGCCAGAACTGAAGTACTGTCTTGTCTCCAGTCTTAAGAATAAATGCATACGGATGTCAATTAGTAAAAACTTCAGGGGAAAATGAAAGGACATATTGAAAAACAGGAACACTTGTCCTATTAGACTAGAATAAACAAACAGGAATTGGTGTAATTATAGCCAGATAGATTGGTGAAACTGGAATAGCCCAAAACAGATCTGAGAATGTATAGGCATGTAATAGGTCATAAGATAGAACTAAGTCACTGGGGAAAATTACATTGGCATAATTGATGTCCCTCTGGCTGAAAAATTTAGAATCCTTTAATTTCCATTGCATATGAAAATCAATTCCAGATCATATTCTGAATATAAAAAAGTCTGCAAATAATATTAGAAGAAAATTGACTGAAAAATAATAAAGTAAAAAAGGTCTGGGGGTGTGGCTCAAATGATAGGTTGCCTATCTAACAAGCTTGAGGCCCTGACTTCAAACTGAAAACAAACAAAAAACCTCTAGTGTTCAGATTAAGTCATCATACAGATTTTTAAGACAAGATCTATAAATATACATAGGAAAATCTTTACAAATCTACAAAAAAGCTACAAACAACAAATGTAGCAAAGCAGCCAAGATTAATGTATAAAAATAAACATTCTATATAATAGCAGTGAATAATCAAATGAAATTTAAAGCACAGTGCTAGGTAGTGCTGAAGAAAAACCTTAAAACTCCAAAAATAATTCCATTTATAATAGCATAAAAATTACTTAGGAACAAAGTTAATGAAAGAATTGCAAGATCTGTACTCGGAAACTTTAAAGCATTGCTGAAAGAAATTAAAAGCAGAAGTAATGGGAAAATATGCTTATGGGTTGGGAGGATTAATATTGTAAATAAAGATGGCAGTTCTTCTCACACTGACCTGAAGATTGAACACAATTCCAGTCCAAAGCTCATCAGGCTTTATGTAGAATTTGATAGTTGTAAAATTTGCATGGAAAAGCAAAAGTATATAATAGCAAAACAGTTTTGAAAGGAACAAAGTTGGAGAATTCATGCTACCTACTTTCAGGACTTACTAGGAAGTTACTATAGGACAGTGAGGTATTAGTAAGCAGACAGGCATATACATGAATATGAACAGGATAGAGAGTGCAGAAGGAGGTACATAAGCACAAGGTCAATTGATTTTCAATGAAAGGGACAAGGTGATACAAAGGAGAAAGTAGTCTTCAACAGGTGATCTAGGACAACCAGACATTCATATATAAGAAAAACCTTGACTCATACCTTGTATTATATAAAGAATTAACTTGAAATGGATCATAGACCTGAAAGTGAAGCCTTGAGCTAGAAAACTCTTTTAGGAAAAAATATTTGTGACCTGTTTTTACCCAGGGGGCCTGAGGTACACATGGTATCCTAGAACAGGCCAAATGAGAACTAGGCTAAATATGGAATGTGGTTAATTCCTCATATAATGTTGAGCTTTCTATTGTGTATTTTGTCTTTTTTTTTTTGGTGCTGCTGGGGTTTGAACTCAGGGCCTCATTCTTGCTAAGCAGGCACTCTACCACTTGAGCCACTCCACCAACCCCTTTCTGTGTGTGTATACCTTTGTCTCTCCAGTTAAAAATCTAAGGCCTGGAGTTCAGGAGGCAGATGTTGGGGTTATATGGTTTGGGGTTAAGAGTGTAGGACTTAGAATCAAAAAACCTGTATTCAGACCATGTCTCTACCTCTTCTTAGCATTTCACTGTTAAATGTAACTGAACTGAGTCTGAGTTTCCTACTTGGCAGTGGGATGGTTGGTTTTAATGCCCTCTCACCATAGTAGGTTTTTTTGTTTGTTTTCTTTTGTGGTACTGGGGTTTGAAATCAGGGCTTTCCACTTGCTAAGCAGGACTCTAACACTTGAGCCATGCCTCTAGCCCCTGTAGTAGTTTTTGACTCTGCAGTTAAGTGTAGTACAGTGTCAACACTTCTGACACTGACTAGGGGTCTGATGCTGCTCCAGAAAAACAAATGCTTATGTGGCTCAACTTTGGTGTGTTGCAGGTTCAGCTTGTTGGTCTAGATGAGGAGAGTTCAGAGTTTATTTGCCGAAACACCTTTGACCATCCATACCCCACCACAAAGCTCATGTGGATCCCTGACACAAAGGGAGTCTATCCAGACCTACTGGCGACGAGTGGCGACTATCTCCGTGTGTGGAGGGTAAGCAGATGCTCGATTAGCAGTCAAATGGGTTTTCTCAGGGTCAGCTTTTAGCAGCATGGAGTCATACGGTGCAGACAGTTAGCAAGGGAGGAACAAGCAATGCATTTTTGGACTGACCTTGTTTGGCTCAGCATATTTTCTAGTAAATCTAGCCAAAATGCCATAAAGTCTTGCTGCTAATTGTAGCCAGCCCTGGAAACCTGAAACTCAGTTAACCTGATGTGACAAGAACAGCCTTGAGTAAGTTAAAATACCAGGTCATTGATTCTAATACATTATATAAGTGGATCTTGCATACCTCAGCCCCCTTCTCAGCTGAGCTTAACAGACAGAGCATTCCCAGTAGCCTGGGGGTGTAGAACTCAATAGACAAGGTACACAGATTCTGAGGAGGGCAAGTGAGAAGACCTGCCCACTAGAAAGATGCAGGGATGAAAACTTAGAAAGCAAAACTGGGCAGAGGACAGAGTTTTGAACAAATTCTGCTAGGGAGTTCCTCTGGATTTTATTAGTCTTTATGAGTTTTTCCTGATGTCTTAGATTTACTAAGATATTGTCTACACAAGGCCTTTAAGACTTTTTGTGAAGATAAGACTGGCTAATTTTTTAAATTATTGTTTCTTCAGGTTGGTGAAACAGAGACCAGGCTGGAATGTTTGCTAAATAATAACAAGAACTCAGATTTCTGTGCCCCCCTGACCTCCTTTGACTGGAATGAGGTGGACCCTTATCTTTTAGGTAAGGAAGTTAGGGAGTGTGTATTCCAGTTTGAAGAAGCAAAGATACGTGGGCCTGTGGTACATATATCATCCTAGGATGGGGAAGTGGGAAATAGAGTGACCATTAATTCCTCATATAGTATCGAAGGGGGTGTGTGTGCGCGCGCGCACGCCTTGTCTCGTCTCTCCAGTTAAAATCTAAGGTCCTGAGGTACTCAGAAAGCTCAGAAAGGTGCTTCCTGTGCCCAGGAAGTGTGTGGCCTGTTGTCCCCTGGGCAAAGTAGAAGAGCAAGCACAGGAGGGAAGTTTGCTTGGGAGCTTTGCTCCTAGTAGCCACTGACTTGTCCTGGTGTTTATAGGTACCTCAAGCATTGACACGACTTGTACCATCTGGGGACTGGAGACTGGGCAGGTTTTGGGGCGAGTGAATCTTGTGTCTGGCCATGTGAAGACCCAGCTCATTGCCCATGACAAAGAGGTAAAGATGCTTTTCCTTTTCTTTCACAGATGTTTTCTGCGTCTGCAGGTTAGAGTTGTGTTGCTCTCTCACTGTTTTGGAGGTTATGTAGAAAGGCACATGCTGATGTACTTCTTGCATAAACTAAAATTATAATGTGTCAAAGCAGCAAGAAATAACACTGCTGTAAACTAATGCATTTTGACTGAGATGAATGACTTATTCTGCAGTCTGTCATTTTTCTTTTCATGCCAGAGGTTGCTACTTTTTAATAATAAAGTATCTTATAGACACACTAGGAGCTTAGAGTAACACCTTAAAACATAATGGCTTCTTGGAAGAGTGGAGACAGGAAGAGGGGAAATTTCCTGACAAACCTAATTATCACTCCTCTAAAAATTTTTTATGACATTCTAGAATGTTTAATCTTTATACTTTTTTTTTGTTCCTTGCAGTGATGAGGATTGTGAATCCAGGCTGTTGTGCATGCTAGGGAAAGGCTCTACCACTTGAACTATGCCCCCAGCCATTTTGTTTTTATTTTGTTTTTGAGATACTGTCTCACTACTACCTTTGCCTGGGCTGGTCCTGAACTCTTGATCCTCCCACCTCAGCCTCCCAGGTAACTAGAATTGCAGGCATGCCCCACCACACACAGGCAGTCTTTATACTTTTAATGCTACTTAGAGATGTAATAATCAAAGATTGCTTTGATGGTGATATTTCTTCTATGTTTGTGGGAAAAGCTGAAAACACTGCCAATAATATGTTTTAGTCAAAACATTCCTTTGGTGATTTGGGGAAATGGCCGTAAGTGTTTCTTCCCAGAGCCATTTCAGGCTCCTTTTCTCATTTACTGGAGCTTGTGTTTCCTTTTCTGTTCTCCCTTACCTGTACAGCTAGGGGTGTTAGTATTTGTGTAGGTAAAAAGGATGCATTGGCTTTAGGCCAGAAACTTGAGATTGTCAACAGAATAGCAAGGTAGGTTATCATTCTTAACTAGGGGTTATTCTTGACTTTCTGTACTTCTGGGGGTAAGATCTGTTACAGACTGCTGGATTTGACTCTTGCTAAACCAAGGGTCAAATGAAAGTTTATCCTACAAAAAGAACCAGTAAGGAACTTTTGGAAACCCACTTGGCATCAAGTTTAACAGGTTGCTACATTTCAGTTATAGGACAGTCTAATCTGTGAATCTCTGCTGGACCTAAACCAGAGATGGAGATTACTAAGTGTTTAAACTTAGGTGGTTTAAGCCGGGGTTGCTTACACAGGTGGTGGTGAAGCTGAAAAGCCACATGTTAGCAATGAGGTAATTGAGAGATAGGAGCAGAAGGGGCCAAGGGAGGTGGCAGGGTTTACCTTGCAGAGATGCTCTGGGAACAAAGAGAAGAGAAATACTTAGGTACTCCCTGCTTCATTGCATCCAGTTTCCCACTAGGGCCTCCAGCATCAAGTTTTTCACCAAGGCCTCCTGTGACTGAAGCGAGCAAACCCAGAACCCTTCCAAACTTAGCCTGTAGGAATCAGTTTTCTTACAATACAGAGATGAGCCATTGGAGAGGGTTGGTGGGGGGGGCAGGGAATGGATCATAGCAAATAGGCTCTGGACCAGCATTCTGTCCTTGAAAGAATGAGCCTGAGGATGGTGGTTCTGAGAGAAACAGGAACTCTTCTTAGTGCTTTGGATTTCTCTCAGTCTGCTTCTTTCTGTCTAAGGAAAGACTTGTTTGGGAGACTTTCATGGCTGCCTTTTGCAGATCAGAGTAGAGGAGGTTTTGGTACATTTGGGGTTTGCAGCCTTCCCCTAATTTCTGATGAACTGCACAGGTGGAACATGGATGAAGGAGCAGTCACTTTAAGCCGAGAACTGTGTTCACTGAGCCACACTACCCCTGGGCATCTGTAACGTCTCTGTTCCTGAAGGCTTCCCAGAACTGGGACCACGCACATACTGCTAAGCATGCGTCTGAGCAGCTGGAGAGCACTAGAAAAAGCCTTGATCTGTCAGGCATCTCAGATCTGGGTGCACCTTATTGATGACTGACCCAATTCTTTTTTTTTTTCAGACAGAGTCTCACTATGTAGCCCAGGCTAACCTCAAATTTGCAGTGTATGGTACCAAGTCCTCCTGCTTCAGCTTTCTGAGTGCTGGGATACAGGCACCCAATTCCCTTTAGTTTCTGCCCATATAAAAAGAAGCATAATCTCTTCAGAGGTAGCCAAGAATTTAGAAGGTTGAGTAGAAGTAGATGCTCATTTGGCAGTAGGCAAGAACCCCAAGAGGGCAGGAACTACATTGTCTAGTGAAAAATTCCATTCATATTTTCCCAAAAGCTGTCATTATTCTCCTTGATTGCAGAAGGTAGGTTTTGTTTGGCATTTATTTTTTCACTTCCATGTTCTCTCCACTTGTCTGTCTCTGGCTTTGTCTATCTGTCTTGGTCCCTCTCTTTCTCAGAAGCTCCCCATTGCTCTCTGCCTGTGTTTCCTGATAGACGTTAGTGAAACTGTGTAGTTTTAGCAAATTATAAATGCATGAAACAGTGATTTCAAAACCTAAATTGATTCACTTATGAATAGAAACCAACTAAGAGAAGAAGCAGAACAGTCCTAGAACAAGAGTATTTCTAAATCTGTTTGTGAATATAGGAACACTGGAAGCTCCCATAATTCAAAATTGAATCATGTTACTTCTTTCTTGCAAATGAGTCTTAGGTCCAGGTTTGATAGCTGGACCAGCTTGGCTACTATTAGTGGCGACAGGAGGATTCCACCCCTTAAATTAATGATCTCAACCATAATGGGGTCATGGACCTGCCTCTATTTGCATACAAATGAAAGTCACCAAAGCCCAGGAAATAAATGTCTCAGTGTTGGAGTGTGGCAAAAGACAGCCATGTGCTCTGGCTTCCACTGAGCCTGTGTGTTTGGAATTCTTGCTCAGGATTATCTGTGCTCTGGTAATCAGCAGGGTATGTGCCTTTTGTTTTATCATAGAGGTTGGAGGAAGAAAACTTGGAAAGCTAGACATAAGAAGAAGCTAGCCAATGTCTATAACAAAACGATCTTCACTCTTTGGGAAGTCATGGACGCTACAGCTCTGGAGTTCTAGTGTTCAGGCACCATTTGGGCTTCACTTACCTGCTTCTGGTCCCATGAACTGGGTTCAGATGAACTGGAGACAGCAGATTTTCCTGCAGTAGGTGATAGGTCTGAATCTGACTAAAGCTTCTTACTTACCAACAGGTCTATGATATTGCATTTAGCCGAGCTGGGGGTGGCAGAGACATGTTTGCCTCTGTGGGTGCTGATGGCTCGGTGCGAATGTTTGACCTCCGCCATCTGGAACACAGCACCATCATTTATGAAGACCCACAGCATCACCCGCTGCTTCGTCTCTGCTGGAACAAGCAGGACCCTAACTACCTGGCCACCATGGCCATGGATGGAATGGAGGTGAGCACTCCATATAGGCTGATACAGGCCTTGTCACCTAACTCCCACACTTCTTAGCGTATCTGGAAGAGTATCTCTCCACTAGTGGCAATTTTGTGCCTAGGGGATCTTTGGAAATTTCTGGAGACATTTTTGGTTGCCACAATTCAGGGGAGGTAGATAAGTATTCCTGGCACCTAGTGGGTAGTGACCAGGGGAGCTGTAAACATCCTACAATGTGCAGACAGTCCCCAACAAAGTGTTACCCTACCCAAAATTTCAGTAGGGCCAAGGTTCAGAAAGCCTTACCTAGAACAAGAACTATGTATTAAGAACTTCTAATAAATTGTTGGAGCCAAACCAGCATTATTCTGAAGAGTAAACCAGGGACTAGAGATGGTGACTCAGCTCTGGTTTCAATTGCCAGCACCACAGGAAAAAAAAAAAATGTAAATCATGTGTGCTGAGTTGAAAAACAGAGTTTTCCCCTGTATGTTCTGGACAGATTTATATAGCTTTAGCAAATATATGTAGAAATGGCAACTCTCTCTGCAGTCTTCTCTTTTGTTTTGTTTTTGTTTTTACATTTACTCACATGTATACATTGTTTGGGCCACATTCCACCCCCCAGTAGTCTTTTCTTAGTAAAAGGCATGAATTGTGAGTAGAGAGGATGCACTGGTTAAGTATGGTTTGTTGAATCTAGTGCCTCAGACTTTTTTGGGGGGGGGGCGCTGTATTGGGGTTTTAACTCAAGGCCTCAGGGCCTTGACACTTGCTAGGCAGGCACTCTACCACTTGAACCATGCCCCTAGTCCTTTTTTTGCTTTAGTTATTTTTCAGGTAGGGTCTCCCATTTTTGCCCAGGGTTGGCCTCAGACTGCAGTCCTACCACCTGTGGTTTCTGACCTAGCTGAGATCTCATGTGCTTTCTGCTATACCCTGCTTAATGATTTAGATATGGTCATGTTAACTTTTTGCCCCATCTAGCCTTAAACCTCAATCCTCCCAATCTCTTCCTTCTGGATAGCTGGGATTATAGGTATGAATGACTATGCCCAGGCCTTAGGCTTCTATTCCAAATTCTGCAGTCCTGAGGCTCTGTCCAGCTGAGATGCACATAGTTCTTATCTAACTTCTTTTTTTTTTCATTTCTCCCCACTGCCCCCACCCCATCCCTTACCACCCACTCCGCCCCCTCCCTCTCCCCCCCCCAATACCCAGCAGAAACTATTTTGCCCTTATTTCTAATTTTGTTGTAGAGAGAGTATAAGCAATAATAGGAAGGAACAAGGGTTTTTGCTGGTTGAGATAAGGATAGCTATACAGGGCATTGACTCACATTGATTTCCTGTGCGTGGGTGTTACCTTCTAGGTTAATTCTTTTTGATCTAACCTTTTCTCTAGTTCCTGTCCCCTTTTCCTATTGGCCTCAGTTGCTTTAAGGTATCTGCTTTAGTTTCTCTGCGTTAAGGGCAACAAATGCTAGCTAGTTTTTTAGGTGTCTTACCTATCCTCACCCCTCCCTTGTGTGCTCTCGCTTTTATCATGTGCTCAAGTCCAATCCCCTTGTTGTGTTTGCCCTTGATCTAATGTCCACATATGAGGGAGAACATACGATTTTTGGTCTTTTGGCCAGGCTAACCTCACTCAGAATGATGTTCTCCAATTCCATCCATTTACCAGCGAATGATAACATTTCGTTCTTCTTCATGGCTGCATAAAATTCCATTGTGTATAGATACCACATTTTCTTAATCCATTCGTCAGTGCTGGGGCATCTTGGCTGTTTCCATAACTTGGCTATTGTGAATAGTGCCGCAATAAACATGGATGTGCAGGTGCCTCTGGAGTAACAGTCTTTTGGGTATATCCCCAAGAGTGGTATTGCTGGATCAAATGGTAGATCGATGTCCAGCTTTTTAAGTAGCCTCCAAATTTTTTTCCAGAGTGGTTGTACTAGTCTACATTCCCACCAACAGTGTAAGAGGGTTCCTTTTTCCCCGCATCCTCGCCAACACCTGTTGTTGGTGGTGTTGCTGATGATGGCTATTCTAACAGGGGTGAGGTGGAATCTTAGTGTGGTTTTAATTTGCATTTCCTTTATTGCTAGAGATGGTGAGCATTTTTTCATGTGTTTTCTGGCCATTTGAATTTCTTCTTTTGAGAAAGTTCTGTTTAGTTCACTTGCCCATTTCTTTATTGGTTCATTAGTTTTGGGAGAATTTAGTTTTTTAAGTTCCCTGTATATTCTGGTTATCAGTCCTTTGTCTGATGTATAGTTGGCAAATATTTTCTCCCACTCTGTGGGTGTTCTCTTCAGTTTAGAGACCATTTCTTTTGATGAACAGAAGCTTTTTAGTTTTATGAGGTCCCATTTATCTATGCTATCTCTTAGTTGCTGTGCTGCTGGGGTTTCATTGAGAAAGTTCTTACCTATACCTACTAACTCCAGAGTATTTCCTACTCTTTCTGTATCAACTTAAGAGTTTGGGGTCTGATATTAAGATCCTTGATCCATTTTGAGTTAATCTTGGTATAGGGTGATATACATGGATCTAGTTTCAGTTTTTTGCAGACTGCTAACCAGTTTTCCCAGCAGTTTTTGTTGAAGAGGCTGCTATTTCTCCATCGTATATTTTTAGCTCCTTTGTCAAAGATAAGTTGCTTATAGTTGTGTGGCTTCATATCTGGATCCTCTATTCTGTTCCACTGGTCTTCATGTCTGTTTTTGTGCCAGTACCATGCTGTTTTTATTGTTATTGCTTTGTAATATAGTTTGAAGTCAGGTATTGTGATACCTCCTGCATTGTTCTTTTGACTGAGTATTGCCTTGGCTATTCGTGGCCTCTTGTGTTTCCATATAAATTTAACAGTAGATTTTTCAATCTCTTTAATGAATGTCATTGGAATTTTGATGGGAATTGCATTAAACATGTAGATTACTTTGGGAGTATCGACATTTTTACTATGTTGATTCTACCAATCCATGAGCATGGGAGATCTCTCCACTTTCTATAGTCTTCCTCAATCTCTTTCTTCAGAAGTGTATAGTTTTCCTTGTAGAGGTCTTTCACATCTTTTGTTAGGTTTACACCTAGGTATTTGATTTTTTTGAGGCTATTGTAAATGGAATTGTTTTCATACATTCTTTTTCAGTTTGCTCATTGTTAGTGTATAGAAATGCTAATGATTTTTCTATGTTGATTTTATATCCTGCTACCTTGCTATAGCTATTGATGATGTCTAGAAGCTTCTGAGTAGAGTTTTTTGGGTCTTTAAGGTATAGGATCATGTCGTCTGCAAATAGGGATATTTTGACAGTTTCTTTACCTATTTGTATTCCTTTTATTCCTTCTTCTTGCCTAATTGCTCTGGCTAGGAATTCCAGTACTATGTTGAATAGGAGTGGAGATAGTGGGCATCCTTGTCTGGTTCCTGATTTTAGAGGGAATGGTTTTTTTTTTCTCCGTTAAGTATAATGCTGGCTGTAGGTTTGTCATATATAGCTTTTATAATGTTGAGGAACTTTCCTTCTATTCCTAGTTTTCTTAGAGCTTTTATCATGAAATGATGTTGGATCTTATCAAAGGCTTTTTCTGCATCTATTGAGATGATCAAGTGGTTTTTGTCTTTGCTTCTGTTAATGTGGTTTATTACGTTTATTGATTTTCGTATGTTGAACCACCCCTGCATCCCTGGGATGAAGCCTACTTGGTCGTGGTGAATAATCTTTTTGATGTGTTGCTGAATTCGGTTTGCCATTATTTTGTTGAGGATTTTTGCATCAATGTTCATTAAGGAGATTGGCCTATAGTTCTCCTTTTTGGAGGTGTCTTTGCCTGGTTTTGGGATAAGTGTAATACTGGCTTCATAAAATGTGTTTGGCAGTTTTCCTTCCCTTTCTATTTCATGGAACAGTTTAAGGAGGGTTGGTATCAGTTCTTCTTTAAAGGTCTGATAGAATTCAGCAGAGAATCCATCAGGTCCTGGACTTTTCTTTTTGGGGAGACTCTTGATTGCTGCTTCAATTTCATTTTGTGTTATAGGTCTATTCAGGTGATTAATTTCCTCTTGGTTCAGTTTTGGATGATCATATGTATCTAGAAATCTGTCCATTTCTTTAAGATTTTCAAATTTATTTGAATATAGGTTCTCAAAGTAGTCTCTGATGATTTCCTGGACTTCCATGGTGTTTGTTGTTATCTCCCCTTTTGCATTCCTGATTCTACTAATTTGGGTTTTTTCTCTCCTCATTTTAGTCAGGTTTGCCAGGGGTCTATCGATCTTGTTTATTTTTTCAAAGAACCAACTTTTTGTTTCATTAATTCTTTGTATGGTTTTTTTGGTTTCTATTTCGTTGATTTCAGCTCTTATTTTTATTATTTCTCTCCTTCTATTTGTTTTGGGATTTGCTTGTTCTTGTTTTTCTAGGAGTTTGAGATGTATCATTAGGTCATTGATTTGGGATCTTTCAATCTTTTTAATATATGCACTCATGGCTATAAACTTTCCTCTCAGACTGCCTTAGCTGTGTCCCATAGGTTCCGGTAGGTTGTGTTTTCATTTTCATTGACTTCCAGGAACTTTTTAATTTCCTCTTTTATTGCATCGATGATCCATTCTTCATTAAGTAATGAGTTATTTAGTTTCCAGCTGTTTGCATGTTTTTTGTCTTTACTTTTGTTGTTGAGTTCTACTTTTACTGCATTGTGGTCAGATAGTATGCACGGTATTATTTCTATTTTCTTATATTTGCTGAGGCTTGCTTTGTGCCCTAGGATATGATCTATTTTGGAGAAGGTTCCATGGGCTGCTGAGAAGAATGTATATTGTGTAGAGGTTGGATGAAATGTTCTGTAGACATCTACTAGGTCCATTGATCTATTGCATATTTTAGATCTTGGATTTCTTTATTGAGTTTTTGTTTGGATGACCTATCTATTGATGATAATGGGTGTTAAAGTCTCCCACAACCACTGTGTTGGCGTTTAATATGCTTTTAGGTCTTTCAGGGTATGTTTGATGAAATTGGGTGCGTTGACATTGGGTGCATACAGATTGATGATTATTATTTCCTTTTGGTCTATTTCCCCTTTTATTAGTATGGAATGTCCTTCTTTATCTCGTTTGATCAATGTAGGTTTGAAGTCTACTTTGTCAGAGATAAGTATTGCTACTCCTGCTGTTTTCGGGGGCCATTGGCTTGGTAAATCTTCTTCCAGCCTTTCATCCTAAGCATATGCTTATTTCTGTCGGTGAGATGAGTCTCCTGTAAGCAACAAATTGTTGGATCTTCTTTTTTAATCCATTTTGTCAAACGGTGTCTTTTGATGGGTGAATTAAGTCCATTAACATTAAGTGTTAGTACTGATAGGTATGTGGTGATTCCTGCATTTAGTTGTCTTAGTTGTTTGAAGGTTTGATTGTGTGTACCTAACTTGATGTTACTCTCTACTGTCTTGCTTTTTCTTTCCTGTGGTTTGGTGCTGCCTGCCTTTTCATGGTTAAGTTGGGTGTCACTTTCTGTGTGCAGGATCCCTTGCAGAATCTTTTGTAATGGTGGCTTTGTGGTCACATATTGTTTTAGTTTCTGCTTATCATGGAAGACTTTTATTGCTCCATCTATTTTGAATGATAGCTTTGCTGGGTAGAGTATCCTGGGGTTGAAGTTATTTTCATTCAGTGCCCGGAAGATCTCACCCCACGCTCTTCTTGCTTTTAATGTTTCTGTTGAGAAGTCTGCTGTGATTTTGATGGGTTTACCTTTGTATGTTACTTGTTTTTTCTCTCTTACAGCCTTCAATATTCTTTCCTTAGTTTCTGAACTTGTTGTTTTAATGATGATATGTCGTGGAGTAGTTCTATTTTGATCTGGTCTGTTTGGTGTCCTGGAGGCCTCTTGCATTGTATGGGAATATCTTTCTCTAGATTTGGGAAATTTTCCGTTATTATTTTGTTGAATATATTACGCATTCCCTTCGCTTGCACCTCTTCTCCTTCTTCGATGCCCATGATTCTCAAGTTTGGTCTTTTGATGGAGTCAGTGAGTTCTTGCATTTTCTTTTCACAGGTCTTGAGTTGTTTAATTAATAGTTCTTTGGTTTTTCCTTTAATTACCATTTCATCTTCAAGTTCTGAGATTCTGTCTTCTGTTTGTTCTATTCTGCTGGATTGGCCTTCCGTTTTGTTTTGCAGTTCTGTTTCGTTCTTTTTTCTGAGGTTTTCCATATCCTGGCAGTTTTCTTCTTTATGTTGTCTATTTTTGTCCTGAGTTCATTTATCCATTTATTCATTGTGTTCTCTCTTTCACTTTGGTGTTTATACAGTGCTTCTATGGTTTCCTTTATTTCTTCTTTTGCTTTTTCAAATTCTCTATTTTTATTGTCTTGGAATTTCTTGAGTGTCTCCTGTACATTTTGGTTGACCCTATCCAGTATCATCTCTATAAAATTCTCATTGAGTACTTGTAGTATGTCTTCTTTTAAATTATTCTTGTGGGCTTCATTGGGTCCTTTGGCATAGTTTATCTTCATTTTGTTGGAGTCTGGATCTGAGTTTCTGTTCTCTTCATTCCCCTCTGGTTCCTGTACTAATTTTTTGCTGTGGGGAAACTGGTTTCCCTGTTTTTTCTGTCTTCCCGTCATTGTCCTTGGTGTTGTTACTGTCCCTGTACTGTGTGTAATTAAGTATTTTCTAGCTTGTAATAATAACAATGGTAATATTTAGAATGGAAGAGTGAGCTGAGATGGAAAGCAAGAAGTTAAAGAAAAGGGGAAAACAAATATACAGACAAGAGGGAGAAAGCAGAACAAGGTATCAGACAAGAGAGTTTCAAAGGTATAAACAGGGAGTGTTAGTGTACTAATCGACAGTAAGCTGAACAGACATTAGAGAGACAGAGAGAGGATTGAAAATCAAAGATAAAAAAATAAAAAATAAGTAAATGAAAGTAATATCTATATATAAAAATGAATTAAAATAAAATGGAAAATAGAAAATTAAAAAAAAAACCAAAAAACTTCCAAGTTTATATGCAATGCAGTTTCAGTCTTAATAATTTGGGTGTCCGTCTCAATCTCCAGTCCTGGAGTTGGTGCCTCAGATGTTGTTCTGTAGTTGTCTCATCAAAGGGGATGCATAAAGTAGAACAAAACTACACACACACACACACAAAAAGCCCTACCAAGTGTCCCCAGTTCAAATGCAATACAGTTTCAGTAAGTTTTTCGGCTTGCAGGTGTAATTCGGTTGTTCTCTCATCAAAGGTAGGGAGAAAAAGAAAAAAAAAGCGTCTGGAGGCAGTTCTGAGGGTGGTATCTGCAACTGTGGCTTGCCTGCCTGCTGCTCTCAGTCTGTAGCTGGCGGCGTTATTTATGCAGATCTCTGGGGTGAGCTAGCGCTCACCTGGTCCCACAGGCTTTGTTTGCTCAGAGTTCTCCTGTGCGGGAGCCTCTGCCACAGGCTTTCCCCTTTCCAAGCACTGGGAAAGGTGACACTGCCCCCGCATTGTCAGACCTGCGTGTTTATTTACAGTTCATGTGGGAGGTGGGTCTTCCCCCCTCTCCTCTGAAGTTTTCCTCCCACTGCCACTTTCAGAGGCTTTCCTGCTCCTGCTTACTGGGCGGTGCTGCTGCTGCTGCCGGCCACCATGTTTGTTTACAGTTCACGTGGGAAGTGGGTCTTCCCTCCTCTCACAAGCGTCCCCGCTCCTGGTTGCTGGGCGTGCGCCCCGCTCCCGCCAGAGGCTCTCGGCCTGCCCGGCTCGTTTATTTACAGTCCCGGGAAGGGTTCCCTTCCCCCAATCTTCAGCGCTCAGGGCCCCCCACCCTCTTTCCAGCGTGTCTTAACTGTTCTTATTGCTTATTATTCGGTTTCTCTTTTTTTCCCGGGTGGAGGTCAGTCTGTCCAGGGGGCTATGCTGCTCTGGCCCAGGCTTGTCTGTGGGGCTACCGCGGTACCGTGAAGCTCACCTGGTCCGCGTCTTCCCAAGCCGTATGGGCGCCGGCCACAGGCGGCCCAGGGGGCCCTCCTCGTTTCTCCGTTTAACTTGAAGTGGAGATTCTCTGCACCGGCTGGAGATGTGGAGGGGCCAAAGTTATGCCTTTTCTCGGTGATTATGCCTGCAAAGTGTGTCTCCAGCGTCTCTCCAAGATTTCACTATAGGAGGGTCGCTTTCTGCTTCCTACCTCTAGCCGCCTTCTTGGAATCTCCCTTATCTAACTTCTTATCTGAAGGCCCAATTGTTACTCATGATACAGGACTATAAAGTACTTGTATTTTTTGTTTCCTTATTTTTTATTTTTGAGGAAATTCTGTCTTTAATATTATTTAAATCCATAAGTGAAAACATCATGTTTCAAATTATTTTTGTGTGTAGTATTTTTTGGTTTTTTTTTTTCTATCATACCCTGCTGTTCTTAGACTTTCCACTTGTATTTCTGCAGGTCGTGATTCTGGACGTCCGAGTTCCCTGCACACCTGTCGCCAGGTTAAACAACCACCGAGCTTGTGTCAATGGCATTGCTTGGGCCCCACATTCATCCTGCCACATCTGTACTGCAGGTAAGCATGGTAGGGAGAGAATAATGGTGGTAGCAAGGAAATCTGCCACTACTGGCTCCTTAGGGATGTAATCCTCACTGTTGTCTAAGAGAGATTTATACCAAGTTACTTAATCAGGAGCCTCCCCACATTTGTGAAATTGAAGCAGTCCACATTTCTAGATGATATTGTACCCTCCATGAATATAAGAGCATTTTTCATATTCCAATGATGATGTATATTAGATGCAGACCTGTGCCTCATGCTGTCCTCCCAGAAATCTAGGTTCACAGAGGGGACTCAGATCCAGGAAGACCTATCCCTCTTGGATATGGCAAAATCTTTGGGACTGCCAAGATTGACATCTCCCAGGGCCTTTCAGGCTTCACTATAATCAATCAGCAGGGAGTTCTGCATGTATTGAAGGGTACATAGCCTTGCCTGGTCAGTAGTGTGTAACTTATAGTTCTTATTTCACCATTTTCCAGACAAAAAGAGTACCTGCTAAAAATATGCAGGTTGTCAGAGTACTTTTATTTTGGAAATACTGTAAGTTTATTATTAGACATGAAAATACGGTTGGGTAATCTTAGTTACTTGGAAGGTTGAAATCGGGCGGATCATGGTTTGAGATCAGTCCAGGCAAAAAGTTATCTCACCTAATAGCTGGGCACAGTGGTGTGTGCCTGTCATCCCAAGCTACACAGGAGGCTGGGATCAGGAGGGTCACAGTTCCAGCAAAAAAATTGTGAAACCCCCATCTCAACAGAAAAAAGCTGAGTGAGGTGGTATGTGCCTGTTATCCTGGCGACAGGTGGGAAGTGTAAATAGGAGGATCATGGTCTGGCTCAGACATAAATGTGAGACCCTATCTGAAAAATACGTAAAGCAGAAAGAGCTGGTGGCATGGCTTAAGTGGTAGAGAGCCTGTCTGGCATGTGCAAGGCCCTGAGTTCAAACTCCAATACTGTTTAAAAAGAAAAAGAATTCAGAGGTATAATAAATAGTAAGGCAAAGCCATCTTTTCTCTTGCTATATCACTTCCCCATCTCCATAGGTGACCTGTAACTACATTTTGGGTGCCTTCCTATTTCTTTTGGTGTACTTGTACACACATACTAACTATATATGAATGTCTTCCCCTTTATTTTACACAAACAATTCTGTTCTAGCCCCATAATCTGCTTTTTATGTTTTTCAGTCTACTAGGCTTCATTCTAACATACTTTTCATCTCCCCACTAATTAGTAGCTTTATGATGAACCTGGTTCATTATGGAGCCAAAGAAGTAATGTGGTTTGGTTGTTTTCTGTCTTAGCATTTATTTGACATGTAGGAAGCATTTTCCATTTTGCCCCTCTCATCCTGTATATACTCACTGAGCAACTAAGAACCCACTGCCACCTTCTGTACCCAGGCTATGGTCTGCTTTCTTCATTATTACCCTCTCTTTTGTCCAGTGGTTCCATTAGGGAAGATGAGAGAAGGAAAAGAGAAAGGTGTCCACCATGGTTCATGGAGAGCACCACTGGTCCAGTATCCCATCTCCTGCTCTAGCCAGCTGCTTGGGTTTGACTCCCTGCTCTTGTGTGGTGTACTGGTCTTCAGACCCTCCCACTGGAGAGCTGTTGCTGAAGCAAGCTTGGTTGAGCATTGAGGAACAGGACCTCAGGACTTTAGAGGTGCTGAGTGTTTAAAACAGTGCCCCAGATCACTTGTCATAGACCACCCTGGGAAGTGAATCTTGCACCTTGTCTGTGGCTATGCACTTGATAGGAGGCCTATGCTGCCCATGGTTAGCCTGTTCTATTAAGGGTTTAGTTTATTCAGATCCCCCACGTATCTAAGACCGGCTTTCATATCTGAATGAGTGGTAGAATCAGAACACCTTGGTTCTGAATATCATCACCTTCTTTTCTCTTTATTTGAATTAAAAGCTTATTATTTTGATTACAAAAGTAATATGAACACGTTACAGATGCCGAACTGGAGAAAAATAAATATAATTCACAACCTTGCCAACCTAACATTACCACTACTCTCATTTTGATACATTGCCTTCTAGTCATTTTTCATGTACTTTTTTTTTTAAAGATGATTACCTTCTTTTTGGTGTTTCTCACAGCCCTTTACTGGGGAGTTTTGGGGAGGGTTATTTTGGGAGGTTGAGGGAGGGCTTTGCTGTGTAAGGCAGGCTGGCCTTGAATTTACAATCCTCCTGCCTCAACCTCCCAACTGCTAGGATTGCAAGAATGCACCAGCTGACAAGGAAAAATTTTTAATAGCGTATGTCCACACAGCTCTTTAGCTCTGTCATCCATACAACAGCTCATTGAAGTATAAGTGTCCATAAAATAGGGGAAACACATCAGATTAAATCATCAGAGAAGGACCTTTTACTACTCAAGTGTTTTTTAGTGGCTGAAAATGACATCATGTTTTGGGACCATTTTTATCCCATTGTCCTTTCCTGATGCTACACCCTGCTAAGAGGTTCCCATCTGGTCCTGGTCTAATGTCTACCCCTGATGCTGCAGTGGTTGGTGTATAAGGACACATCTGGGACATGAAGCAAAGGCCCAAATTTGAATCCTGGTCTTGCCACTCACTACCTGCTTAGCTCTGTGGCTTGGAGCAAGTGCTATACATTTCTGAATCTCAGTTTCCTCATCTATAAAATGGGGCCTTAATTGGGTGTAGCGGTTTATATCTGTAATCCCAGCACTCTTGATTTTAAGGCAGGAGAATCATGAGTTTGAGGCTAGCCTTCCTAACCTCAGGGTGTGTGTGGGGGCCAACTTACAATAAAACCTCCTTCACAGAGTTTTGGTGGTGAGTAAATGCATTGTAAACTGTGGCTTGGTCCCCAAATGCAGGGATTGTTATCCCAATTGCCTGAGTTATAACTCTCCTTGCTGACTTTGTCCCTAGCGGATGACCATCAGGCTCTTATCTGGGACATCCAGCAAATGCCCCGAGCCATTGAGGACCCTATCCTGGCCTACACAGCCGAAGGAGAGATCAACAACGTGCAGTGGGCATCAACTCAGCCCGACTGGATCGCCATCTGCTACAACAACTGCCTGGAGATACTCCGAGTGTAGTGTTGGTGGTGCCTAACCCACCAGGCAGGGGCTTGTGTGTTTCTCACCTCTGCCTCCCCCCAAGTAAGAAGAACATGTTTCCAATGGCCAGTATGTCTGTCATTGCTTTGCACCCACTGTTTCCAGAAGCTGCTCTAGGAGTTCCCGGCCAGCTACCCTTCACTCTTTATGCCGGACTCAATGCTGTGTGGCACCACCTCAGCCAAGGGCTGAGTTTTAAGATTTTTTTCTCTCCTTTCCTCTTCTCCCTTGCTTCTTCAATTAAACATTTCTATATATTTGTTTGTCAGCTGTTGTGTTCATGAGCAGTATAAGCACTGACTCTATTTGTATCCATCTGCCCAGTTGTCTCTGTCTGTTTGCTGCCCAAGGCAGCAGTCATGTGTTGTCCCCATCCATGTCTGTGTTAGCACTTAAATGGGAACAAATACTAACTCGAAGCTATCTTTCCTCCTGGTATCAATGTCTTTAACAAATCTCAACTTTGTATATTTTTTATCTATCAGGCTAATTTTTTTATGAAAAGAATTTTACTCTTCCAATTTCTTTCTTTGATTCATAGTCCTTCCTTTTTGCGCCTTCCTCTCTTCCCTCAGTGCCTGGAGCATGTACTGGGCCCTTGACTCCAAGAGAAGTTTGCTCTTCTGAGTCATTGCTTGAGTGGCACATGCCTGACCAAGAATCCTAAACTGCTCTGGTGCTCATAAACCTTTTCTCAGCTTGGCTCTTAAGGTCTCCAGAACAGATACAGGAAGCCTTCTGTTACACCCTGAAGTTCCTGTGTCCAGCCCCACTGGTACCTGTTGGGCACATGGTAGAGCTGAGATAGGCAGCTGACTGGGGCCCAAGCTGGAGGGGATTCATTTCAGGAAAGCTGAACTTAGAGTTTGTTTCCAGTCCCTGGCTTCAGAGTATTTTTCCTTCCAGATGTAGGCTCTAGGCCACTCCACTTCAGGACTTGAGTGTGAGGCAAGAACAATCTCTAAGCTGAACTTTGGTATTTGTTGAGTTTTCTTGTGTTTCTGTTTGTTGAATTTCCTGTTGCTGGTGGGATATTGACTCCTCTTTGGATTAAGTGCTGAGTGAGAGAGTCTTCCTGAGAGGTACAGTCTGTGTGTCTGACCCTGAACAAGATCTGTAGAGTGGGGGAGGCAGGCAGTTCTCATAAGAGATGGACTAATTGGCTGTGATGATCTCAGGCCATTGAGTAAATACAAAAAAAATACAGGCCCTGAGGTCATTCAGCTAAGACCACCCACACTGGTAAAACTTGCCCTCTCCCCAGTTTAGTTTCTAAGCAGTATTGGACTTGTAGGCTGCAGTTGGCTGTGTTGACTTACAGGCCACTGGTGCCTGTTTCCGTTACATGAATGGGTTCCACAGAGGGGCTTGTGTGTGATTTTGACTTCAGATGTGTCCACGGAGTGGACAGAGAGTATGCCTGGCTCATCATGCTCTGCCAAGTGCCTGAAGGCTTTTCAGACCCTCTGAGTTGCTTGTTTGAGAGGAGGAGAGTAGCAGTCCTAAAGGCTAATGGTTTAGTCCACTTAGGCTCACACCTGCTCAAAAAATCAAAGTTCACTTCATTTTTCCTCACCCTTAAACTCTTCTGTTAAGTCCTTCCTTTCTGTAGCTGATGCAGTTATATGCCAAAGTCATAGCTTGCTTTACTTCTACTTGTCCCAAAGGAAAGGCTGTTTCCCCTTTGACCTTCTTACTTTGTCATTCTGATTTTGGGACTCTGGCTGGTCATCTGAGGTTGACTTCTGTATTTACCATCCGATTTACACTGCATCATTTGGAGATGGAAAGCACAGTTTGTGGTCATACTCCTATGCTTTTAACTGTATGTGCTACTGGTCATGGGATCTTCCTCTCAAGAGTAGAAAAATCTAACTGATGGCTACTGCCTTGGAGACCTTCGGTTCCTCTAGTGGAAAGGGTCTGCAGTAGAAATCAGAGTGGAGTGGTAGCAGGGGCCGGTCCTCCTGGGGGTGACCTGCCTGCACTGAGTTCCCAGTGGAACCTGGTCTGAATTGCAAGATTTGTCAATTGGAACTCAAAACTAATACTTCAAAAAAAAAAATTAGCAGTGGTTTCTGAAATAGATTTGGATGAGGTGGGTATTTTCTTTGGAAATCAACCACTTCTGATGGTTTTTCCCTTATCTTATGGACGCCCAGCCTTGTCATCCTTCCTTAGGCTCTACAGTGTACTCCTCTGCACCCCACTGTGGACTCAGGTGAGCCTCTCTGACTTCCCTCAGCAAACGTACCCCTGCAGTTGCTGGATTGCTGGCATTTTGAAGTCCCAGCTCTCTCAGATGACTTGTGGCTGAGGTGGGGATTTCTGTAGTCTCAGAGTATAGAAAACCCCTTAGCCATGCTCTAGAAAGCACTGGTCTATTGTAGTTTCAAAAGCAAGTCTTTGTTTAAGTTTGTTCCAGTTCTCAAACTGGAGCCAGTGAGACTGGTTGGAAGAGTGTGGGGGAGTTTCTGATCTGTTCTCCAGTGGCTGATAGGACTTCACCAGGAGGGCCACATGGAGGCACCTTTGGGCTCTGGTGTGGCTTTGATGGCACTTTGACTTGCTCTTGGCAGGCTGAGGTGCAGGCCATTGCCTACACTTTCTGGGTCTGTTTGTAGGAAGGCAAAGTGCTGACTCAGCTAGGTTTCAGGTCTTTACCAGTGAATGTGTCTGAAACATTCATGGCCTCAACAGGTTGGAGCCTTCTCCTTCCAGGGAGGAACTTGCCTACAAGGTTAGGACTTGAAGAGGGAAGTGGGTGAGAATTTTGCATCAGAACCAAAATTGACTCTTAAGAACTAGCTAAGATTCAGGAAGACCAGAGAGGAAAAAAAAAAAAAGTCAGAATCCTACAATGTTGCTTATAGTTATGGCTGAAATTTTAGAAGGAGATTTAGGATGTAGGAGAAAAACCAGTGGTATTTCAGTGTCATCAGCCTGGGTCAGCCTTCCCAGACCATAAATCCGGCATCCTGTGGGACAGGATGACAGCTCAGGGCAGAGGAGGCCCCTATTTGCTCTGGGGCAGTGGACATAGGTGATGTCTGATGGTAAATAAAACTCTGCAAGTGTTGGTTGTGCTCTGACTGTTCTAGACCATGACTCTTCTGCTTCTTTGGAATTTCTTTGGGGTTTTTTGGTGGTACTGGGGTTTGAACTCAGGGCTTCCCACTTGCAAAGTAGGCACTCTATCACTTGAGCCACACCTCCAGCCCCCATGGCTCTTCTTGGTTATAGATGTATACCAAGGTAGCAAACAGTCATACAGAACTTTTCCCTTCCTTTTTCTTCCTCTTACCTTTCATTGTAGAACATTCTCCTTGCTACAGCCTAGGCCCTGAATTCCTAGGCTATAAGGACATGTAGGAGTTGCAAGATTTACCAGACTTAGGAGGGTAGCCCAGAACTGCTCCTCCACTTTCCCCATTTTGAGAATATGGTAGCCCCTTTCACTGCCTGCTTTGGGTTAGGGGATACCATTGAAGTAGGAGCCTCGAAGCACACTTTTCCCTATACTGTATGTAACCCAGGACAAGGAAGGAGGGTACGGTTGGCACTTAGATTGGTTTTTCTGGGAAGAGAGCTGAATTGAACAAAGTTACTATGAACCCTGGACCAGGCTTTCTGAGAATCATCTTCTCTGCCCTGGCTGGACGGCTGCTGAAAGTATCTCATAGAGCCTTGCCCACCTCACCCACCCATACCCTCTCCTCCCACATTGTCATTGCTGCTAAAGGTCAAAGTCAAATGTGTGGCCACATGGGATGGACCAGGTCCTCTGGGCAACTTTCTGGATGTCATTTTTTAAATACAGAAATGTGCAGATGCTTTCCCAAAGAGGCTTGGACTGGTATGTCATGCCAGAAACAAATAAACTAAAGCAAGTTTGAACTCCAGAAGAAAGATGTTGATAGTCTGTGTGACAGCTGAAAATGGACGAGCATCCACCTTTGGGAAAACCCAGTGAAGATGAATTTGTGATATCTTCTATTTAAAAGAAATGTTCTCACCTTGGGTGGATTGTGGTATGCAGTGCATTACGAAAATTGTTGAACTGAAGCTTTGAATCAGTTTACTTGCATATGAATCACTTTGGTTCCTATTTCATGGCCCCTCTGTCAGTGACCCCCCAATGTGAATTTGTAGCATGATTGTATAAACCTCTATATAGAAAATGAAGATCTCTTATTTCCCAAAATAATAAGCTCTAACCAGTTCATTTCTGTGCCCTTTAGCCTATGTGTCTGAACTTACTTTCTTGTTACATATTTAAACTTTCCCTCTATTTTATAGGTTTTGTGGTATCTCCTGGTCAGGTGGAGAGGAAGCTATCCCTTACAGAACTGTACTGTAGCCATTTTTCTTTTATAAATATTTTCACAGGGCTGATTGTACACAAGACTTGTAATAAAATTTTAACACTGTGCTGTGAAAACATGCTGAGGAGTCTCCACTGAAGGCTACTTCAAAGCCACCTAAAAGTGGAGTGTTCTATGACTTTGCTTCTTCTTTCCTAAGTACATGAAACCTAATTTTCACCTTTTCATTCTGTTTCAGCCTCCTGTATAAGAAGTACCGTATTTTCTGCCCACCATACTTTGTAATAAAACTTGAACATGTATAGATTGAATTTCTTCTTGTGGTGAACTCATTTCTTCCAGTGTGTCCCTCTGATCATGTTTCAGAGACACTGGCTAGGGTTTTAGACTGCTCCAGCCCATCTCACACCCAACTCATCACCTCTGTCTCCTCGTTGGTCACTCGCTTATTCTGTTAACAAAACATGGAGCATCTCCTGTATTCCAGGAGCAATGACACATAGACTTCCCGAACTGTATCAGAGGAGACTCCACATACACAAATATTTGCAGTGTTCTGCAACAAGACTGTTCAAGCACACTGGTAACTGCTGCTAGGGTAGAAACCAGGGAGACTCAGGAAAAATGTCAGATACAGGATGCCTGTTGGGTTTTGAAGGCTGAGTAGGAGTTTGAGGGGAATAGGGAATATCACTTAAGGCAAAGAGAGTATCCATATGCAAATCTACAGGGACAAGACTGTCATATTCAGAGAATTATACATTGGTGGGTTATATATGAAGAATGGAGGGAAATGTGGCTAGAGAGGTAAGCAGGAGGCCAGATCAAGGAGAGTTTTGTGGTTTGCAAAACTTTGAGAACTTACACTCATGTATTTTTTTTACATAGAAAGAAATCATGATCAGAACTGTGTTTTAGAAGGCTAAGCAATGAAGAAACCCTCTGAGAGGGTGCTGAGATGGGGAGGCAGGCCA